ACTATATTAGCATCACAGCTTCATGATCGAAATCTAACGCACGATCGTCGTTGAACAAAAACCACTGTATGTTCTCTCAACGGTATCAGTCACTGCCGCTAGCAGCCCTGAGCGGACAAGCTCATTGATCTGTAGGGTTCCCCTGTTTATAGACTGTGTTTTAAAATTTGGGTCGTATAGCAGTAATCCATGGATATATGAAATAAATGCTTTCGAGTACATATTGTGAACTACTTCTGTGACCGACAATAAAATGAATTAATTAATGCAAGCCCATATTTGATGTTAGTACGCTGTTAGTTGGCATATATAGGTGGGTTCAGAGCTACTAGACTACAGTCACTCTTACCTAAGTTAGGCATTTGAGGATTTTTAATACCAAATTTTCACGAAGTATGCAAACACCACAGCATTTGTTGGGGTGCATATGGCACATACTTGTCTTAGGCCAGTAAGGTATTGAACATGTATCCCGTCTCAGTTATACCGTTTATTATTATGTAGATACTGTTACAAATAAACAATTAATTCTGAATCAATCGAGTATTCAATTTTTATAGATCAATTTTAGGTGATCCGTAGTATGTGTACCAGTTTAGGCCATAATTTTATTCCGATTTTCCTCATTTTAGTTCTATTACGAGTTCTGGGACTGTCCGTGTTAGCCAAGTAAATATACCCCCAGAGGTTTCAGTCCCTTAACACAACTTGATGTAAAGTAGGCGAACAAAATTAGTCTCCATTTTGGCACACACACTTCTGGAGCACCCAATTTTATGTCTTAGTTCTCGTATGCCATGTTTGACCGACCATACCTCTACTATTTCAGAATTCAAAAACTGTAAAATTACAGTGTACTTACTGACTTTCTCTTACTAATTAATGTACTGATACTTCCCATGATCAAATCAGCCATTGTTTTTTCACTATTGATGTCACAACTTGCTATTGTTTGATGTTTTCCGTTTCTATTATTATTATTCATTTATGATGTAACAATGGGTTTCATTGCTGTAACATGCCATGCAAAATCCAACAACTACATAGGCATAATTTTGCTAATTCTAGTAATAATGATTTAATTTCAGTACTCAATTATAATTTAAAATCACTTTTATTTTGTGAATTGAATGTCAATATTAATTGAGTTGTCTGAAAAGTTGTCAATATTATTCGTATCCAGGTCATATCCGCTAAAAAGTTTACAGCACAAAAAACATTAAACAATAGCAAGTTGTGACATCAATAGTGATAAAACAATGGCTGATTTGTTCATAGAAAATATCAGTACATTAATTGATGAAAGAAAATCAGTAAGAGAACCGAGATTTCACAGTTATTGAATCATGGAGTGGTGGGAGCATGGTTGGTCAACATAGGATACAAGAACTATGACATCACACTCAGTAACAAGAGTAGCACCATACCCAAACGAACTTTCAGTTTGAAACAAGCCAGGTTCACAAATAAACTAGGATTTGAACCAAGATATCTAACCACCTTCTTAATAAAATTTGGTATATAGATGTAAACAATATAACCTAACATTTGTGGTAATATTCATTATTGTGTGTAAAAATTATCAAAAAAGCATGAACATTGAAAGCTTGCTTGTGTATAAGATACCCTGTGTATATAAGATGCCCTTACACTGTTATAGTCTATCGTGAAACCTAGTGCAATCAGGTCAGCACACAGCTTGGAGGGGATGAATTCCGATTTGAAGTCTTTGAAAAAAGGACAATCTCCTAACTTTAACGATTAACGCTTTGCTTTTGTTATTCTAATGTGTGAGATTAGTCACCGACAATTCTTTACAAAATTTTGTTTTCACCCTGTTTTGGAAACTGACGATAGCTATATCAACAAATCATACTTGATTTCTGTATGAAACATTCATTTCACTTAGATACTTACGCGTGAACTATCTCCATTGAGTGTTGAACACAATTGTATTTGTTTTGTTTATTTAATTCCCATCCTATACGGGAGTCAAGGATGTGGGAATTTTCTTTTGTTATTTTGAAATTGTCTCGACAGTTTTCACAAGTAATTGATAGCAATGTTATTGTGGTATAAGAATGGGGGCCAAGTATTTAGTATAAGTTGAATTCAAACTTAATTCTATTTGAAAATATCTATTCATATGAGTATACAGATAGACGAAGTTATCGTTGAGCTTTGATATATGGAATAGGATTTACATTTAATCCCAGGGGAGAGGAAATCCAATAAGATGGCATAATTAAAGTATTTAGTGTAAGTGGAATCCAAACTTCTATTTAAAATATCTATTATTATGAGTAGACAGATAGTCGGAGTTAGCGTTGAGTTTTGATATATGCTAAGGTTATAATGCTACTAATAATGTGTGTCTATGAATTCTTGAAAATTTTTAAAATTTAAAAGTGAAATTATCAATACCAGATATTGCTTCATCCCTCACAGATGTATTAAATGAAGTAAAAATACTTACCGGTAATAAACAATTATTGATTATAAACAACAAACTAGGTTGAGATATATTTATAAGATATATTTACCAGACTTCATACTTATTTTAGTTCATTCGATTTTCCTTACCTATGGTACTTTATTTGTCTATCTTTCAGAATTTCAATATTGTAATAATTCAAAATCACAAAGATGGATTAATGAGTGAAATTAATGTTTTTCTTACTTGATATAAAAATCATGAAAGAACTTGGATTCTTGACAATTTTCATCTGCTTGGTGTCTCTCTTCAATTTGGCAAGCTGTGGTAAGAAGATATATATTTTTTATAGTTTGGAATATATTTAAGTATTTTAGAATATATTCTAATTTATTTGGTGCTACTAGGGCGGGAGATCTACCATACTATGTTATGAGGTCACCTTTAAACTAGTACTACTTCGGAATCGTACCAGTTTAATCAAAATCTTGGCCTTGTCCCCGAATCGTGTTTTTACTTTCTACGCCGAGAACCAAATATTAGTATTCTGATATAAAAAAACTTCAGTGTATGCAAGTCATATTTAATAATTGCTTGTTGTCTACACTTAGTCTGCCCAATGCCTTCTAAGTTTTTATATGAAATTCTGACTTCATCTCTGAATTAAAAATTTTTAAAATTTGGGAAGTATGAAAATGCAACTATGTTTTCAACTGTCAATAAAAACATGCCAAACTTTGGGCTCCTGCTCTACAACCCTGCTTCTTTGGAGACTAAATTAGGAGTTGTAGATAATAATACTTGATAATCTTGGAAGTGTAAAAATGCCACTATGTTTCCAAACTATCAATAAAAACATTCAGGCTTTGGTTCTATGCCCTGCTACCAAAATAAGAGTTTGAGATAATAATACATATGGGTTGAACTTCCAGAAAGTTTAAAATCCGCGGTGTGGCTCAACGGGGTAAGCGTTAGGAATACGCTCGCCACCGCACCTCTAATTACTCTGCGTGGGTTCGCAGGTTCGAATCCCATGCAGGGATAGTTATGTGCGAGAGGATTGCTGGACTCCTCGCCGTCGTTAGGTGGTTCACGTATCCGCTGGTCGATTACGGCTTCCTTCACCACCAAGTCCATGCTTCCGAAAACAAACAATATAACTAATCCCATATCCGACTTGGAATGGTAACCGGATGAGAGGACGTGGCTCGCCATAGGGATAAGCCGTCTTATCGGCTTTCCTCTCCCCCAGGATAAATATGTAAATCCTATCAATCACTATTTCTTATGCTTACAGCAACTGAGGAATCATGTGATTGCTGTGATAATTGCACTCTTGTGTATTGCAATGGCGGTCAATTTCTGAATTCAAGTACTGGAGCTTGTGAAGATTGCCCGAAAGGATATTTGTAAGTAGGCTATATTTTAAGATTGTGGTTTCTCACCTCTAAACAAGGCTCTGTACAAGCAACCACTGATACATATTTTTAAACGACTATTGAGGGATACTCTGGTTCGGAGATGCTTCATTAATTTATTATAATTCAGTGCAGTGCTTCTCAAACGATGGTACGCGTCCTACAAGAGTGGCATAGACAATTTTTTTAGGAGGCATAAAGCTAATTATTGGAAATAAAAATATTTGTTCATTTGATCTTTCCCGCCTTATTTTGGATATTTACATTTTTTATGTTGGATACATATTTCCAACGTTTTTTGAATGAAACATACTTTGCCTTACTCCCTGTTATTTATAGCTTATTGTTAGCTAGTTTTTTTTTTGAGATGGAGCGCGAGACTTGACAAATTTTAAAAGGAGGCAGTTTCACACTAAAAATTTTATTAGTGAACTATAACATTTATTAACTTAGAGAACCACTGAAATGGGGGGCATGGAGGCCGAGATCTTTAACCGACAATACTAACTTAGTTTGGCCCAACGCTTTAACTTTCACTTTTTTAACATATTAATATGCCCTCTGCTCAAAGCAAGGCTCTTTACAACGATATATAGGGTGTTCATAAAGTCTTAGAATTTTTTTAAATTTCAAAGGGAATTTATCGATACCGTATATTGTTTTAGCCCTTATGTATGTAGCCCTTTTACCCAGATGTATTTAATGAAGTGAAAATACTTTATTAAATACACCCCTTCTGAATTTTAAAAAAGAAAATTACTGATCAAAAAACAACAAACCTGGTTAAGATATATTGCGTCATAGCAAAATTGAAATTGTAAAAGGACTTTATGGACACCCTGTATGAGGAGAATTTTAATTTTGGAAAGATTGGAATCATTCTCAAATATTTACACTCTGGGTGAGGTGATGAGCATGTGATGAGAATTTTCACTTTTTAGTTGCGAATGAGGATTTTCCAGTCTATCACCTCCGGGTCTCGAACTATTCGAACCAAGATGGCGCACAACCTGAACACATTATGTGTACCAGATTAGGGTTGTTCAGGTTGTGCGTCATCTTGGTATGAATACTTTCGGAGCGCCCACAATTCTAATATTTTTTTAAAATCCAGAGCCTTGTTTAGATTGGATGTGCAATATAAAGCTATGACAACTATATCTAAACCAACAATAATGTTGTATTACGTAAAAATACTAGTGATTATACCTAAAGTTTCTACACACCTTTTCACACAGTTTTTTTACAATGTATGACATATGAAATTATGAGATGAACAATGAGAACAATAAATCAATCAGTACTTTGTTATTGTGACCAAACAAAATAAACTTTAAATTCAATTGTTGTTAGATTTGTGAATCCATTTGTCATCTCACTGTGTTGTTATTACAAAACTCTACCTAAAAATGTAATATCATCCGAGCACGATTCGAATATGATTTAGAGATAAAGTAAATTCACTTCAATTACTGATTGCGAATCCAAAATACCCAAATTGTAAAGTTTTTTAAACTCACTAAATTTTGTTATTGCTCTGCAGACATAATAAAAGCATTATCAGCCTTAGATTTGTAAGTTTATTTGATTTAATTGTGCTCTTGAATTTACTGAATTGAAAAATTTTAAAAATTAAATTTACAATATAATAATTATGCTTTACATCAGTGGTTCCCAACCATTTGTATGTTGTGGCCCCCTTCCTAATCAAGCATTGAAACTAGCAAAAACGGGAAGTTTTCTAGTAAAGTGAAAAGTAAAATCAGTTTTGCGCCTGGCATGGTGGCCCCCTCCGACTGCTCTGTCGCCCCCTTGGTGGGCCAAGGGCCCCTGGTTGGGAACCACTGCTTTACATCAAGGCTATACATATATCAGTTCTGAACATCCTGATCTACCAGCCCAAAGACATATCAGAATGTTAAGTAGTAGTTAATCTCACTAGTCTAATGCTTTCTTAATTACTTTTCAATTTTAACCGGTGAGTATGTTGATAGGTATTTGTCTGTCTGTTTGTCTGTTACATGCACGCGATATCTCACGAAAGCGAGATTGAATCTGCCCTAGATTTTGCATGTGCATTCATCATATGTCGTACCAGAAGCCTATTGATTTTGGATGAATTATGTAGTCTAATTAGCGAGGTATTAATTAATTAGTGATGGGACACAAGGTGTCACTATGGAGTAAGACCGCTGTTTTGGGGGATCCCCTAACTTTCGATTGATAAGTCTTCGGTCTCTAACCGATATTCTCGTTTTTCAGTTGTCCTGAATCTAGCAATGTGGCAATAGAATGTGCAAGTGGAACGTACACAAACCAAACTGGGCAAGCTTCATGCAAAAGTTGTCCTGCAGGATATGAATGTAAAAGTCCATCTTCGGGGTAAGTTTTTTATTCTGCTTTTTGAATCAGATTTAAAGCATTTGAGCTTTTCGTAACCACATTCAAGTGAACGGGCATGAAATAAGTCGCTATCCTCGGACAGGATATACGGAGTGGGCCAAAAGTACATTTATTCTCAATCAATTCATTTATTAACTGGTAACCCACATTTGGCCTACCATGTATGCTATTAACCATAGTAGAGAGTCTTGTTGGTGATATCAATATCAAAATAAAACAGCAATTTAGAGTTACAATTTTTCATTTTTAGGCAAAGCAGTTTATTAAATCAAATTTGCCATTATATATTTTAAATAAATGAAGCAAATTTTGCATTAGCGATTAGCATCGGTTTTGAATCAACTTTTTCTACAGCATTAGATAGAATTGAGATTTTTTTATGTCTCATTCAAACGGTATTCCATATTATGTGTTGCAGCAGTGAGGTATGAGCTAATAATACTATTTTTCTGTGCTGTTGGATCAGTTACAGGGAGCATCAAAATGTACGGTAGATGACAAAAGAGTGTGATTCTGTTTTTTGTTATGGTACTCTTGTAGTGTGTGTACCAGGTTAGGGTTAGGCCATGATTTCATTCTGATTTTCCTTATTTTAGTTCTATTACGATTTGGAGGACTGTCTGTGTTAGCCAAGTGAATATGTCCCTGCCCATAGGTACAGTCCCTTTACCCAAGCGTGTTTTGTTTAGAAAAAATAGAGGCAAAGATATAAACAAAATTTGTTTCATTTAATACTTGAGATTGTTTCAATGGTCGTATTAGTTCATAGGAGACTTATTATCTCATATTTTTTAGAAGCAACATAGACACTTCACCTTCACCCTGTCCTACTGGAACCTATTCAATAGAAGGAGGAGGTTCTTGTATAACTTGTGCTGCAGGATATTATGCTTCATCTACAGCTAGTTCTGCATGCCTGCAATGCCCAGCTGGAAGCCAATGCTCTGTAAGTATGATTTATTTATTTGGAGGCATTTGGTCCTATAAATGTTGACACGGTAGCCAAGTGGTTATAGCATTAGAATTGGCATCACATGGTAAAATCTCGGGTTTATATTTATGCCCACCCCTCGACCCATTGCAAAAACTTGGGTAGACAATGCCGAGCTAGGAAATTTCATTCATTCCAAACTAAAGTAGCTCTTCACCTAATAGTTCTGCAGAGCCTCATTCCGAGATGTTGACACGAATAAACCAGGGGTGTGCATTGTGTGCAAACTGCAGGCCAAATGCTACCCACAAAGAAAAATTGTGTTGCTCGAGAAGTGCCAATTTTGAATAAAGAATGCCGCGAAACGAGTGTTTAGTGCCACTGTCATATTAGCATAACTAACTAGCTAGCAAAATCCTGAAAATACACAATGTCATAAAAGCGTGTTTCTCACTGGATTCATTTAGAGCCAGTGTGACAATAAAATTGAATAGCACAGGTTTGAATCTCACACCCATCACCCAGGGTGTAATATATTAAGTGGGCAATGCTTAACCGGAAATATTCCGGTTCTTTTCAAACATTGTTAGTTATCAGTAGATGATTGCACAGTGGCTCGTTGGGAGCTAAAGACAAGGATAAGCATCGTGTAAAAAATCTTATTTTATTACAGGATTCATCCAAGACTCCAGTTCCATGTAACAAAGGTACATTTTCAACATCTGGCTCCATAGAATGCATAGCATGTCCAGAAGGCTTTTACAGCAATAATACAGGCACAGCTGGCAACTGCACAATATGCCCACCAGGACACAGCTGTGAGAATGCTGCAAACGATCCACAACCTTGCATGGCAGGACTGTATTCCAAAGGCGGACAAAATTTATGTACAAACTGTCTAACAGGATATTACACTGATGTAACAGGCTCAGAAAGTTGTATCGCTTGTCCTCCAGGTTCTAGTTGTGCTAATACTAATCTCTTTCCGACCCCTTGTCAAAAAGGTACTTATTCTCCTGGCTATCTCACTACATGTCTCACATGTCCAGAAGGATATTATGCTAATACAGAAAACAGCATGGAGTGTACAATTTGTACTGAAGGATACAGCTGTGGAAATTCATCTTTAGAGCCGCAGATTTGCCCAAAGGGGTCGTATTCACTAAAAGGAAGTTTGTCATGCTCTTTATGCCTTGCCGGTTACTATTCCAACGTAGATGGAGCAGTGAAATGTACTCTATGTCCCAGTGGTAGTAAATGTGAAAACAATGGCACCACAGACCCTGTTTTGTGCCTTGCTGGGAGCTACTCAATAGAAGGCTCCAGTGTTTGCGAAAATTGTCCAAACGGCTATTTTGCAAACAATACCGGGGCTGGAAATTGTGATATTTGCCCCTCAGGGCACAGATGTCTGAACAGTGCTGACACACCAATAGAATGCGAATCTGGACACTTTTCAACCTCTGGTGACACCGTGTGTACAAAATGTTGCGAAGGTTATTATACATCATCCACTAAATCAAAAAATTGCACTATATGTCCTGAAGGGTATAGATGTTCAGACCCCAAAGCTGAACCTGTACTTTGCCCTAAGGGAACAACTTCTAAGCAAGGAGCTACTGAATGTACAGCTTGTCTTTCTGGCTATTATACTAATTCAACAAATGGATGCTTGCCATGTCCAGCAGGATATTCATGTGCTGACCCAACTCAAAATCCTATTCCTTGTCTAGCTGGCACTTTCAGTACTGGTTTGGCCACCTCGTGCACATCATGTACTAAAGGATATTACACCACATCTACACTGTCCACTGAATGTGTAGAATGCCCAGTAGGTCACTATTGTGCAAATTCAAATGTAGAGCCTGTGAAATGCCCCATTGGGACGTTTTCTACATCAGCAAGAATACAATGTACTAACTGTAATGAAGGTTACTACGCAAGCACTGAAGGCTCTAACAACTGTACTTTATGTCCTCAGGGGTACAGTTGTGAAAATGTGTCTCAAAACCCGGAAATTTGTCCTAAAGGCAGTGTATCAGATTCTGGAGCTATTATATGTACCTCATGTCTTTCTGGGTATTACACTAATACAACATCAAGTCAAAATGAGTGTCTACCTTGCCCTAGTGGTCACAAATGTATAGATTCAACTTCAGACCCAATACCCTGTGATGTAGGAAAATACTCAAAAAATCTGGCGACCCAATGTACTGATTGTGCTACAGGACACTATGCAGACTCAACTGCTTCAAGCTCATGTACTATATGTCCAGCTGGTTACTCTTGCCTTAACCCCTCACAGTCGCCAGTTTTTTGCTCAGCTGGTACCTACAGTTTGAGAGGCGCAACTGCATGTACTAACTGCCCTTCGGGATTCTATTCAAATGAAACCGCACAATCACAATGCAAGGTTTGCTCAATTTTTTCTTATTTTATTCTTTCTTATGAAGCTATAACTGTAATTTATATGATTTGTCACATCTGTGCTCAGGACAAAAAAAAAAACGATTTATTTATGATTTTCACCAAGTTCTTGGACCCAAGCTATCCTGACTGTTTGCTGGTATACAAGAGAATATTGTTAATAGGGTAACATTCTGAATTAATGTTACTCCTAAGCTATTCACTCCATATTATGAACAGTTTTTTCATACACTGAATTCGATTACTCATGAAAATTATTTACCAGTATACTCTTTTAGTCTGGGATTATCATATCTGGATATAGATTAACCATTTCAAATTCATAATTCCATGATTTTATTGCAGGAATGTCCAGCGGGTTATTCTTGTCTAAGTGCAGGTGGTGAACCAGAAGCATGTCAGCCTGGGACAGTCAGGTACAAAATATTTATAATTTTCCACAGACTGCCTGCCTTTTAAAATTGAATTTTGTTGAGTATAAGAAGCTAAAGTGACACCTAACAAATATTTATCTAACTCTTGTAGATTTGCTTCATTTGCTTGTGTTATTTTTCAGTTACTTGAGTTAAATGAGTTTTTTTGGCCAGGTATACATGGAGGTATACTGTTCCAGTTATGCATGGAGTACCCAATGGTCACATCAGCATGACTTTTGTGCCTGATCTCTTACTATAGATTTTACCTAATGCTGACACACATATTAATAGGATTTTTATTAATGAGTATGCGTTTTAACGCTGAGACCTATCATCTAGTAATTGAAATGGCATTTCCAACACAATTCCATACAGGAATTACTTATAATGCACGTTATTACTCATTAATATTGATCGGTAAGTATGTTGATAGGTATTTGTTTGTATGTCTGTTAAACAGTTTCGTATGTTACGCGATATCTCACGAAAGCGAGGTTGAATTTGCTCCAAATTTCGCATGTGCATTCGTCATATCTCGGACCAGAAGCCTATCGATTTTGGATGAATTATGTCGTATAATCAGAGAGTTGTTGATTAATTAGTGATGGGACACACGGTGTCGCTATGGAGTCATATAGGATGAATCGAAACCACAGTTTCTGTTTTGGGGGATCCCCTAACTTTCGATCGATAAGTCTTCAGTCTCTGACCTATATTTTCGGTATTTCTTTGACAAAAATATTCCTTTATAATATTACACCATCCTTATTTTCAGTTCTGCTCGTTCTACAGACTGTCGATATTGTATCTCTGGTTCAACATACAACCATCTTGCTGCTCAATCAGCCTGCTTACCTTGCCCTGCATCTGGTTTCAACTGCACTGATCCGGCTGTTGAACCTTTCATTGAGGTTTGTTTTTGATACCTAGAAATAACCAAAGGGCTTATTATTGACTTGAAACTTCTAGTTAATAATTTGAAGATAGCGTTTTATTAACAGTGTTTCAAAATTTCATTTCTGATACTTTTCTCTTTTTTGGCATATTTGGCTGTCATTTCTCCCAATGTTCTGAGTTAGGATAGATATGTTACTTCGGCAGAAGGTTGGGGTGTTCATATGGAATGGGACTCATACAATTGGGATAGATGGGACCAGCATCCCTCATTGTTATATGTATTTGAAGGTTTTTGTTTTTTTGCAACATATGTTCCCTTTTAGTAAAAATAATTCGTTTACTAACATATTTTGAAATATCCTAAATTTTTTTGTTGTGAATAATTTTACGCCTGTACTCTGAATAAAGCATATTATTATCATTTTTAAATGGCCTTGCTACCCAATTTAAATCCCTGTCGATGGAATGATGGACGTGAAGCTTGATTTCAAGATCTGTGATGCTGACATAGCTAATTTTAATGCGGCAACTACTTGGCAATCACGCCTTCGATAAATAGGAAAGGGTTAAAAAAGCCGGCCATATTGTTTGTTGGAGCATGACTTGTCCAATATATTACAAATTTTTCTTTTGAGTGATGTAGCCAGATAGCTAATCTGCGAAGGCCACAATCCTCTTGTATACTCTAAAAATCAAAACTGTGGTCTCTCTAACATGACTCTGGTGCTGAAATATTGAATGTAGACAATCATATAAACTCTTTCCATGTGCTTTCCTGCTACTCCTATTGTAAACTCAAAATATATTTTAATCAATTCACAGTCTTGCCCACTTGGTCACTACTTAGCTAGTGAGACTGCCGGATGTAGAGAGTGTTCACCTGGTACCTTTGCTAACAACTCGACAGCTGCATGTTTTGATTGTCCTGCTGGATATCAATGCCCAGGTATGTTATAATGGCGGGCGGGGTGTGCAACCTTTAATACAAGATGGCCGGATACAAATAACTGGGTGAAACCGCGGACCGCACCTTTATTTAACAAAGGCTTTTAGTAGTTGCACACACAAAAATTTCAGTTATTGATCATATGATATGCGTTGTTCGCTTTACACAAGCTAACGGTTAGGGATTGGAATTACTTGCGCCTACCAGATTAAACTACATTGAAAAGGGGGGGGGGAGCATGAAGCCTTGAGTCATTTTAAGAACTCAAATTGTGTGTTATTTATAGCGAAACGCTGTTGAATAAATTCCAAAGCCCTGCCTACAGTGATTAGTGTATAATATGACCATCAGCTTTATTTTCTTAGGTTATGCTACATCCGAACCAACTGCCTGTGAACCTGGAACATATAGTTTGTCCAAGTCATCAAATTGTACTGTTTGTTTGGATGGCTACTATCAAGAGAATGGAATACAATCTGAATGTGATCTATGTCCTGCTGGTAATATATTACAATGACAATTTTTAAGGATATCGATGTGCATTTTATGGGTTGTTTTACACGGTTACACCAATGCCAGACGTAGAGATTAGGAGGTTTTAGTGCTGTTACAGGCATATTCTGGTATGAAAACCCTGCAGGTTTTATCTTTAATTGATAATTTCTGAAAGACATTAGTACATCTTAATTGGTTTTCTCTTATTACTCCTAATAAGCTTCTACATAAGTAAGATGTAGAAAGCTTAGGGTTTTGGTAGTACAGAAAACCAGTGTTGGTATCATTCATGGTGCATTTATACTATCTGGCCCCTTCATGAGAGCAATAACAGAGCATCGCCAGATTGCCTCTGATTTGCATATTTATAATCAAGAACTCAGTCAGTACCAGTAAATTAGAAAATTATATTTGCTATACCTGGACATAGTTTCTAAATTATTTGTCCTAATATTTTATGTGCAGCAAATTTGCCGATAATCAAATTTCAGAGGCTTGGGTGTTTGGTGCGTTTAAGATCTGTAACGGTTTCTACAATTTCAGCTCTAACATACCTGATCATGATTCTACGGTCTTAGTATATTCTTTTATACAGCTTTGCTTATAGCAAAAGTGAGAATTAGGAGAATTGTCATTGCGAAACATGGAATACACAACTATTCAAGACATGTGAATAACTGTAATCTCACCTATAGTTTTTTTTTTCAGGCCATAATTGCCAGAATAAATCTTCATCGCCTGTCCAATGTCTGCCTGGATCTTATGCCACTGAAGGGTCTCTTGTCTGTCACACTTGCCAAAATGGAACCTATCAAGTAGGAAATTTTTTTTTATGAATTATTAGGAATTTTCGTGGTGATAAAAATTTCTCATTATGTATGGTATATTGGAGATAAAGAGAAATATTCTTGAGAGAATTTTGCCCAAACAGCACTTCGAAAATAAAATCAGAGATGAGTCTCTGCTACTTCTGAATGAGTGTGTGTGACCTTGCAAATTTTCCAAATAAAGCATTTCATCCAAGCAGCACTATAAAAATAATGCATTATTTACATATTATATCCTAAATCATAACATACTGTATGCAATTTTGTCTCCTGATTCAAAGGATAAATATCTTCTTATTTTTAACTCATAATTTTACAAAAAAAGGCTTCACCAATCAGTAATCACCATTTTAGACTTTGTTTTTTTTTACAGAACCAACCTGGACAATCCACATGCATCACTTGTACAGTAGGCCATCAATGTCCATCACCAGGCATTGTTGATCCTATAATATGCAGCAGAGGTAGTTATGCTATTGCTGGATCTCATGTCTGCACAACATGCCCTGAAGGTTATTTTGCTTCAAGTGAAGGCCTGGAAACCTGTGAGGTAAAATTGGTTATATTTTAAAGTTCGATGTGTAGTTTTTTTAATTACCGTATATGCTCGTTTTTACCGCCCGGTCTTGATTAAGAGTTCGTTTAAATAGCCGCCCGTGTGAACAGAACATAAAAATAAATAAGGGCCGGTGCTTGATTACCCGCCCGATGTAAAAGCTGATTTTTCAGTGGTAGAGAACAATAGGAAATAAAAAGCGCTTTTGTCACAACGCTGTTGAATTTTAAGCACTGGTAGATACCACTCACGCCTTAGGCATCCAATTACATAACAGATAGCATTGATTACGTAACACCTTGGTTCTCAAACTGGGCGTTGCGACGCCCAAGTGCGTTGTTTCATTATTGATAGGGCGTCGCAAAACTTTTCTTCTTATGCGGATGTGTACCTGCGGTGCGTGAAAAAGTCAAAATTTACGTTATCCTCGTTTAAATCATACTTGAGAACTGGAAATAACAATATAATAATTAATGTAACGATCGAAAATAACAAGCGCCCGTGCTTGAATAAGGGCCCGGTTAGTGAGTTGGTTGAAAAAAATCTGGGCCCGGGCTACAAAACGGGCAAATACGGTATGTATTTTCTTATCTTTATTGCAAATGAGCTACTAGTTTTTGGAGGATTGGAAAACTTACAGTTTCTGTTATGGCTTTGCCTATCCAATTCATTACATCCTGGGTGGTGTGAGGGGTATGGGATTCATGTCTGAGCCACAATCCCAACATAGTTAGGAATTATAACACTCACATTTAAGATGCAGTCTAGTTGAAATATCTCAAAAATGAGCCCGATTATTAACAAATTATAGGGTTTATTACCATTGTGTTTTTACACGAATAGTTTAGTAATAGTTTACACTACTATTTTTGAGAGTGTTGTTTAAGTGCATGTTGCACAGCTATGCCTTCAGTAACTTATACATGCTTCTTTGTTAATTTTTGATTCAGATTCTGTTTGGAATACTCAAATATCAATACATTTTCTATTTGAATTGCTAATGCTTACTTGAATGTTTTCATTCAAGAGAAATGTTATACTGACTGAATATAATTATTTGTTTTTGTATTTCAGATCTGCCTTGCGGGTCACTCATGTCCATCACCTACAGATGCTCCTACACCATGCCAACCTGGCACTTACTCTGACACAACAGGCAGGACTTCATGCTCTTCATGCAGTGCAGGATCATATTCCAACACCACCGGTTCTTCGATGTGTGACATATGTCCACGTGGGAGTTCTTGCAACAGCACAAACTCAGAATTATGTCCTGCTGGGATGTATAGTGATGTAGAAGGTAGAGTATTGTTATTAAGGTTTAGAAAATTGATAGAATATAGAAAGCACGTATCGGTCCATTGCACTGTTGGCAGCCACGCATTAGTGCACATTATTTTATTCTGTGGGTTAGTTATATGTGGGAGGATCCAATAATGACTTACTTGCCTTATTTGAAAGGATAAAAGTAATTTGACTCATAAATATAATGAACCGCTTGATGTGAAATTGTAGACAGGCCTATTTAATTCATGAGAATGATATGGCCTAGGCTCCCATACTTTTCGGTCTCGATCCCTGGTATTCTTAAAATTTTCTCTGAGACCCATGACCACTGCCACACCTAGGGTGTAATAAATTGGGTAAGCAATGACAAACAAAAAATAACTTGGTATTTTCAAACATAGCAACTTTTTATGTAGTTAATTTTCTGTGACCCCCCCTTGTGGCACGCACCATCGTTTGGGAACCACTGGTCTAGAGATTTGATTGAAGCCAGGATAACCTCATTACTTCATAAGAATTTCCGAAAATGCAAACTTCTAAACTAACCATAATTCTTACATATTCTTGACCAGGACTTTCATCTTGCAAATCTTGTGACACCGGTACATACACTAATGTAGTAGGCAGTACAGAATGTAGAACATGTCCAGCAGGATACAAATGTGCTTCAACATCTTCTGCACCAGAGATTTGTCCAGTTGGTTTTCACAGCCCTGCTGGGACTACGACTTGCATTGGTGAGTTTGCCTGGAAGTAAAATGTACAATATTATCATTTCAATTTTTCATGTATGTTTCATATCTTATGAGTTTGGTTAGGAATTCAAATCCATTATGTTTTTCCACTTATGTTCTATGTCACAAGGTTAACTATGCTATATCGAAATAACTGGTCTTGTTGCACATCTAGCAAATGTAGATTTTTAAAGTGTATGTGCCCTCACTCTAACTCATTGGTTTTCAAACTTTTTAAGCCACACCCCCTTTTTAGAATTTGTCAAGTCTCGCACCCCATCCACAAATAACAGATAGTGAGGCAAAAGTATGTTTTATTCAGAAAACACGTTGAAAATACGTGGATTGAACGTAAATATACAAAATACAGAAATGTAAATATTCAAAAAAAGGCAGGGAAGATCGAATCTCACAAATTTTTTTATTAGCTTCACACCTCACACCAATATTGTCTACGCTCCCCTTGTGGCGAATATATGTTTTATTCAAAAAATATGTTGAAAAAACATGGATGAAATGTAAATACCCACAATACTGAAATGTAAATATCCAAAAATAAGGCAGGAAAGATCAAATCTCACAAATATTTTTATTTTTAATTAGCTTCACGCCCCCTCAAAATCGTCTTTGTACCATTCTGGGACGCCACGCGCCCGTTTGTGAACCACTGTCCCAACTGGACAAAATTTTGATATCAATATTCTGAATCTCATAACTCACAGGTTGCACTAGTGGAACTTATGCATCTTCACCAGGCAGTGGCAATTGTAATCTTTGTCCAAGAGATCATTACTGTGTTGATACAATCTCTGATCCTGTCCCTTGTGATGATGGAATGTTCAGGTATGGCGTTTTCCATTACTTTCCCATCACAAGGTTTTATATACCGCTTTTGATATATTATATATTCTGTTAAAAATAACAAGAGAAGATCAGATTAGTGGATTTTAATATTGATTGGTAGGTTACTTTAGTTTAGCTTAGTCGTTCACTATGTATCAGCTTTGCTTGTCTATGTTCTTGTTCAGAGAGAAACTGTGAACTAGCTTATAAGCATTTTTTTGCCTTGCCTAGTTTATATACAGGGTGTCCATAAAGTCCCTTTACAATTTCAATTTTTGTTGTGAAGTCAGTTCACAATATATCTTAATACCAGGTTTGTTGTTTTTTATTCAGTAATTGTTTGAGTATTTTTACTTCATTTAATACAGGGTCGAAACAATATATGGTATTGATAAATTCCCTTTGCAGTTTTAAAAAATGTTAAGACTTTATGGACACCCTATATATCATGATAAAAGAGTAATGGTCTCCAGTACTTGGGTATTTTTGCTTCTTATTTTCATACGTCAGTTTTTGCACCGGCCAAAATATTGCTGAATTTGAATATCTATTTGTCAAATAATGATGACATCTCTCTTATCTGCCTTTAATATTAAAAACCTATATTTTGTAGGGGATTCATTACAGTGAAAAGAGCATTTTCCATGAACATATCTTTTATTATACTCATATTCAACTTGAAATGAATCCTTTATGATGATAAAGAAGCAATTGACATTGTGTTATAATTCAGTGGTCAGTTCTGAAAAAATCTTTTGAAGAAACTATTTGAAGCAGAGAAAAAGTGCAGCTTGAGTTCCAATTGTTCAAAAGTGTGAAGTTAAGAGGCAGTAGTTTGGTATTTGCTTGTGGGAGAATTTAAATCAGAATGAATCATACATTTTGACTTTTGAGTTATCTTAATGTGCAATAAAATAAAAGACTTTTTCCGTTTTCAGTTTTTAATAAACTTATTTATATAAAGGAGAGTATTATTAATAAAATCAAAAATTGCTTTGAGATTTGTTTCACTGAGTGTGTTTCCTGATAAAAATATATTTGAGAAGGCTTTAAGCGCAGGGAAAAAATAATATTTGTTCAGAAGTGAGGCATCTATGTAGTATGACAAACTACTGCCTTTACTTTTTTAATCTCGTAATGGCGGAAATTGCAGCAATCGTAGGTTTAGATCTCTTGAAGTATAACCAATATTGTGATACGCCTACTGTTTAGATCTGAGCAATTTTTCCTCCGCAGTTCCTAAAGCTTTCAATTCAGGAATTCCACGAATTGAAGATTGATATAATTGTTTCCTAATTTCACAGTTAGTGAATTAGGCTAAAATATTTTCAGCTTAATTAATACTTTAAACAATGCATATTATAACCTCTAGTTTAGAATAAAAGTTTCATCTATAATTTCTCCTTATCTATAAAGATCGGTACATGTTTGAAACTGTAATTCATTTAATTTCTAAATAACTAAGAACTCATGAATATTGACTAATAAGGAAGGTTTCTAACCTATAAGGACTTCTAACCTATTTGAAATTAATTTTCTATACCAAAGATTTGAATTATCATTGCAAGTTTTATCATGACCCTCTGTCCACTCACCACTCAATCAAATTATTTCTATAAACAGTTTTGCTTGAAATTCAATTGCAAAGGCATATTTATAACAAGGTTCTCTCTTCTCACAAATTCAACTCAAAATTCACCTGATAAAACCACAGTAACAAAAGAAACGTCTACCATAAGTCTCCTTTAACAGTAACAATTTAATGAGTTCCATAACAAAAGGTGGATTACCACTCAAAAGCTATTCAATATAAAAACACTCAAACAAAGTCTGGGAAAATATTATTAAAATTTAGCTCAGCTTGAAAATATTGTGACAACAACATAAAGCCAAATTATCATTATAAAAGGATAAATTAACTCAGCTGGGCTAGACAGGAATAATATCAACTTTTAGCAGATAGGAAAGTTAAAGACATCTTCACAGGACCAACCACGTACAGCTAGATGGTTATAAGACGGACTTAAATACCTGCGGTAGCTTATATGTTTCCTTGTTTATTTTTGTGAAATGAAATATTGTATCTATCTTTAATTTTAGCAGTCCTCTAAATACTTTCAACTATAATCTAGCTAAATTCTTCTGAAGCTGAGGATATATCATCATACTTGTGATCTTTAAACCTAATTTTTTTAAGGGTTTCTAAATCTCATATTATAACAAGCTAAGCTTAATTTAACACTTGTATTCTGCTTAAATTGACTTTATCCATTTTAAGATGCCGCTATATCAAGGTCACCCACTAGTATTGCCCAAACTTTGTACTGTCTTTTAAATTATCTTGCCCGCCATTGTGTCATACCTCAAACCATAGTTTGTCAGATAAAAATTTCTTTAGATTGGTTAATCATTGATGAATAATTTTTGATAAAAAACAAATGGGAACACTGGAAGAACAAACAAAAATAACATTTACTGATGGTTTTGAAAGGTGTTCCCAATTTCTTGAAAAATAGAGAGATAGTTAAACAATGTCCAGTAATTGTTTGCTAAAGATTGATCCCAAACAGAAAGAAAGCCAGTAAAGATTTTCCGAGTTTCAAATCAGTGTTTGTAGTCAGTGCAGTGAGTCACAAGAGGGATTTAAGCAGTAAATTGTTAATCAATTCAGAAAAAGATTTTATGTAAAAATGTGTTTGATCCTAGCAAAGTGGGATTGGGAATTACCTTAAACCGAGAACATATAAGAAGCATATTTTTGACAACTTTGCTGTTTAATTGAGAGAGATCATAATTTAAAATTGATTTACTTTGTATTGATATTACTTTCCAAGGTACCTATATATATTAAATTCAAAGCACTGTTTTAGAAAAACATTTAATGTTATGTGCGATATTTATATATGTGTGCTTTATACATATATAGTAATTTTAGTCAATTTTACCAGTTTTTTAATTATTTTCTGGCCATCTATGCTCAGACTGTCAGTGACGTATAACTTATTTTTATGGTATAGGTATCTCGAACATATGATATACAGTTATATAGTTCCTAATAGCAGTGGTTATCAACTTTTTATACTTTTTAATCAAGAGGGACTTCACATAATGATAGAATATTATCAAACTGGATTACCATAGTTTTCTTGTCTAGCGAAATTGCTTAAATATAACACATTTATTAGGTTAAAATCAATTTATGTATTCTTTTATAAACTGTAAAATTTTCTTCATTTATGTGAGTGGCAACCAAATATACGATTTCTTTCTGGATGAATTCCTGATGCTCTCTATTCTGTTTGACAATTACAAATTTCTACTTATCATTGGTCTTGAAAATCTCACTATTTACATGTAGTCAGTCAGGCATGGTTAAAATTTTAGCAAAATTGTTCTCTTTGTACAAAAAGAAATATTATAAAATGAACGCAAATGAATAAGAAAAATAATTTTAGGTGAGGCAATCACCTTGGAAACCTTGAGTACTTTGTGAATTTTGAATTATCAAATGTTATATTTATATTTTAATAATTATGACTAGATGTCAATAATGAGATAAAAATATTATTTAAATTTCATTACAGATTTAAGATTATTCTCATAAACCATTCATATGGCCTCAAACCAACTTATATTGGTATAATACAAAACCATAAAAGGTTTGGGGAAAGTAAGATTTTCAATCAGATGGTGATTGATTATCGCTGTTCTTTAAGATTGCACTAATTATCCAGTTTTATTTACTATTAGGTTTGTTTATAAACAAATCACATGAAAAGTTTTGAGTGAAGATATGAAAAATTGTTGTGTTGTAGTAACATCAACTAGTTGAATACTGGTAGATTACCAGCAACCTTACCTAGGGTGTAATAAATGGTTTCATTACATTTGAAACCACGTACATTTGAACCCATGACAATTGCACTTGCATACTATTGCACCTATGGAAATTATTTTGTTTTACGGATATTTGAACCCATACTCACCCTAACCCATGGGTTCTAGCACCCACATATAGATTGAACCCGCGGATATACGCATGGGTTCAAATGTACGGTCGCCGTAATAAATGGCCTCCAGAAGTGTGTGTACCAATATGGAGGTAACTAATTTCTTTTGCCTAGTTTACATCAAGTTGTGTAATTGAAACTATCGGTAGGAGGTATATTCACTTGGCTAACACAGACATTTCCCGAACTTGTAATAGAACTAAAATGAGGGAAATCTGAATAAAATTATGGTCTAGCCCTGACCTTCTACACAAACTACGGGTTTACCTAATTTTATGTATTTACCCTCAAGTACCCCATTTGATAAATTGTGTAATTAATATTAAATCTGACTTGCCATCCATCTCCATTTATCATTGCTCTTCAGAGAACCTTGTTTGGAGTGAAAAACGTATTAATCCGTTGTGAAAAAATTTGCTTGTTGCCAGCTACAGCGTCAATGACAAAATGCCATAAAATATTGATAACTTTTGGTTTAATCATTTGAAATTAATATGCTCATAAATAACAATATTTCTTGTATGATTCTGGCAATGTGGTATCATTTTATTAGTCATATTTCAATGGCCTGTTAGAGATATATTGAAACATACTTGAGAAAAGTTAGTTACAATATAGTGCTTAGCATGTTCATTAGTAATGAGTGTTTAACAAACAGTGTTTTTGGATGACATGACCGTGCCATGTAAAATGTAATTCAATTGAATTATATTTTATGAAAAGTGTTTTTACGTGTTTGAATTTGTACTAGAATGTCGCAAGTCTTGATTAATATTGATAAGAGAGTAAACAAAGCTAAGACCCACTTGTCTGGCTTCACTGATTAGTTGGTAAGAAAATAAATACCCTCTGCAGAACACCGACCAGTAATCAGACGGTGTAATTTCAAGTCTAATTGTACGGTAACGAGAAAAAATGATTCTGTTTATGTCATCATAGTGGTATATACGATAAATGTTAATTTTTTCAATATAGAAATAAAAAAAAATTATTCTTAATTCTTGTGTTTTTTTTTTATCATGTATCATTTTATAAGGTGTAGGAATCATAGATGTTCAAAAAATTAAGAAAAAATTCTTCCTAAGCCCCCATTGGTGACAATTTTGTAACTAATATTTTATGTGGCAATATTGTTGTAAGGTCAGTTTCTTGATGAAAATACACAAAAATTACAAAGTATAGAAAGTGTTTCAAGTTCAGTTAGTAGTGATCAGTTTTGGATCATAATCTAATTTTCTTGCTTATTTATGTACACATTAGTAGATTACGCCAGACTGTTTATGTTCCCATATTACCACACATTTTCATATTTTCATTCAAAAATGTCTAAAATTATTTTTGTGAGTTGTTTATAAACAAAATTAATAGTAAACAAAACTGGATAAGAGGGAGGGGGATATCAATTTAATTTTTGTTGAATAAATGTTTATGTTGTTGTTCAAGAATGATTTGACTCAAATGTGATTAAGTGAGATCTTTTTTATGATAATAAACTGATCCTTTGACACATAATTGATATGCATTTGATCCTCAATATACAGGGTGTCCATAAAGTCTTGAAATTTTTTAAAATTGCAAGGGAATTTTTTATATCTTATATGTTTTGGCTTTCACAATGTTAAAATGAATTATAATACTTGAACAATTACTGATTAAAAAACAACAAACCTGGTTAAGATATTTTAAGAGCTGACTTCATAACAAAATTGAAATTGTAAAGGGACTGTATTAATTCAGTTCTAATTTTCATTCTTATACTGAGAATAAATTCTCGAAAAGTCGAAACCTTTTTTATGAGAGTTTCCTGTGATTCATTTTACTTCAAATTTTCTTTCCTCCTGTCATCAAATAAGGCATATGTGACGTGCAACAAACAATAATTTCTTAATCACAAGCAATTTCTTTTCAATTCAGTTTCATAGATTGTTAGTTACGCTAATAAACAGTGTTTGAATTTACAACCAAATTTACGATCCTACGTATATTGTGACGCAATCTAATGTTTACAGAGAATAAGAGTTTTGTGCCACTATCTAAGTAAACATTGTCAGTAATCCATGTGATCCTCAAGTAGAAATTGTTTGAAAATTAAATTTATAGATAAAAAGTGGAATTGTTTTTTAAGTAGACACAGAAAAAAAACTTGAAATTTGAATGCACGAAATTTCTGCCTAAATTATAAAATATTATCGTTACTATAATTGTAATAAATAAATCATCATGAATGAATTGTAGACTTGTTTGTTCTGGGATTCTAGTAACAATATGTATGACCTATTCGGGCAAATTTTTGGTTGTAAAATATGAAATTGGTGTAGTAGTACCATAGGATATTTTATATTAATCGCTTCACATCTCCAACTACCATTTTTTCAAATTCTTTTTTAAATAAATTCATGGAATATTCATCCAGAAAATGTATAGCCAAGCTATACTGTGATCTACTTACTCAATCAGATACTTGTAGATTGGTTAAAATTAAAATATATCCCTTTAAATCTCTCTGTAATACTCATTATGCCCATCATAATAAATCCTTTAAATATTTGAAAAACATGTAAAATTTTCTAAGTAAATTTTATGAAGTCAAATCCTGTTCAAAATCATTTTTTCACAATTTTATTCCACTTATAAGAATTTACCGTTTTTATCAATAAAATCCAAAGCAATGGCCAGTAGTTGTCACAACAATTGTTCAGATTCACCATCCTTGTTTGATCGAGCATAAACTGCCTATTGTTATGTCACAAATCCCATGGTTGCAAAACAAATATTTAAGTCGCGGTCTCAAGATATGATGGATTATTTCCCCCTTTTGTTTGCGACATTTATCTGGGTAAAATGACAAGATTAGTCATTGTGAAATAATGTTGAAACACGAATACTGGCTTCCATAGATTTTTTTTGGCATTTTAAGGACATATTGTGTTTGATTTTGGTGTGAAGTTCAGTGGTGTAGTGACGAAACACTTATTTTGTACTCTTGTAGAAATTTGTAGTTGAGCCAAATTAATTTCATACAGGCATCCTGGATTAAAACCCATCTAATAATATGAATAGATATAACAAATTTTTTCAAAAAAAAAGTACCATTTTTTATATGGTATGTTGAATGGTTATAAAACGTGTTTTCAAGTTTACTGTCTATTGTAACCCGTTATATTATCGAGCAAGGTGGCCACAAATATTTTTATAAGGCTTTTACTATTTGCCAAACGTTTTTGCAATAGACATAAATCTGTTATGAACCTAACCTTGAGTTGAGTATTGAGGAGTTTTGCTACAAAGTTGCGAGCTCTGTTTTTCTAAACCACACATACTGGTATTTGAACATTTTAGATAGACGTTTACTCCAAGCTCGCATAAACAGCTTCGCAAGCATAGGGTCACACCAAAAATTTTAAAGCATCATAGTAAGCCAATTTTCATTTGGGAATTCAGAACAAGGCCTTGTACAAGCTGTGTCCCAGGCATATAGTGCTACTGTTTTATAAAAACATATTGCTCAATAGAATGTGCAGAATGTCATTCGGAAATATTTCACCATCAAGTTTCGAATATATGAAATAAGCAATTTATTAATCATATTACAAACATATATTTATCTTATATTCACTAAAAAAACGGAATTTCTCAGATCCATATTCTAATCCAGATTTAGCATTGTTATAACCAGTACTGTACCGCACTGAAATCGGGCCACAAAAATTGCTTTTAATATGTTTTTCTTGTGCTTCCCACCTATGTCTCAAGACCTCGATTTTATTGTCACCTTTATTAGCATAGTCATTGATCATTAACCAAATCAAACAATCTGCCTTAGCTATGCAGACAAACATAACCATAGCGTAGACTAGTGGTGTGTTAACAAACATCATTTAGAGAAATAATATATCACTCTGCCATCAATTTTTGTTTGATTTTCGTGAACTTTTTAAACTCCTTACGCATTTTGTGGTTAAATTAAAAGGAGAGATTTATGTAATAAAAATTGAATCGCATAGTTTCGACACAACAGTAATAAACATCTTGAACCTATCTGTTTAACTCAGAAATAAAAAAACGAGTCTTTTTTCTGGACTACTAATTGCTTTCAGCAGTATTAGTTCCACTTTCTTTGGTATAGGATGGGATTTACTTGTTATTTATCTTGAGAGAGAGTAAAGCCAATAAGACGGCTTAATCATATTGTGAACCACGGCCTCTCGTCCGGTTATCATTTCATGTCTTTGTGTGATGTATCAATTGTCAATACAGTTATTTTGCTTTTATTCTGTAAAGTATATTATGATATACCAGTAATTTTCATTATTTTGAGAATAGTATGTTTCTTATTGAAAATTGCTTGTATCTGGGAAAATTTGCAGTTTTCTCACCAGCCAATATTTTATCTATTTTAAGAATATTTTATCTATTTTAATTTATTCTGGACCTTACCAGCACAATATCGAGTTATGTTTGCATCTCTTATTCACACAAAACAGAAATGCCAGTTATACTGAGTACTAGATCAAGTGATTATTGGACAACCTTCGATTAATACATATGATATACAGGGTTTCCAAAAAATGTCACCCAATTTTAAAGTAATAACAATTGAAAATTCGCAAGATTTTATAGTAACAATTGAAAGTTTGAATATTTCATTGTATGATAAATGAGAACTGCAAGCACAATAGAAACTATTGATAAACAAAGACAAAAAAAATGTTATTGTCATATTACTATGAAATCAGGCAAAATTTATGTACCGTTATATGAAATAACCGATGGAGCCCATGATTTTTTATTTATCATCGGGAGAGCAAAGTCTATATGAGAGATTAATCGTAAGGCTGTCCCCATCTATAGAGATTATGAATTAGAGTATGGTGATTCTATAGAGATTATATGTAGAGCATGGTGATAACTAAAAAAAGATGTTCTAAATGCATAGTCAGTATTCCATTGACCAACAGAAAAGGTATTAAACAGAAGTTTTTCATTGAAAAAGTCATTTGAGATTTTATTTTAGAAGAAAATAGAATAGCCATTCACTTATGTAAGTTATTATGTGGACATATTTTGCCTGATACTTGTTGAAAGTTTCACAGTATAGTCATTTTTATAGTTTCAAGGCAAGGCATTATACATAATATTTTGATCAGTTTAAAAAACTTACTGGTACTATTTCTTAACCAGAAATATTTTATTGATGACTTTTCATTCATACAACTATTTTTTTACTCAAACAGAAGTATTTTGAAGATACTCCTTATAATTATGTAAAGCCATTTAACAAGCAATAAAGAGGGAAAACTATACAATACTATATTATATATAAAACTAAAACAATCTTGCTCCTGGACTCAAAATGGTATATTTAAGCCATATTGGAGCACAAAGATTTTGTTGTGTTGTACTACTTGTGTTTATTTTTCAAAATAGTCAACCTGGATCTGTCGTGTGTGAAGCAACCACTGCTGGAACTGTTTACAATTCAACGACAGGATTGTCAGAACCATGCAAGGTACTTTCATTTCTCACCCACAGCAACCAAAATGTCTTGTATTGAGTTATCATTTTCTTAAAGTATAAGTTTGAAGCCAATTTGGTATGGTTGCTATGTTTGCACGGGTATTTCAGGCCCACTTGATTGGCAACTTGACATACTCAATAGCTTACATCCTGATTAGATAGAACAGTGTTCCAATCAGGGCTCATTGCCCTTGGGCCACCGAGCAGTAGGAGGGGGCCTGGATACTAAGCACAAAATTAATTTATTTTTCACTTCGAAATGTCGCTATAAATATCACTTACAAACAGGGGGCCACGGTGCTAAAAGCCCCCTTAAAGGGGGCACTAGCTTTAATGGGTTAAAACCAACTTTGAATTGACTTTGTTGAGCGTTAACAACAATCTTCATTTTCTATCATGGGTATTGTTACTGATTGTTTGTAATTTTTTGTACCAAAGCATGGTTTTAATTTTTTATTAATTACGCCAAGAAATGAAGTCACTGTATGTAATGGAATTTCGCACCAGGTTATGGGCAAAATTAGTGTTTCATGAACATATATACTAAAGATGATGATATTAAATAAAATAACATTTATTCATCCGAGTAAGATGAATCGCTGATTAATAATAAAGCTATAAAATGCTCAATTTAGCAAGCAAGACAAATTTATATATATATATCTAAATCTTTATACAAAGCTTTTTAACATCTTTCAATCAAAACAAAATTCTGTACAAGTGTCCAATGATATCTAACGATATGTAAGGAATTATTATTTTTAGGAGGTCTTTTCAGTTCATCATTGCCCAGCCAATTTATTATACCCTGGATGAGGTGGGTATAATAAGATTTGAATCGAAGATTTGTAACCCGCATTGTTAACCTAGAGAAGTCCAAAACTTTACCCACTAGGCCTGTATGCCCATTATTTAGTCTGATATCTAGGATAAGATTCACATATTTTTCTCAGGGAAGAGGTAAATTGATAACCATATAGTGAACCACGGCCTCTTGTCCAGTTACCAATCCATGTCGGGTATGGATTTAGTTTATTTATTTGTTTTCGGAAGCATGGACTTATTTATTTGCTTACAATAATTTATTTTAGTCTGGAACTTACTACAATGGAACAACCACAACTTGTGAAGATTGTCAACAAGGATTCTACTGCTTAGGATCAACAGCATTACCATCAGCCTGCCCTGGTGGAACGTATCAAGATCAGCTTGGCCAAAGTTCCTGCAAACAATGTCCAATGGGTGAGTAGGATTGTTAGCGGGGTTTGTGGGGCGCCCCACCGTTTAAAAACCTCTGATCTAGGGAATATAGAAAGGAATTTTATCATATTTATTTTGAGGCTTGTGATATCTAAAGCAACTCAATCATATGTTGGATCAAGGCCAATTGTATGGTTACCATTAGGTAACCAGATACGGGACTGGCGACGAAAGCCACAAATAGAATCCAAGGATATATGAACCATCCTGAAATACCAAGTTCAGTAATCTTTTTCATTGAATTATTTTATCACAGAATTCGAACCTGTTAATTCACACATAGTAATAAGTGTTACAATGATGAACATATTTTTTCACATAGCTCAATGTGCCAACTGTTGAAAAACATTATGTAATTTTATTGTATAATTACATTATATATATTACTTATATTTTTTCAAGGTCAGTCATGTCTAGATCCCGCAGCTGCACCTGAGAACTGTGCTGCTGGACAGTACAGTATAACTGGAATGCAAACTTGTGCAGTAAGTTTTCTTAGTTCGGTTAAAATCTTAATTTTTTTCATGAAACAGGTTACTGAAAAATATATAACATTAGAAATGATGAAAAACATGTAGCCTTTAGTTTTTATCCATATGTGTTGATGTGTCTTATATGAGTAGACTGATCATTGAGTAAACTGGCCCTGAGTAAACTGGCCGAGTTTTAAACCTCATTAAATGTTTTGCCAGTTTTATCTTTTTCCTCATTTTTTTGTATGTTTATTAATATGTTCTGTGTATGTTCTTCCCAGGAAATCGAAGTAAAATAATACTTATAATTCATTCCTATGCAATTTTTTAACTCTCTTCTCAATTTTTCAGTCATGTCCAGCAGGATATTTCAGTGGTGCGACAGCTTCATCATGTTCCCCTTGTAGTCCAGGGAACAGCTGCCCCGACGGCACTTCAGAAGTTCCTTGTGACGCAGGATTTTATTCCATTGGAGGAAGTCCAGCATGCAATGCTTGTCCAGCAGGTATATATTTTATTTTATCGCTCATGATTGGAAATATAAATCTTTCTTTTTTATTCTTGAAAAATTAACATGGAAGGTTAGTTTTTGCTAGAGACAAACACTAATGTGTGAGTGATTCTGCTCATTTTGTGAGCCTGCAAATCAGATATGTAGCAAGTTCATAGCAGTTTAGGTTCATGAATGAATGAAACCAATTTAGAAAATATAAATTAAATATAGTGAGACTCAACCATGAAAAGAGTGACTAAATAGTCAGTTGTGCTTTGTAACGTCATGCTCGGATGAGCCATTTAGTTAGCAATGGTGAATGTTCTTTATTCTAATTCATGAATATTGCTGCGAACAAAAGCCCTGTACAGGAATTCACCAATATCAAACAAACAAACATGTACAGGGCTCTTATTATTTGGAAAGAATCTTTCATGATTTGAACCTTCAATGTGTAATCTGCAATGCCAAAACAGTCGAACACCTCAACTTCTAATTGTAGTCAGTTACAATAGAAATCCTAACAAAAAGTGTAATCAATACTGTTAAGTTTATTTTAAATTGTGCATGAGAGTACACCTCATTTCTTTATTATATTGCAGGTCAGCACACCGATGGACTAACTAGTGCTTCAGTATGTTTAATCTGTCCTGCAGGTTCTCAATGCATTAATCCTACTGTTACACCAGTAGCGTGTGGCAGTGGAGAATATAGCTATGCTGGAGAAGTAAGCCATTTAATTCATTGTTCTTCTATGGTTTTTCCACTTGTTTTTAAAATTCGATTTTCGAAATATCACCAGTTTTCCAAGAGTATTGACTTTTGACTTGAATGTGTAAATTAACTATTTGTATACAACATGATTTTATTGTTAAGTCTTTTTCTCTCTTAATGTTAAATAAATCTTATTTTGTATGAACATATTTTTGATTGTTTTGAATTTTATCTATTTAGAATTTTCTTCAATTTTTGGTCTGGTCTTGTTCTGCTAAATTGTTATACAACAAATTTGGATTATGGAACTAATCACTTCCACATATTTTCTAATTTGCTATACAGTTACCTTCTAACGCAAGGGTGTGAAACAGGCGTCGTATGGGCCACAACCAAGCCATTTAGTGTGACTCTTGCCAACACTCAGATTTTTCCCATCAAAAATAAAAATTCTAATCCGACAGTTTGTGTTTAAAAGGGCCTCACATGAGTAAAAATACATAATTCTTTTTGCTCTTATTGCGTCGTTGGATCTTTTGTCATTTTGGCTGGCCCCTTTATTACCCGGAAGGCTAAGTGGTAGCCGCATTCTCTCTCTTGCTTTTCCCATTACGCTCTGGTTGATGCTAATTTTTTTTTGTTTTATTTATGGAAAAACAATTTTTTTTGTGTGGCCCAGCTAGATGTCTCAGGTTGGTTATATGGCCCATTGCCAAAAAATGTTGCACACCCCTGTTCTAATGAGCTATCCCTCTCATATACAATATTCTTTCATATTTCATACCTGGCCTCTTGGATACATCGTTTTATTCCATGTTTTTCTGCCTTTTTTTACTGATAGATTTTTCAAATTCATGCCCAAACCTTGTTTCACCTACCGTACATTCAATCTGTTGTATAAACAGGCCAAAAGTAGGGTAACAGTTATCAATTTAAAATTACCTTAATGACTGTAATAACTATTTAACTTCGATGACTTTCGTCAGTCAGTCAGTCAATCGTTTATTTGTCGTCACAAAAAGCAAATGCACAAAAACAAGAAATATACTAGTATGGTTACTTGTGCGACGAGAGTCATGAAGGACCTTGTTAGGTCTTCAAGCGGCGACACCTATTGCGCTGTTACTGGTTATTTTTACATCAATAACTATTCTTCTACTTTTAACCCTCCATGTATTTATTTGTACTTCTTTCTCTTACTCTGATAACAAATTATTACTTTTTCAGACTGCATGCACTGGGTGTCCCGCAGGTTACTCTTGTAGTGATGCAGCATCTCCACCTCAAGCTTGTGCTGCGGGTACTTATTCCACTGGAAATGCCCCAAATTGTGATCCCTGTCCAGCTGGACAAAGCTGTTTAAATCCTGCTGAGCCACCACAGAACTGTGATGAAGGAACGTATTCTGCACCAGTAAGTTTTTTCTTTTGCTATAAAAGAAGAATAAAATTGCCAGTAATTCAAGTCGCTCTTCTGGTTACCAGTCTTATTTGAAAGTGAAACTTTAGCATGTACTAAAGTAAAAAATTAGATTTTTCATTTATATTCTGGTTGAGGGGAAGCCACAAAGGCATTCTCTCATCCAATTACATAACTGGGATGATGGAGGATAAAAGTATGTTGTCATTGCAGACGAAAAAGGTGTGAATGTTAACTATGGTAGGCAATGCTAAACTTGGAAGATTGTGGTCTTAATAATAGCCTAATACATATCAGTAGAAATTTGTACATTACCTCCTAAAAATAACTTGTGAAATTGTTGATATTTACTCCAGATTTGTATTTCAGAGTCAAAGTTCATGTACACCTTGCCCAGCTGGAAGTTCTTGCACAAGTTCTACTGCAACAGCATGTAGTGGAACTGGTGTATACAGTTTGGAAGGAAATAGTACTTGTCATGCATGTCCTGTTGGTAAGAAAACTGCACATTTCTCCTTTTATATGAATTGGAATGTGTAATTACTCACGTTGAATTTGCTCCATATGGACATAAGAACAGCACACAAAGTACTCTCATTTGTAATTTCATGACGGGCAACAGAAAGAAACTAACAACTAACCCTGGAGCTGAAAATTTGAATGTTTCCATTTTGATATTGCCGACCTAACTTTCCTTGGCTTATATTTTATAAGAAGAAAGTCCTAGTTAAAGTTCCTTGAAAACCTAAAAATGTGGTGTAAATTTTTTGTGAAACTTCCGGCCAGTAGTTTTATATTTAAATTCATACTTTACATACTCACTTCTTTTTTATTAAGTCAAATTTCTTTATTGCTGTTTTTAATTTTCTGGAAAAATAAAATTTTGTTTTAGGTTACAAATGTCCTAGTCCAGAATTAGCTCCACAGAAATGTCCTAGTGGTACAACTACTGAAGGAAAAACTGGACAAACTGTTTGTGTTGAATGCCCCGCTGATAGCACTTGTGCAGATCCAACGTAAGTTGTCAGAGTTTTCTGTCTCTGTGGAATAATATTTATTTTATCATATGAAAATTTCACTCTGAACAAGATTCTATATGGAAGGCCAGTTACGACATAAAAAGTTCTCTATTTAAATTGTACATTATTTCTCCTAATTTGTCATGCCAACTCGATAATAGGATGATGTCATGAGAAATAGATGATGGGGAAAGAGTGATGTCCACAGAGTAGGCTATATGTGTATTTTACTGGGTGCCTATTTGCTCCTAATTGACATATGCATCCAAGCCAACATGTTTATAAGTGAACAACTACTAACTGCAATGATAACTTAATGGATCAAAATGTATGCACATCAAAGTCTGATCTGATCTTTGGTTCGAATCCAGACACCCTTTCTGTCGGGGTTTATTGAATTGGATAGGCAATACTGAACCGGAAAGGTCTTCCCAAATAATAACAAGCTTCATACATATCGTTAAATATCATTGGCTTCTGCATATGGCCTTGTTGGGAGTAAAAGACCAAGGCATTTGTGCTACATAAATTAATCATAAATTAATCAATTGTCTTTTTGTTTAGTACTGGACCATCATCTTGCCCAACTGGAAGTTACGTACCTGCTGGATCTACTTCATGTTTATCTTGTCCTGCAGGTGTGAGCTGTTCAGGGGTAAGTCTAAGAGTTTTCAATGTTATGCATGATTTGGTGATTTTGAAACAGAATACATTTACATCATGACTAAAAGCTATGAAGAGGAGATGGATTCAGAGTCAAAATTCCTTATCCAGAGTCTGAAATCAAAGCTGATTATATAAAATTTCCCCACCTCGACTGTTCGAGTATTAAAATACTACTACAATATAACAGATGGGTAATTGACAAAATTCATGAAATAGGTAATACATTTTGCATCATTAAATACACTTTTAAAGATAGTAATTTAAATATATACTTTCAGAATACAGTAACAGCTTGTTTGCCTGGAACTTACTCAACAGAAGGAGAAATGGTCTGCAATGAATGTCCTGCTGGTAATGCTTGTCCTTACTCAGATCAGGCACTGATCAATCCCTGTGAAGATGGTGGGTTTACATGAGATTTTTAATATTTTACTTACGGTATGTTTTGATATGTGGTCTGAAATGCAATTTTTGAATGTTACCATGGTAACCACACAATGCTATTCTGAAATCTGAACTTTAAGTTTATCAATATTAATTTAGATATTGGTCAAATAGTTAGTTGCCTTTATGCTGATAATAGATAATTTTGATATGTTGTTTTCATGGTAATACTATTTTCATTGAATCACCATGGAGCACATACTCATTTCATTTAAGAACGTCTTATATAAGTACATATTACTGGTGTCATTTAATTGGGCTTTACAGTGATAAACTTGTGGGTCAGATGTATATACACACAATATATTGCATTGATTATTAGGTTTTGAACAAATCAAATTTGAGCTAATCTTCATATTTTATTTTTAAACTTAAATAATATATATTCTTCACTGTATCCTATCTTGCAGGAACATACTCTCTTGTCAATGCCAGTTCATGCACCACCTGCCCAGCTGGATCAGAATGCCCCAACACAGATTCTAATACAGAAACACCTTGTGGAACTGGTTACTATTCATATGGGGGACAAAAGGCCTGTACACAATGCCCAGCTGGAATGATGTGCCCGAGTACTGATGGATCTGGGAATGCATATTGTGTGCCGGTATGATATAAATTTTTGTGCTGACATTGGTATTTCAGTAGAATTGAGGTAACGGTAGTTATTAAATTAGAGTGACAATGAAATTTGAAAATTAGACCAAACAGCATTTATATTATGGACATTAATAATTTGATGTGTTAAAACTGTTTTGGAATACATAATTTTTTGATTTAAACATTTAAGGTGTGAATGGGTATCAAAAGCCTGATACAATCCATTTTCTAGTATAATTTAGTCATAGAATTTTGACCACACACACCATACATGTAGATTTCATGTTCGAATCCTATGAAATACGATTATGAGGGAAAGGATTGCTATTGAACTGAAAAGATAGTTTCTTCAAATATTTGTGAATTTTTATGTTTTTGACCGATCGATCCTGCATCCAAAATTATTAGCTGGCGACCACATACTTGATTAGGACCTGTTAAGAGGTTTGCAATTGGCCATATATGTGAGGCCGGCGCATTGTGACTAATAACTTTGTTGATGAACTGTGCAAAATCACTGGTTCGAATATACTGTCTGCTAATTGTATGTGAAAAGGTTTCTGGTGTTTTCATGTTACATGGTGTTGAACTGTGCAAAATCACTGATTCGAATATACTGTCTGCTAATTGTGTGTGAGAAGGTTCCTGGTGTTTTTCTGTTACATGGTGTTTCACATAACTACTGGTAGTTCACAGCTCCCTCCAATACCGAAGGCATATGAAACAAATACCGGTAACTGTTTTAATTAACCTATAACCAGACAAGAGGCTTTGATTTGCTATATGATTTATCCCTCTTTTTGATTCTCCCCTCTCCTGGAATAAAAATGAAAATTCCACCCTAATATACCAATTAGAACATCTCAAGCATCATAGAACGGCTTTCTTTTCCAAAATCCTTTCATAACAAACATCAAACTTATCACTTCAAAGGGAACTTACTCATCTGCTGGGGAAATAAGTTGCACTGATTGTACTGCTGGAAATGCTTGTCCTGTTACTACAAATGCTACAATAATTCCGTGCAAACCCGGATATTATTCACTTGATCGAGCAACTGTGAGTCATTTCCTAAGTTATTATGTTATTTTAGATCCCACCTTCCGTACAATAGGAAATTCTATCTTGTCCTCCTTGCTTGAAAAATTATTGTATCATCACATAGAAAATATGGTTACATATATTTCAAAAGTTTTATACTTAATTCGGAAAAAAATAAATTGGATGGCTTTAAATTAAATTGCAAAATTAAAGCATTTTGAATAAAGATTCTCTTCTTTCAAAGAAAAAAGACCAAGGCTAGAAATCAATCTTTGATTGAGGGTTTCTGAAGAATTATTCTCATTATTTTTGCATAATTAAATTTTTTCTTTTTTTCCTTTTTGAACTTTTTGGCTATTTTACTTTTACTTGAATTTTAATATTTTTGTAAAGAGTATATACTAAATTGGAACTTTGAATATGAATGATATCATATCAATTTATTTACTCAAAAACAGTATCACTTGCCTTGAAGATCATTAAATTTACTGGTTACAATTTTTGACAATTTTTTACTTCTCTTCATCTCTGATTCAATTTTCAATAAATAACATTATTTGAATATTTAACGTTCTCTCAATTTAAAAAAAAATCTTTATAACTAATATTTTAATGGACTTTTATTTCTTCAACAGTCATGCACAATGTGCCCACCAGGCTATGAATGCCCCACCACAACCGCAGCTGATACTATGTGCACTGCAGGTTTCTACAGCATAGGTGGCCAGACGGCTTGCACTGAGTGCCTGCCTGGATTTGCATGCCCTTCAATTTACGACATGTATATGATTAAATGTCCTCAAGGATATTATGCTGAAAAAGGAAAAACTGTGAGTAAATATTTTTTTAAAAATGAAATAAAATATTACTATGAAAAATCAGGAACCTAATGCAGGAACATCAGGTAATGTTTTTCTATAATTAGTTGACTGCCATCAATGCTCTTGGGAAGTCTCTAGTCATGTTGCCGCAGTAACAAATAGCTAACTCTGTTGAGACATGCCAACTTGCTGTGTTCTTTTTTCGAGATTAAGCCTCATCAAAAGAATGGGACTAAGCAAACTTATTTAGACATAAAACATAACACAATTAAATGAAAGGATAAAAAACTAAATCAAGTGCTATCTAGATCGAAATTAGGGAGAGACAATAATTGAAGACATCAAGTCATATTGTCAACTGCTCATTTCAGCAGCATATGGTGTCAAACAGCATAATATAGTTCTTCAATTAAAATTTTTAATTCATCTTGTTATGACGATGCAATGGTTATTTTAAACTACCTTTATACTTATAACAGGTTTGTACGATCTGCCCTGCTGGTGATGAATGCCCTTCCACATTGACTTCTGGGTCAACATGTGCAGATGGATATTACAGTACTGAAGGCCAAACATCTTGTATTGCTTGCCCTGCAGGATTTCAATGCAGTGACAAAACTAACGTACCACAGCCATGTGCAGCCGGTAAAGATTTTTTAAATTAAAGAAACATCATTTTAAGACATTATAATGCTGGTATTTGAATAGTCACAGCTCTGGTTTAGAATGGTTGTGATTAAGTCTATTGATGAGCCATGTTATATTGAGTTTTTTTTCTCTAAAATCTTGGAATAAATTATTTACTTCAGGAATGTTGAAGACCTAAGTACTGACAGAGCCCTTAATGCAAGCATTATATCAAGTTCCTTGTTTTAAAACAAGTCTATTTCAGTCTATTTGTGAGTCTGGAACAGGAAAGATTCCAGGTCTCCCAAAATAAAGTAATTCTTAAAATAGCATTGTGCCCTCATATAGAAAGCATCCTGAAAATAATCACTATAAATGCAACTAACAATATAAAAGTTACATAAAATACAATTTATGGGCAGTTTTGACCAATTATCAAGCATTTTGCTTTTTTTTCTGGGTAGAATATTATATAGGAGGGATGAATAGAATATTATACCACTGGGAACCTCTGAGAATTGTGGGAAGAATGCAATGTCAAGTTTGTCATTGATATAAATATTGAATAAACCTTTGACCGGCTGTCTTCTTTCCTACAATGAAGATAAGATTTCATAAAAAGATTTGCCATCCTTGTTTTATTGAATTACCGGTACATTTAAGTATTTTATTGGTCACTCCTGTTTCATGCTTTTGCTTCAAACTGCACATTTAAACCCATATGTAATAATTTATATTGTTGTCTACAATCTGAGGTTATTATTAATATTTAATTGAATTAAATCTAAAACTGCACATCGATTGTTTAGTGTGTCATAGTGCTTATTTCTGTGTATTTTTCGAATTGTTTTGCATGGCGAAAGTCAGACTTCTTCTAGTAAGCAACTTATAGTTGTTATGGTTTTGTTGTTGAGTTATTAATTTTATTTCTGTTTCACACATGCTCTTCCAATGCAATAGGGTATTATATTTATTATACTTTTAACAGGAACATACTCAGAAGCAAAATCATTTGCAAGTCCTTGTCCAAACTGTAAGGCAGGATATCTGTGTCCTGCAAAAAGTACATCTGCTAATCCTGGAAATTCAAAATGTCCTCTAGGTAAGTAATTTTTGTAATTCATCAATTTTCTGTTGTATGAAAAAAATAACCTGTTATTGCACAATGCACTCTGAGGTGAAACACTTGGGATTGATGTATGTCGGTGATAGAAGAGAATTACCATTTTGTTTCATGGGAGAGTATAGCACAATTTATACCCATTTAATCATTTTACAAACTATGCCTATAATCCTATTACAATTGTTTGTTACTAGTCTAAGCAGCTTGGGAATATATAATAATGTAATCATCTTACATGCAGTGGACTTGAATTGCTTGCTTTACTCTAATTTAAAAACTTTTTGTCTAGTTGACAGGCCAAGCATTTGTAATATAGCAAACACTTCAATTATTTTTTATTTATTAACATGGGTGGTGAAGAAAGACATATGCGATTATTTGCTACATAATTTACCCTAATATTTGGTAGTATACTCTTAAACGCAATATTCTTTCATGTTATTCAAACCTGCAATCCACATAAGGTATTTAGTGGCGCTAATAATATGCTCCAGGCCTGTACCACAATTTCATCTATGGGATTTTATATTAGCTGTGTATTTTCTATTGTGAATTTGACACACACTTCAGAAAAAAATTTTAATATCGTTTTTATAGTTATATAACTTGAAAATTATTTTATTCAGGATTTTACTGTGAAGCAGGAGCTACAACTGCAACACCGTGTGAAGCTGGCACATATGGAGCAACAGAACAACTTAATGTTGCAGCGGATTGCACTGCTTGTCCTGCAGGTGATCATTCTTTCGAAACATCAGAAATCTTAGGATAGGATTTACATATTTATCCCAGGGAAGGGGAGAGCCGATAAGATGGCTTAATCACATGGCGAACCACGGCCTCTCGTCCGGTTACCATTCCATGTCTGGTATGGAAAAGGATTAGTTAGTTATTTGTTTTCAGAAGCATGGACTTGATGGTGGATGAAGCCGTGACCGACCAGCTGTTACGTGAACCACCCTACAGCAGCGAGGAGTCCAGCAATCCTCTCGCACATAACCATCCTCCCGTGGGATTCGAACCTGCGAACCCACGCAGAGTAATTAGAGGTGCGGTGGCGAGCGTAGTCCTAACGCTTAGCATGATGAGCCTCACCCCCTTTCTTCTTGTTAGCTGTTAATGGCTCCAAATAGGTCATGTTGATACCAAACTTTATGTTGCTAATAATGTCAAAATATCATTATTGTTTTCAAAAGAATACTCCCTTATCATAAAAAAGTAAACTTCTCTGTATTTTGTGTTAATATATATAAAATATATATTTGTAATACCATATTCACTTTATAAGCATATTTTTCATCACTTTTCTGATTATCTTCTAGGATATTTCTGCTTAGAAGGAACTATTGGGCATCCTGGCACTCAAAATGTTTGTCCTAGAGGCTATTATTGTGAAGAACGCACAGCTAGGGATAATCGGTTCCCATGTCCGCGTGGAACTTATGGACCTAATCTGGGCATGGAGACACAAGCAGATGCCTGTAAGCAATGTCCTGCTGGAAGATATTGTGGACGTGGTAGGTCAACATTTTTTATCTTTTTTATATGGAGTTTAATTTCTTTTGAACATGACTGTGTATTATCTACGTCAGGGCTACTCAACTATTCTCACTAAAGGTCTGTACACAAAATTGAAAACAATGGCAAACAATTCTTCAAATACATCTTTTGACAAAATACTGCAGCAATGCTCAATATCGCACTTCGGCACCGGTATGACAAGGCTTTAGTTGGGTAGATGAACGCCAACTTTGCTGAAAAGATGTGAACATTTGGCCCCATAGTACCCATGAAAAAGTATATTCAGTATATAATGTGTATTTAAAAGCCTTTTAGAGACTTAAAGCATCTATTAAATTTGGAATATATTAGTAGTGGAGAAAACGACTTTTTCTAAGTGACATTAAGAAAAACCGCATTGTCAAGAAGAAGTTTAGCAAAATAATTCATAACTTGACTTCGCTTCCAATAACAAAATTATTAGTCAATTGTTAGTTTGAGAAATTACATTTCTACATTTTTGCCATTTATTTTAATCTTGGTTTTAGGTAGTGATGGTATACCAACTAACTGTGAAAGATTTTGCATAATTGTGTCATTTGGTATATTTTCAAATTTTTAAAATACAACTAAACACTGACAAATGGCATGCAAAACCACACAAACAAGCTAATGTTTACTACCATGTCTGGAAAATTGTGAGAAAATTTTTACAAGCCGCCGCTAAAACTTTCACGCCACCATTAACATTTTGCTTAATATCCAATGCTAGCAGAGCAAACAAATGAGTCAGTGCTATGAGAAACATATATTTCTGTAAGTTCACAAATTTTTTTTCTACATAATGACTGTAAAATAAAAAAAATTGATGCTTTCAACATCAAGAAGCAGCTGCGGTCCAGAATTAATCTTCGAAAGGTCCGGCTTCAGACCACGGTCTGCCAGTTGAGTAGCCCCGATCTAGGTTATGTATAACCAGATTATTATTTTGCATAGCCTGGATGAGGTGATCGGATTTAGCTTTTGCAACTGATTAATTCCAAATTTTTTATTAGTTTCTGGGTAGGATTATTTTTGACATTACTTATTTCCAGATTTAAGTGTGTAGTGTGATAGAATGTTTATGGGCAATTGTCAGATAATGATTACATTAGTTCTTGTTGTATTGAAGGCATAGATATCGATAGGTTTTTGAAACATTGGTGTTTTGAAATAGACGCGAATTTTGTAAATTATATTATAAAGACAATCTAAATATAGTAGGCTATATAGTTTTTTATGAATATACATAGACATTGCTTTCTGATTTCAGGTTCATCCCAAGATGGTGAGCCATGTCCAAGAGGCCATTATTGTCCCGGATCAAATGGGCCAATAAACCAAACAGTGAACGAACCTACGGCTTGTGTTGCTGGGACTTACACTGCTGAAGAAGGAGGAAGGGGTATACTATTTAAATTTTTATTTAAAAATGATTTGCACTTGCATTGCAATAGTTTTGAGTGGAAAAGTTATTATTTTATTCACCAAGTGGCAATATTTCAGATTTCGATGAACTGTATTTTGCTGTGAAGCTGTATTAAGTCTGAAGGAGAAACTTAAGATTGTTCCATGATTTTAATTTTTGTATTGATTTATAAAGCTGTCATTTTACAATATCTTTTTATTGCAATATCGTTTATTGGTGGTTGTGGGGTGATTCACATCACTGCTAGTCAATCATGGCTTCCTCCACCATCTTGTCCCGTGTATGCATCTAAAACAACTATTTGGTTGACTGACAGGCAATGATTCGTCATAAGATATGAAAGAATAGATATGAAAATCGTTCAACTCTCACTACTAATAAACACCTATATTTTGTTTACAGCTATAGATGACTGTGTAGATTGTCCTGTTGGCTATTACTGCTTAAAGGGGGAAACAGACCCCATTCCATGTGACAATGGAACTTTCAATCCGGACCCCAAACAGCCTGCTGCAACAAGTTGTGTGCAGTGTTCAGCAGGGTTTGCTTGTACAACATCTGGACTGACTAATCCAGATACAGCTTGTGATCCAGGGTGAGAACATCTTCCACAAATTTGTTATATATGCTGTATTTGCAAAAGTCAGTTGTTTGAGATATGAGAAAAAGCTGAAAAACAATTAGAGAGCCCATGATGCATTAGGTTATCTTTTTACACTAAAATGTGTCTGCTAATCATATAAGGGTACCACATATCTTTGTAAAATGAAATTAAAAAAACACATATCAAACCAATTTTATTAATTTTTTCGAGGCCATTTATTAAACTACACTGTTCTAATTCATGTATGGATATTTTCTAAAAACTGGGTAACACAAATTTATTATGAAGTGCAAAACGTCTTACATTGTCATTGAAATTGCAGGCCACTACTGACATTTAAATATACATAGGGGAACATAAATAGTACTGCAATATCTATCATGACTAATGACCTTTATAAATTTGTTTTCAGACATTTTTGTCCTCTGGGATCCGATGATCCAAGAGCTAATCCATGCGCAGCAGGAACATTTACTGATTTTCATAATGCTACATCTCAGGATGATTGCCAATTATGCCCAGAACGATATGCTTGTTTTGAGGGTGGGTATTTATATATTCTAATACATTACTTTTGAAAAATTTTGCTGTTGTTAATCGGACTGAGATGAAGAGCACACGTGTGTGTGGAACGCAATGCATGTGATGTTGATTAAAGTAGCATGCATGCTGCTGCCCGGGTCAAGTTTCTGAAAATGATACCACTCATATCTTACTCAAAAAATAACTTCGGAGATAAATAAATTATAGATGTTGTTATACATGGAAATGAATAAATTAAATGTAAAGTAAGAATGAAATGTTTTCATTATTATTATTTAAGTCATCAAACTAAGAACAAACGCACCCCTCGTTCGTGTTGTTTGGGGCTACTGCCCCTATAACCCCACGGCACGCCTCTGATGCTATGTCTGACTAACTCAAAGCACAATATAAATTGTTTCAAATGTCTTACATCTCCTTTTAATAAATTTTACTTTGTAAAATTTGATAAAAATCAAATTAAAATTTGGGAAATCTCAAGATCTTTTGGACCACTCAATAACTATGATCTTGTTGAATATGATAGAATAAAGGCAGCAAAGAAATTCAAATGATTAGCAATGCATCAGTCATTTTATTATATGCTCTTCATACAATATTTTGGTAATGTGAGTATGATAGCTTATTAAAGGACTTTAAAGTTTTATTTTTGATCATTAATATATTCTTTATTGATCATTTTTTTCAGGTACCGGTGGTAACAATCTTAATCCCACAAAATGTGACCCTGGATACTATTGTCCAAATGGAACTGACCCTGCCAGTGAGCCACCTTGTCCAGCAGGATCATGGTCAAACAAAACCAACTTGGCCTGGCTTGATGAATGCTGGGAATGCCCCAGAGGCTATTACTGTGTAGCTGGTAGCAGTGAACCCCAGGGACCATGCCCTGCTGGTTACTATTGTCCACCAGGTAAGATGTTCTTTAATTGAAAAGTGTGTTTTCACAAACATAAATATACTGGTTTATGATATATCTAGGCTTATGGTCTCTAGACAGCAATAAGAACTGACTTGAATGTCATGTGTATTGGAAGGGGAGAAAATTTGCATTTGAGCTGGGTACCTGTAAGTTGAAATGGAAATAGGTAATTTGGCACATATATGGAAGCAATTAGGATAGGATAAGATTTTACATATTTATCCCGGGGAAGAGAAAAGCCGATGAGACGGCTTAATCATATGGCGAACCACGACCTCTCGTCCAGTTACCAGTTCATGTTGAGTATGTGATAAGTTAGCTAGTTATTTGTTTTCGGAAGCATGGACTCGAAGGAATTCAGGAAGCCTGACTATTGTCATGATTTATTACTTGAATTATGATAAAAAATACACTATGCATATTAAGCTGCCAAAGAAAGGCTTGAGTATATAGGTATCGTGATTGTGGAGGTTGGGGGCATTTATATTAATTTGGTTTTAGACAGTTGAGGACATCAAAGTCAAACTGGCATGAATAGAATTATACAAGGGTTATGAAAAATGACACTTAGAAAAAGAATTTGATGTAACCCTCCACTTATTTACATAAGCCGCTGTGATGAGCCAATGTTCATCTTGTAATTTTGTTGTTAAATTTGTTGTTGTTGTATTTGCTTTTATATCTGATGCTTATCCACTAATATCTTACGGCATGTAGAAAGGTACTATTTCTTGGAAGAACTGAAATCTCGACAGCATGGCATTGCTTACCCAATAATTTACACTCTGAGTAACATGGAGAGCATGGGATTCAAAACCAGAGATGTATGATCTGCAACGCCAACATAAAATGCTTTGACCATATGCCGCTATTGGTCTTCATGCAGCAAAAATAAAAGTCTTAATATGAATTCTCCGTAATATTTCACTAATTTTACAGGTACAAAGTTTGATAAAGAGTTTCCTTGCTCAGCTGGATCATTTTCCAACAAAACTGGCAACGTTAGATGGGAAGACTGTGATGACTGTACTGAGGGAAATTATTGCCCTGAACATTCTGTAGACCCCATTCCTTGCCCTCCGTAAGTTCTGAATTTCTCTGTACGAGACCATAAGGATATTGTTGTGTATTCTGTCTTAGTTTTTCATAAACAAGCACCAAGTTTCCATTACAACACTACTTTATTGTAAGAGTCAAGCACTTCAACATTAGGACACCGTAGTAGTAGCAGACTAAGCAGCAAGTCACACTAAACACATGGATATACCACACCACACAGATTAAGATAAGGTCGAATGCAGTATGCGCCAATAGCGCCACCTAGCGACATTGCATTGTGTATATCACAATAAATATATAACAGATATAATTTTTGTATTTAATCCAGGAAGAAATAACATATTTATTTTATAATTGCAAACCAAATTCTGCCATGCTGAGCAGTAGAATAAGATTTTTGTTCTCACCATGCAGGTTGACAAGATACCGTAGTTATTTTGTTGTTCTTTTCTTTAGTCTTGTTAAAGTTCTTGTCTAAACAGGGAAAACAATGTGTAGGAAAAAAATTATGTAAGCATATTATGAACCAGGGATTTCCGAAAGTGAATAGTTTACTATTTTGAATACAGTTTAAAATATAGTCAAATATGAAATATATAATATATTCAGAATTAGATATTCCTAAAAGTTTTCAATCAACTATTTCAAATATATAACTAACTTTACATATATTAGGATGTTAATTTGGGAATTCCTGTTATTAGACAACTTCCCTTCAATTTATACACTCCTTTAAATACATCTTTGACTTTTTTCAGGGGAACATATAATAATGAAAAGAACTCCCAAGATGATAATGCATGTTTAAGTTGTTCAGCTGGCTACTATTGCCCTAATAATGCAACGGAAGATCAAGTACCATGTGGAAAGGGATATTATTCTGTGAGTTATGAATGTAGTTTTTTGGTAACTTTTGATTTGAATTATTCTGTGAGCTATAAATGTAATTTTTTCAAATAAAAAGTTGCCTCACATTTTAATTATAATCAAGAATCTTTAAGTGAAACGTTGCTATTATTATATATACAGAAAGTAATTGATATAACTGATATCATGAGGTCATAGAGAAATGCTCACTCGTACTGAAGGCTTATGGAACAGAAATAAATAAAACTGTCGAAAATTCAAATTTGATATCATGTATAATATTATTGACTCATTTGTACCAGTAATCCTGCCTTATTGTATTTAAATATATGAACCAGATACAAAACAGTACAACGTGATACCAAATTATATTATTTTCTATTATTTGAATCAGGTAGTGTAAATTTGCTGCAGCACTTTAATTATAGTCCAAATATGTTTAACATTCTGGCATAAAGTTGCCAAGTAAAAATAAGACTGCTTGTTTAAACATTTTATTTTGCACTTTTTTTTATTTACTATATTGAGGTATTCTTACATCTCCATACTGAACAATGCTGAAGAATTCCTGCTTTGGGGAAAAAACGTTGCACTAGGCCATAGCAGCAGTCAAATTGTTTGGTGAACTTTTTTATTTATATTTTATTTATACAGGCTGATGGAGCAGCAAATTGTACTATATGTGATGCTGGTTACTATTGTGATGGTAACACAACCACAGACGCTACGAGAACATTAGAGAAATACTGTCCTGCTGGAATGCACTGTGCCCCTGGAAGAACAGAGCCACCCAATTTATACAATGATTCTTGTCCAATGGGCTTTTATTGTCCAAGAGGAGACCTGGTATGTAGAAGACTACTTCATAATTTTTGTAATTAGTATCCTATTTATACTTTTGATGCGTAAATAAAACAACTGGCTAAGTAGACCAGAACATGAAAAGCATCTTTGATATGCTTTTTTCAGTCAGGATTGTTATGCAAAAATTGTAAATCCATTGAAATATAAACTCACTGATATGGATTTGGTATATTATTTGATGTGTTATTTACCTTGGTGCAAAATCAATACTGTTCCTTACAGTACATCCATCTCAATTAGAATCTAACCTGCTTCATTCTGATTTATTTTTTACATCCATATTCACACCATATTTTGCTATGCTATCCTATGAAATGCTATATGTACTTGAGCTATGTATTATTACTGCTGTAAATATTCAGTAAAATTTATGTTTTCTTTCACAGTATGCCTATCCTCAACCATGCCCAATAGGAACTTTCAGTGACCAAACAGGATTGAAAGAGATTTATAATTGCACAGAATGTACTGAAGGAAAATATTGTGATGCTACTAATTTAACTGCACCGGTAAGTTCAAGTTATGACTTGCTTTCGTCTGCTACTTTGGATGAATAAAAAAACGATAACATGTAATACAGAAAACTAGAAGTCTCCTTTGTGTTAAAATGCTGGAGAAAATAAGACAATATTGTATTGGACCAAAAAATTTATTTTTTTTTTGTTTCGATTTGCGGAAATGTTTTTTATTTCATCAAGTAAAACAACAAACAATAGTAGTATATTGATTATAGATGAAATCATTTATTGAAACATTCTCTCATAAATACCGTACTCTAAATAAGATTTTAAGCAGCCTGTAACCTCCTTCATATGACTATAATTATTTTGTCTCTGCGTAGCCACGTATTGCCATCTGGATAATGTGGTGGAAACAGATATTCAATGTAAAATTGTTAAACTGCAAGTAGAATGTAGTCAGGTCTGATGCTAAGAACATTAGAGGATCAACATAACTAAACTGGCCTCATTTTCGAGCATAATATAAGTCTATATTGAATCACCTTGGAATTCTAACATTTTCTCTTTTTTTCTCTCCTTTAGGTAGCAGATTGCCCAGGTGGTTTTTACTGCCCAGAAGGTACTGGGCCATCAGACAGTTTTCCATGTCCAGCTGGAACATTTTTGAATGGATCGGCAGCAATATCGTCAAGCAGTTGTACTGTTTGTACATCTGGCTATTACTGCCCTACTAATGGAACTGCGGAACCTACAATTTGTCCGAGAGTAAGTTTGACTATATACTCATTGTGGCAATCATTATAAATTTTGGTGAATTTGAAAGTATATGCACTGGTACATTCTGGACATAAGTTACCATTCAATAGATTGAATTATTGTATCATTGTTTCAAGACAAATTTGCTACAATGTAATATATATCCTGAAATACATCTGATTAAAAAATTGGTAGGTTGAGCAAAATTTTTTAAATAAAGAGGGATGAGTATGCTTCCTGCTAACCTGATACTATTTTTCATTCGTGACAACAATTTAAAAACAAAATCATATATTGCATGCAAACAACTGACTAGATTGTAGACAGATGAAATGTTTTATATTGAACTTTGCCATGATATAAAATAGTCACTAAACACAAGACAGACACACAGGAGATAAATTTCAGTAAATTTCCAAAACTTTAAATAAAGTTTAAACATTAGACATAAATTTTCTGCACATGCAATAATAATAATAATAATAATGCTAGATATCATGCCAATCCTACAGAAGAGAAGTTATAAATAATTTCAAAATAATAATTTTGAATATGGAATATCAAATATATCTCAAGCTGAGCCATTTTTAACAAAGTAATGAACACAAATCGTAGTTTATAGACATTTATTCTTACACAGCAGAATGGATCACTTCAATTGGTTATCAAAACTCAATGAATGTTTTTTGTACTAAAAACAAGATGTGGATTGCACACATTGAAACACACATATGTTCAGCTATGTTACCGCTATCATTTTTTCTGTTTCATAGGGGAGGTACTGTGAACCTGGTACAGGAACAGATGTGCCACAGTGTGCAGCAGGGACGTATGGCAACTCGACAGGACTAAAAAGTTCTCTTGAATGCACCCAGTGTACTGGAGGATATTATTGTTCTGGAACTGGTAATACTGAACCAACTGGTGAATGTTCTGCAGGATTTTATTGTATTGAGGGAGCAAGTGTGGCGGTTAGTAAGATTAAATGCAAATGTTTGAATATAACTAAATATAAATAGATCAATATTTTGGTAGATTAAGTTTTTCAGTTTCCTAGTATTACATGTATAATTAAATTATGAATGTCTGATTGATGGACGGAAATACTTAAGATGTAATAAATTAAATGTTAGTCAAGAACTGGCCTGTACAATTTTGAATTGGTTCTTAGTTAGACCTTGCATCATTTATGACTTAAGTTTTTGTATACTGGTATGTCTGGTATTTTCGTAAATTGAGATATTATCTAATACTGCACAACCTAAATGAACTTCCGTTTATTGCCGAGTGTTTCATGTAATCACTGCCCGCCAGTTAGTCTTAATCGATAGAAGGTTCATACATTTTGAGTTAACTATTCAGAAATTCTCTTTCGAACCTTGATTGAAATCTGGAAATTAAAACAAGAATCTGAGGTTTATATAAATATATAATCCTATTCACTACCCTATCTGGTAAAAGCACAATAGGTAATGCTCCAATGATGTTGATGATGCATTTTACCATTATTAATAATGTAAATAAAACTACTTACATAAGTTATCAATTGAAATTATAATAATTTAAATCAATTTCAAGTTGAATTCTTTTGCTACTTTACGTTGGAAAAAACTGGTTATGTTTGGGAACCAGAGTTTACTGGCTATGATTTGAAAGGATTGAACCAATTTTATCTGCCTTGCTACTGAAATATCTTTTTAATTTATTTTTTTGATGTGATGTTATAATTTTTTTTCATATTTTTCCCAATGCTTAATAAATATTGGCGAGAGAGCCATATGTTCATATGCATAATAATGACTTTTCATATGATCATCAATTCTGGCCGAACTCCATAACGCTGTTTCGAGGTTACGAACGCACTCCATAAAATTTATAAAAGATAATACTGTACTGTATTATCCAAGCCATTAAACTGGATCATTGTGATCAAGAAAATCAGAGCTTCTGGCTCATTGGTTTTCGTCATTCACATCGTACTTTTTGCATTATTTGTACATTTTATTACTGTACCATACTTTACAATACAGTACGATATGTATAGAGTAATTTATGAACTATACAATATAATGTTCCGACTTACACTGAAATTCGGGTTACACCGCTTCTCAAGAACGGAACAACGTCGGAAGTCGAGGACTCCCTGTATTAATACTCGCAATCTGGAAATATTGAAATTGATACACATCATGTACCGGTAATTAAATACCGATGTTTTTTAGACTCCAAGAGACAACATCACAGGAGGCCTGTGTACTCAAGGTGGTTACTGTCCTCAAAATTCTGCGTATGTTCAAGCCTGCCCCGGTGGAAAGTATTCTACTTATCCAGGTATTTATGTGCTTGTTGATCTTCTGTTTATCAGATATGTGATAAATCCAAATATGTTTATGTTCTCGTCCTGTACTTAGTATACCAGAAGTTTTTATAACAATTCCCCCTATATGTCACCAGCACTTCTTGCAATGTATAACTATCATTAGCTAGCGGTTTTTACACTCAATCGGAGCTGTAACTAGATGATATAGATTCGTTTACTATTTTATAATTCCATTTTATTTGTTTTTCACTTCTTCAAATGAATTTTATAATATTATAAGCAAATCATTATATCTGCTACAATTGTCGATAACACTTTAAATTATTAAACTATTTTTCCTTTCTTTCTTCCAGGCGCTGTTGCTCCTGAAAACTGCACCGACTGTGAACCAGGTTATTTCTGTTCTGGATCCGGATCAGTTGGTATTACTGGACCTTGTGATGCAGGTTACTATTGTACAGGGGGAGCATCAACTGCTAATCAACATCAGGCTGAACCTGGTCATTTTGCTCCACAGGCGTCTCCGAACCAAACTGAATGTTCCATAGGTAACATTATTGTTTTTGTTGGTCTGCTTTGGTGTTTAATTTGTGCTCTAGGTGTCCGGACAATAGAAAATAGAAATATCAATATAAAAATAGTGGAATGTGTCAACGTTATTTATAAATCTATCTGCAATTATTCTTATGTTAGTACCGATGTCTCCTAAAATAGATCATAACCCAGGATAATCATCATCAATCAAAGATAAAAAATAGTGTGGTCCCCTCTGCACCACACTTGTTTTACTTGTCCAATTTTTACCCCTGTGTTAGATGCGCAAGGTATGAGATAGATATGAAACTTGTTGAAAATGGTCAGAGTGGGATGTATAAAAAGGATGCATATACATACGATAATTGAGATACACTAGTGATGAAAGGGGAACAGCATATTTGAGACATCAGATAAAAATATGACAAATTGAAAAACATTTTCATTTTCTTATAAAATTGCCGTACTTTTTATCTTTGTATTGTCCAATTGCTTTATGATTTGAATAAATTTATTTGATATATATGTATCAGTTTTTTATGGAAATAAGTATATCAAACAATGGTATTGCAAGATATGAGAAAATATTGTCTTAAACTTTCATGGTATTGAATTTTTTAAGATTTTTTAATCGGATTAATATACATTCTCAGGAACATTTGCTTCTTCTGGAGGTTTTGCTGAATGTGAGCCATGTCCTGCTGGAAAATATTGTAATGATACTGGACTTGTTGATAATTTACCATCCTGTCCAGCTGGATATTATTGTCCAACAAATTCCGCTGTTCCAACGCCTTGCGGGAAGGTTTGGTCTTCTTTGTTTCAATATTTAGAAAAGTTAGTTTTCTGTTTTTTTTGGACAAGGAGACAATCACAATCGATTATTATTATTGTCATGAAAGTTTAATAAATGCCCTTTTTTTCTTAAAATCATTGAACTTTTTTGAATATCAAGAATTCAAAGCTAACTTAGCATTGAAATCTTTGTAAATCTGATATCGTTCATTTCTGAGATAAATATTTTCATCAACTCAGTGATAATGTAAAAATTTTAAAAATTAATTATTTGTTTGTTACACCAAATTTAATTTTTCTGTTCAAACAATATTCAATAATCTGTTTGTTCTTTAATAATAATTTATTATTTTAATGAATAATTGCAGTTAAATACAAGACATCTCATTTTATTCGAATGTTAACTTCTAATTTCTGAAAATATGTGCCATTAACTCATGTAAAACGATCATCGCTATTTTTATTTCCAGGGAACATATAATAAAGTGTTTGAAAGTTATGACCCAGCTGCTTGTGTTCCGTGTACAGCTGGATCTTATTGTAGTGTGGTGAGTGGGTTTGCTATATTTTTTATTAGAATTTTTCTCTTTAATCAATATTGATTCAATAACAATAGGTATCATATAACATTTCACAGCCTCCGGTTCAGTTACCGTTTGTGACCGACATAGGAATAGCAGGTTAAGGCAAAGTTCAGGGCAAATAGATATGTAACTTGCTAACAGTTACATGAATTATCCTTACAAAAAGACTGTGTCAAGTTTGGCAGTCATTTCACACTTTATCATACTTAATATTACTTGAATCAATGCCACGCTTAAAATAATGTGTGCTTGTGCTGCGTCCTGGTAAAAATATGGATAAGCTGACATAATATTGGCGATCATACTGGCCTAAAACACAAATGTGTGGCATACCTTCTGCATAATTTTATGCCTCTTGTCCTGTTACCATTTGTGACCAACATCGGAATAGCAGTTCAAGGCACATGAAATTCTAAATGGCTAACAGCTACATGAATCATCCTTAAAAAAAGATGGTGTCAAATCTGGAAGCCATTTCACACTTTATCATACTTAATATTACTTGAATCAATGCCACGCTTAAAATAATGTGTGCTTGTGCTGCGTCCTGGTAAAAATATGGATAAGCTGACATAATATTGGCGATCATACTGGCCTAAAACACAAATGTGTGGCATACCTTCTGCATAATTTTATGCCTCTTGTCCTGTTATCATTTGTGACCAACATCGGAATAGCAGTTCAAGGCACATGAAATTCTAAATGGCTAACAGCTAAGTGAATCATCCTTAAAAAAAGATGGTGTCAAATCTGGAAGCCATTTCACACTTTATCATACTTAATATTACTTGAATCAATGCCACGCTTAAAATAATGTGTGCTTGTGCTGCGTCCTGGTAAAAATATGGATAAGCTGACATAATATTGGCGATCATACTGGTCTAAAACACAAATGTGTGGCATACCTTCTGCATAATTTTATGCCTCTTGTCCTGTTACCATTTGTGACCAACATCGGAATAGCAGTTCAAGGCACATGAAATTCTAAATGGCTAACAGCTACATGAATCATCCTTAGAAAAAGATGGTGTCAAATCTGGAAGCCATTTCACACTTTATCATACTTCATATTACTTGAATCAATGCCACCCTTAAAATAATGTGTGTCTGTGCTGCGTCCTGGTAAAAATATGGATAAGCTGACATAATGTTGGCGATCATACTGGCCTAAAACACAAATGTGCGGCCAACCTCCTGCATATTTTTTAATGCTATCATCAGTTTGTATTATATATTAGCCAGGTGCATGCTCACTATTTTATGTTCAGTAATACTATTCATATATGAAATCATTTTTACATCGTATAATTTGTCATGAAAAACTCATGGCCTACTGTCTATTTCAGCCTGGCTTACCTGAACCCGAAGGCTTATGTGATGCTGGATTTTACTGTCTTACTGGATCAACAACTAGAAGGCCGGATGGTACAGGCAGCATAGGAGGACCTTGCCCAGAAGGTCATTATTGTATTAATGGTACTGAAGTACCTGAGCCTTGTGAAACAGGTGAGACAGAAAAATCATTCATTAAAAATGTTGGCGCTTGAAAAGGGCAGCGTAATCGTGATGACTGTTTCAGAAGCTGTTGCATATAAATTTCAAATCTTGCCTTCATTTTGAAAGTTTTGCCCCTGCTTGGGGTGTGTATAAAAATAGCATGGTATTGGTTGTTTTTTGGTTTATTTTCCATTTATCTAGATTTGCAATAAATTAATTCCATTATTTTCAAAGATCTCAATAAAAGATTATTTTTTTTTCAACTCATCGCATAATATTAATAATTAATACAGCTTACTAGTGGCTAATATTGATGGATCATTGCATATATGGTGATTTGACAATAAAACAAGGTGTTTCTGTTTAAAAGTTTGAAATTATTTTTGCCGTCTTTGTACCATACAACCACTTAATCCAACATGCCTTAAATCAACAAGCTTTTTTTTTCATTTATAGATTCATTTAAAAAAATTGTTCTTTCATATGCTATCAATATTATTTTTAGTCAGAATCGATTGCAGATTTGATAATATGATCCAATATTTCTTGAACAATTGGCAAAATTAGTTTGCTAGGTTCATTACCAACCAATTGCCACAAATGGCTGGCTCATCTCTGATGAATGTATGAAATGTCCCCTGGGGGAAACTTGTTTGTCACTGGACTTACTGAAAAACGGATATTGTCATGAAGGTAAGGACATAGTATATATAAAATATTTTATCTGAGCCTAGAGGAAAGCAGATAAGAAGACTTAATCATATGCTGTAATATGTAAACACCATAAGGCAGTGAAAGTTACATTTATCCTCTCACACATAATTAATACCCATGGCATGGTATTTGAACTTGCTAAGATATGCAGTGTAATCAGAAGTGCGATTTTAAGCGCATTGCTAATGATCAGCGCGATGCACCATCCGATTTGATTATAAGTTTGTCATCTATGAGAGTTTTAATAATATTTTACTCCTCTTTTCCAGGAGAGAAATAGGAGATTTATATATAGTTCTAAATCAAAAAAGTACTTTCTTTCAATACTAAACACATAATAATAGCTCTGTTTCCATTGTTGAAAGATAGGCAAGCACAAAGCTAATATAAAGTTTTGTGTCTGGAAAGATTCACTATAATACCATAGTGTAATATTTGAAATAATGAGCTGAAGGTTGAAGGTAATGGCAAAAACAAAGTTTGGAAAATTCTTTCAATAAATAATTTAGTATCTTTATTTATACCCTTTTTATTAATAACTAAAATGTAAATTCATATATTGCAGCCACAACTAAGCCCTATTAAACAACGATATTTTTCAGGCTGGTATTGTATTGGAGGAGCAGACACTGCTAATGGTATCCCGTTAGATTTAGCAGATTTCTGGGATTCCAATGCCCGGTTGGACATTATTGCCCAACTGGATCAGGGTATCCAAGGCCTTGTGAACCTGGAACATTTTCAAAAGAAGTGAAGCAAGCAAGTTGTGATGACTGTACTCCTGGATATCAATGCATTGGTAGAATATTTATTTATTTTAGCTAAGAGATATTTTAAATACAATCTTCGAACTGCTATAACATATATTTCTCAAACAAACTGTGTTTTTAATTTGAGTATAAGGACTTGGGAAGGATTACTATTAGAGCAGGTTGTAACAAATATTACTATATTGCAGAATTTTTAAAATTCTTATTTCTTCTAATCTCCTTTTTCGATATATTTCGTCTTTTGGCTTTTTGAAACTTTTTATTCCTTCTCTACTAGGTTTGAAATTTCTGTTTACGTCATTTTTTAAATCTTCAGAGGGTCCTTTGCTAGTGTTATGTGCAACTCACACTCTTTCTTTTGCATATTTTGAATAGTTTAGGATGTGCGCATAAATATCTATTATAATAACACTAAGTAACTAAACGTTATTAGTGACAATACACCGAATGCAAGTAATATTTCTGAATTTCTTCCTGAAAACAACAAATTTTCCTTCCCAATTGAGAAATGAGCTTTAATTACTAGTGAATGTCTGGTACGAGAATTCACCAGTAGATTCACAGATCTTCCTGCAACATCAAAGCAGCTCATTAAATTCAAGACGGTAAACCTACACAAAGTAATCTGTGATATGATCTAAATTCACTCTCTCATTGGCATGACACTACTAAGCATATAAAGATCTGTTTATATAGTTTTAAGTTAGGATTATAAACTATGTTAGATTGGAATATTTGTTGAAAACAAGGGTCTTGTAGACAGTATCCATTGTGAAATACATTCTTATTCTACTGTTATGTACCAACAGGTGTTGCAAACCTCACCGCCTGCCCAGAAGGATTCTACTGTCCTGCAGGAACAGGATACGATCTACAACCTTGCCCCCCTGGAACTTTTAAGAACACAACTCTCGGAAGTGATATCTCAGCTTGTGTTGATTGTCCTGGAGGTAGGAAGTCTTTTTTATTCTTAAACTCGTGCAGAGTTATACACCAATGTTTTTTGTGTCATTTTCTTCGGATTTTTTAGATCAAATTTGTGTTGGTCAAATTTGTGTCAATGCTGTACTGTGTATTTTAATTAACTTAGTATTTAAATGTGTTGAATGTCCATCAGTTGATGATTGATATGAATATGAGGCAATGAGCTGAAGAGTTCAGCAGATTTTTGCAGGAATATATAATTTTATATTTATGAAATGCTCGTTTTTCCCTAGGATTTTATTGTGATGGCGAAGCAACAACTAATCCCGTCAAATTATGCAAAGAAGGATATTATTGCAGGTACTGTGTCATAGTTAATGCATGATTTTTACTCGTTTGACAAATATGTAACCTTTGATGTTTGTCTCCTCTCCTGTTGACCGACCATTCGAATTTTTTTTTGCGCCAATAAGAACGAATGCTATTAGATCCTGATACGATCCTTCAGCCCGAATACAACACACAAGTCCTTTGTGCCAGATAGTATTGAACGTAAACAACAAGAGACTCCTAAGACAACTTAACAAAAATAATGACACATAGTACAACGCGCTTGAAGCACGACGGAAAAAAGGACTACACCCATGAACAAGTTGATTAAAGTCTTTACATTTAATGAAATCTATGGGAAACACTAATAAACTGGCGTTGATTGTTTTCTAAATTTTAATTTATACTTCTTATCTCATATTACAGCTTTCGCCATTATTTTATGTTTTCGTAAATTTCAGAAATGGAGTGAATACAAGCGAACCAGGAACAAGCCCTCATACAGGAGATGGAGGTCGATGTCCAGCAGGCAGTTATTGTCCTGTAGGAACTGGATCCACTAGGATGTGAACCCGGAACTTACTCTGGAAAGGTAAAATAGTATAAATAGTGTAAATTTGATGAAACTTTACGTTGCTAACTCAACATGTTTTAAACTTGTAAGCTCTTTTTTATTGTAAATAACATTTTGTCTGAATATTTAATTGTGTTTTTGAATTATTTTACCATGGATATTTTTTCTTTCTAAATTTGATTAAAATTTCCAAGCATTATGGCCAAGAAATTGCATGCGATAAATTGATTTTTCATGTTTATCCACAGCTATTGATATAGAGAGAGTTATATAGGATTGCTTAATCATACAGCAAATGACAGACTCATATCTGGTTACTAGTTGAGGTTTGCTATTAGTGTAACTAACCAATCAAATGTTTCATGTGCGCAGATAAAAATGTTTCAAGTAGGTTATTATTTTCAACAGAAAAGGACTTTCAAGCACTTCTGTTATGCTTGGAATAAACTTTAATAAATAAGTTATATGTAACAATGCAAATTTATAGATATAAATTTAACCGAGAGATACAATTTAATATTCATCTTTGTTTTGAGGTGAAAAACTAGGCTTTTTACTAGTTCCAACTACCATCCTGTTGCAATAATTTCAAAATTTCAAAATTTGGAATGCATTGACATGAATGATGGATGATAACAGCAATAAATTGCTGCAAAATAAATAAGCCTGAACTGACGAGCAATTATACAATTTTTTTTGCACAGCATTCTTTCTTTTTTGGGAGTCTAGCATCATTCAATAGTAATTAGTAAAATGATGACTGACGAGATCTTAATGTTCAGCTGAATTAGCTGTTGAATGTAGATACATTTTTCTGACTTTTAGAGTTTTGATGACTTTGCTCAGAAATGTGTCTCGATTACTGAGTGAATGCAAGAGACTTTGTTATAAACAAACTTTCTATAAAATTAAAATTAAAGTTGCACATAACAGGTTATAAGTAATCTTCTTTTGCAGGAAGGAAATAAAGCCCCTGGTGATTGCACTCAATGTGATGGAGGAAAATATTGTCCAACTTACGGATTGACCGAAGCTAATTTAACATGTGCTCCCGGATTCTTTTGTAAAGAGGGAGCCCGTGTTCCAAACCCGACAGGTAGTAATAATACACAAGAATGTTTTATGCAACTTAACATTTCCAGTTACCTTTTTTGTGACTGTATCTAGTAATTTGTTAGGTTAAATTTGAAATATTGCTATAATTTTTAAATGGAAGCTTTTGTTATCTTGGCACAAAAACATTTCCAAAATATAAGTAAAATAAGGAGGTTAAGACCCTATCTATATGGTCATACAAATTGTTCGATTTCGTATATCCAAAATTATATCATTAGAACTCTAACAAAACTCTCATTGAGCTGAACATTGATATGTCATTTAGAGCAAAACTGAATAATAATCTTGAAAATTGAAATGGGCAATTTGTTGCAAAGGCATGAATTTGAGAAAAAATAATTTAGCATATTCTTTAAATCTTTTATATGGTAACATTGTTTGTAACTTTTTGTTTTATGTTTTCATATACAAAAACAAGGCTTCACAATACTGTTTCAATATGGATATTCTTATTTCATACCTTATTGAGTAAATGTTATTATCTTTTACAGATGGTGTTACAGGCAATGAATGTCCAAGTGGAAGTGTTTGTCCAGCAGGGACAGTATCTCCAAAAGATTGTCAATCTGGAGGATACAGTAATACCACACAACTAGACACTTGTACACTGTGCCCAAAAAGCTATTATTGTCCTGTTGGTACTGTGGATTTTTCCTTATACCCTTGTGAACCAGGATACTACTGCCCACTCGGTGAGCAATCATTTTATTTTTGTTTAAATGAATATTCAGAAGTTTGTTCGAAAACTCACATTAGATTAAACTTTTGAATGTTCAACTTGTTCAGTATATTATATTTCGTTCAGTTTATCTGAAAAAAATAATCAAATTATTATCTCAGTATATCGTGTAATGCTGTCAAAGCTGGCTTAGATCTCATTTTGGAAATTTGCTCAAAGGAAGATCATGTGCACTCACTCTAAAATAATAGATTAATCTTTCTGTCTTATCGTTATTCCAAAAGCTACTTAGACGATAAAGACTATAAGCATAGAATTACTTATTAGTAAAATATTGATTGACATAAGACTCAAAACAAACAGCTATGAAGTAATGAATTCCACATAACTGGAATTCTTGGAAATTTTATTTTGCTCGATATGTACACTGACAGTAAACGATTGAGATCTCACAGTCAACTGAAGTTCAACGACTAAACTTTCTGATTTTTAATAAACATATTTCAAACATTCAGAAAAAGAACATTCATCATCATAATAATAATTGATTGATTGCTGTATCCGATATACTTGTATTTGTTACAAATTGCATCAACAGGACCTAATCCCACTTGATTTCCAGTCTTTGTTAATATATCATTTTTGTCAAGCTACTATGGCACCATTTCAATAAATCAATTCAAATTGTTTCCAGGAACTGGTGCTTTCTCAGACAATCCTTGTCCACCTGGGACCTATGGTACAGAACCTATGTTATCTTCATCTGAACAATGTACACCTTGTGATGCCGGAAAATATTGCACCGGTAATGGAAACACAACTGTTAGCGGTGATTGTATGGAAGGTGAGAAATATAGTTTGCTAGAACAGGATTTTACAGTTGTAAGTGCTAAGCAATATGAATGCTCTTACCCAAAGTGGAACCCATGGGAATGGGGTTGCCGTTTATAGGTTGATAACATCCCTCCACTTTTGGAATGTAAAAAAAGGCATTTTTCTGTATTATACATAGAAATTTTTTGTAGCCGTAGATATTCTATCAACAGTATAATAAATAATGTACAATCATTACAAAAGTGAATTTTTCTTAAGGATGGTTCATATTCTGTATTTTATCAGGCTTTTATTGTCTCGCTAATGCATCTACTCCAACTCCAAGTGGATATGCAAATTATACAGACGGCTCTTGTTATGTCCAGCTGATAGTGGAGGAGTTTGTCCAAAAGGATACTACTGTCCTACCGGTACCGGAGAACCGAAACCATGCGATGGTGGATATTATTGTCCTACTGATGGTATGTTTTTGAAGCCAAAATTTGTATTGTATAAAGGCAAAATATCATAATATGTAAGAGATATTCCTTTATTTTAAAATGAAATGAACTTTATGAAGCTATTTGTCTTTTAATAACATATACCTAGTTATATATTATATTCAGTATGTAATAGATAAGGGGAAAACAAGGGTTGCTTGACGTTGTGCTAGTGCTCTGGGCACACACTACTGGACTTCCTTTATAAGAGCTTGTACAATTTGTGTTATTATCTTTTAATGAGCATACTTGCCAGATTGTCTTTATGCCTTACGGTAACATTGAAGTCTTTGCGATTGAAGCATTATTTTATATTTGTTTGGCATATATATATGGATTTGATGAGGTATGACCTTATTTAAAATTGCTATTGCTTTACTATGATGCTGGATAGGTTTTTATACATTTGCTTGTAATGGTGATCTATGAAATCATTTACTGCACAAAATTTTATATACCTTCCTTCATACATAAATGTACTGTTTGAATTACCTTTCTTTCAATAATTCTCTTCATGTTAAATAGGAATGATTCAATAATTATTTGTTCAAATATTAAAGGTATGACAGCTGTCGGACCTCAATGTGATGCTGGTTATTTCTGCAATTCATCTGCTACTAGGAAAGATCCTGTGGATGGAGTGACTGGTGGGATCTGTCCTGAAGGTCATTACTGTGGTAAGTTATTAAAGTTTCACATCTTAAATGATTTTGTTAGGAATTTGAAACTTGACTATCATTATGGATCCGATCTGTCTGATTTGCATGAAGTTCAAATTTTAATTGAAAGGAGGGGGAGTTGTGTGGAGACTCTTTGTCCAATTTCTAACAATGGTTTATTGGGTTGGAACTGCGTACAGCCAATGCTCCCCAACCAGTCATGCCAATGCTTTCACAATATTTAACTAATCAAATGATGCAAAGGGTGCTCCATTTTAACTACAGGAGGATATGGGGTGAATTACTCCTACCTAATTCGAATTTATATCACCATAGTTTAAAGATATATGTTTAAACCCCACCTTCACCCTTCTTACCTCGGGTGTGACAAATCAGCTGTTGACTGGAAAGATTAAAATAATAATGATTTGGAATCAGTGGCTACTTGTTCGGATATTTGATAGTTATATAGATGTGAGATGGCTTCATCAAATAAAATATATATTAGATGGCGTTATATTTACTATGTTTTTGTTATGTCTAAACTTTATTCATTTGTATTAGGTGTTGGAACAGCAAATCCAGAGCCTTGCCCAGTTGGAACATTCAATAATAAGACATCTAGTTCTTTGCCAAGTGAATGTACACAATGTACTGCTGGATTCTACTGTAAAGATCTAGGACTTACTGAGCCAACTGATTCATGTACTCCAGGTAAGAATGGTGATTTTAAAAGTTTTTAGTTCATTTGTTATACAGAGCAAAATAATTAAGTTTTGGCTAATTGCGCTGAGCATTTGCGAAGGTTTTTCAATTTGAACCATGATGGATAATTACGTCCAGGATTGTGGCTTTGATTTCTCACTAATTTATTATAGTTTACATTAGTGATTCTCAAAGTTGACATATTTCCTCCGTGGTGAAGAACGCTTTTATAATTGTCATAAAACTTATTTTGTTTATGAAAATGTACAAATTCACCCGACCAAAATGTCTCCTAACATCAAAAAACTTGTGAAAGATCAACAAGCGTCATATACTATGATTAGTTACTTATTTAATCAATTTGTAATAATTTGTTTTCTTTTCCCATTTTCCTGCATTTCCTTTTGGAATCATAAAAACCCTAAATGTATGAAAATCTCTGTTTTCCGCTGTTAATATTTTACTATTTCAATGATTATATATATACCTAGCATTATGCTTATTTTCCTGCATTTTTGGTATTTACGATAATTTTTGTTTTTTAGGTTATTACTGCCCTACTGGGTCAACCTACAGCACGCAAGTAGAATGTGAGGCTGGATATCACTGCCCAGCGCAAGCATCTGATCATGTTTTATGCGACTCAGGTTATTACCAAGATCAAAGAGCTCAAACTGACTGTAAAATATGCCCCAAAAGTATGTATTCCCGTTTGAACTAGTTATTATTAAAATATTGTAGTTGTGTGAATAATTCAGCTAATTTCCAAGTTTTTATTTTTCAATAAAATCACAGATTCTTGTATGAACCCATTCTTATGTCAGTATGAGTATATGTATCTGATTATTTAAGAAAAACGCATATGTAGCAAATTTCCTGACGCTAGCATTAAAAGGCCAATAGTAGAATGAGTAAAGCTTCAGTCAAGCCAGTATTGTTGTCTGATTTTAAAAACCTACAACAATCATTATGGACTAAAACTGTATATACAAATATTTGCATTGATTTACAAGTTTTATTACAAGCAGCGGAACTTCAGGAATGCAATGGGGTACTCTGCTATTTAGCTTTAATAACTCACCCATCTATTTAATAAACGATGTACTATGTTACGTATCTTAATCTCATTCATATTCTGCAATCTTATTTTTGAGTGCTCCAGAAATGTGTGTACCAATATGGAGGTAAATAGTTTTGTTCAACTACTTTACATCAAGTTGTGTAAAGGGACCGAAACCTATAGGCAGGGGGTATTCACTTGGCTAACACAGACCGTCTCCGAACTCGTAATGGAACTAAAATGAGGAAAATTGGAATAAAATTATGGCCTAACCCTAACCTGGTACATACACTACGAGAGTACCCATTTTCGTTCTGTTCTTAAATTTTACCATCTTTGTTTTAGGTTATTATTGCGATAGATCATCTGGTCCCATATCAGATTTACACAGTATACACTGCCCAAGTTGGTCTACTATGCCCACAAGGCACCAAAAATTTGCAAATGAATATGGTTGTCCTAAAATGAACTTAGGTACGGCAACCAATTTTGATGATTCCTGGTGACTGCACTGCATGTGATGCTGGAAAGTATTGTAGCCCTGAAGGAACAACTGCAGGTAATATCAATTTCCTTAATCTGAAACTAAATTTTATTTTTTGGTGTCAATTTGGGGCATACATTCGATTTCTAATATTATTATGATGGCAATCTTTGTAGTAGGTGTCTGTCAATCAAGCTAATTAGGTTTTGTGGATCATAAATCCCGATTTTTTATTCATTTTATTGCGCCTAGGTGAGGGGGTAACATTTCCCCAGAGAAATTTAAATTAGCCAATACAGCTCATATTCTAACACTATTATATCAATGTCATGAATTTGATAGACGAACAAAAACTATTACACCAATCCAGATCAAATGTTCGGCTACCTAGGTATCACCATACTACCAAGTATCAATTATGGTGATTTGTGTCTCAAAATCCAGAAACGCAGTAAACAATCACAACATTTGACCCTGCTGACATATACTGTTTGTCTTTTAATAGCATGTTTTTTATTTTATCCGAAAGTCATTCTTTGGGTTGTGCTGCTTCAAGACTCTTAGTTGACTTGGCTGATAAAAGCCTAGTGTACGAGCTTGTTTGTTTCTGTGTTAGGTTCATCACACCAATTAAACTATTTAATCTATATTTGTAATAAATTCACACCAGATGGACAAAAAGACTGCTCTGCTGGATATTGGTGCAAATCAGGAGCTGAAATTCCGAACCCTGAAGATGGCATTACTGGAGAATTATGCCCTAAAGGACATTATTGTGTCGCAGGTAAAGCTAAGATGTTAACGTGAATTATTTTTCAATGGTGGGAATATATTATGTGAATGTAATGCTTTTTTTTAAATGGGTATATTTTAGTTTAAATTTATAAAATTTGCACCTCATCAGTATTTTTGTAAATACAATGATCCCAAGTAATTCTATTCTTTGGTGTTTAACTTTATTTTTTTTATTCAAATCTACGCATAATGTAGGTGCAAGGAAATATAAAGTTCCTATAAGTAAGATACGTAATATATTTGGTGTAAAGCCTTTTAGAGATTATATATTTTAATAACTCATTTCTAGTGTGTCATATTTCCAGTGTATTTTAATTAATACAATTGATTTAATATTATTGCATCTAATTTTATATCAATAAAAGATTTCTATTATTGCAATTCAAATATTTTCATACCAAATTGTTGTTACAATTATTATGCATTTCATATTGGCCTAGTAGTTATAGCGTTTGACCTAAATGTGTTTCTGTCACAGGGTAAAATAAATTTTAATCATCACCTCAGTTATCATTGGATACTGGTTAGGAAATGCTGGCAAAAAAAACAGTATCTACTTGAGTCTTAGTGAAAGCTCATACTGTGTTATAGTTGAGCAAAATTTTGAAAACAAAAGAAAAATATTATATTTTTTCATAAACAGGTGATGGAACACCAAACGCTTGTCCTGAAGGAACATTCAACAACCAGACTGGTCGACAATACATGGCGCAATGTGAAGACTGCACGGAGGGATGGTACTGTGATGAGACTGGATTATCAGACCCAAAAGCAAAATGTGATCCTGGGTATAATGATTCATTATTCCCATTTTATCAGAGATTTTTTAAATATCTATTTATTTTTACTGACATTTCCATGGTCTTTGCATAATTAATAATAATATAAATAACCTATATAAATATTATACACATCATTGTAAAATCAGATTCTCTGTAAAAATAACTGAACTTTTTTAAGAATTGTGATAGTGATAAGATAAGTATAAGTATAAGTTTATTTCGACTCCATAATCAGCATAACAATACATTTGACAGATAAAAACAAATAAATAAAAACTGATTATGAAATCAGGGGAGCAAACAAAACCTTAGATAAGGTTTATAACGTACAAAATATAAGATGGAAGGTTTTGCCAAGAGGAAGTGGTACGTGTTTACTCACCTAAAATTATCAAGTTATTTCACACACGCTCACATGCACCCACCAGCCACACACACACACAACCACTGAGAAGTTATTTAAGTAAGAATAAAACGCGATAAATTTAGGGTATACTATACAGACAACTTTATTATGTGGGAAACCAAATTCTTTTGTCAAATTACTTGCCAATGTTGGGTATGGGAATAGACAACCAGTTATTTGTTTGAGATGCATGAACTTGATGATGGAGAAAGTCATGAAGGAACAAGGAGCCGTCTCGTAAAATCGTCTTACACTGGAAAGAACCCAACAATTCTTTTGTATATAATGATTCTACGGGATACACAGAATGTGTACTGGCGATCAAGTACACTATTTTATATGAAAATTTGTTCTCTTTGCTGGAGTTGAATAACTCAATATTTTGTAATCTTTTTTCTTTCCTAATCTTCTATCAATTCTTATTGTTTTATAGATTTTATTGTCCTGGGAAAGACAAATCACCGCAAAAGCAACCAATGTACTGTTGGTCATTACTGCCCTGAAGGTAATTATATTCGAAACTTTTACAGTTTTGAATATAATTTACAGTTTTGTTATATTTTAGTTTCAAGAAGTTCTTTGCTTGCAGTTGTGTTGTCTATAATTTCAATCATATTTTGTATTATTCTTCCTGCTGACTATTGACTGTGAAATATTTTGAGTCTATTTTTGATGTTATTTTTTGGTTTAAAACTGCAAGTTTTCTACAATTTTGATGACTACCAATGTTGGACATGACTTTATTGGTTCAAAGCTCATGTTCTTCTACTATACCAGGAAATAATAATTTTATGTATCCTCTTTATGTATCTTTGTTTAGTTTTCAGTTAAAATGTTAAAAATTATAAAAATCTTATGCAAGGGGATCAAAGTCACAATGGATAGGCTTATTTTTATTGCTACCATAACCATTGAACCACACTCTAACAGTTTTTATTTTGATACATTTAGGTACCGGAACACCGAAACAGTGCGATCCAGGAACATACAGCGTCAACCCTCAAGCTATAGTGTGTGACCCATGCCCTGCTGGATCTTATTGCATTGATGGTCTAAACTTGATCCCTTGCCCAATAGGTAAATTTTATAATAAATTTTCTATAATTTTTGTAGACAATCTCGTAAAATGAGGCGCAATTGTTCAGGATTTTTAAAAAAGAATCCATTGAAAGCTTCTATAACTCAGGGTTATTTTGATATGTCACATGTTCTACCTATGAGAAGCAGGGTCTTGCATGAATTAAAAGACACATGTGTAAGGAAATTGTTAGTTAAACAGTGGATGTTGAAAACAGTATGGAAAATTAGCAAAAACCATCCAACATGCATATTGATAAAAGTTGATGAAGAAAGCAACTTCATCAAAACATATAAATGGGATGCACGACACCTTCACCTACCAAGACCATCCATCTAAAAACTGAAATCTGTTCAATTAATCCCATACCCAACATAGACTGGTAACCGGACAAGAAGCCAAAGTTCACCACCATATGAATAAGTTGTCTTATTGACTTTTCTCTCTCCCGGGATAAATATGTAAATTCTATCCAGCCATGAAATATTGCTTGATAGGCTTCAAGGTTTATTATTTTGTTGCCACACAAGTGACAATGAGAAAATGTGACACACAATTCGTTGTACCTGATTGTAATCATTACTACCAATATGCCAAGAGTTTTTAACAATAATAAATGCTTTTGAATTCAGGTTACTATTGTGAAGCAGGCACTGGCTATGACTGGAAGTCTTGTCCTCCTGGACAATATGGACAATCAACAGGAATAGAAAACAGCACAGCATGTGCTGAGTGTGATGCAGGAAAGTACTGTAATGAAGCAAATGCTACTACTACAACAGCTGACTGTGCGGCTGGGTTCTATTGTGCAAGTGGAAGTGACACTCCAACACCTGATGGGACAGTTGGTAAGTGATGCTTCCTTTGATTCATATTTGTCTTATATTCTGGATAAAATAAAGATAAATTTTCACATGTTTACCAAAAAACAAGGATTCACAAAATAATGTTTGCTGTTGGTCCATCATGGTAATCATTATGAATATGGTTGCCATCACACCTCTGATTGCACTGCTCGAGTTTGCACATTTAATTCCTGTGGAAGATAATTATGTGTGAAAGATTTGCTGGTCTCGTCATCATTGTAGGATGGCTCAATTACAGCTTCACCAACAAGTCCATGCTCTTGAAACAATGACTGTTCAACTATTCCACTACCCGACATGAACTCGGATGAGACTGGATGAGAAACCATTGTTTTCCATATGGTTAGGCCATTCTTCCTCTCCCAAAAATAAATATGAAAATCTCGCCCTTAGGTGACACATGTATTTGTCTATATGAGTTTTTTTGTTAAGTTCTGTTTGAATAATGTGATCAATTTGGTTTAGAATATTTAAATTTATTGACTAACCCTAAAATGTATCCTATCAAAACAAGCAATTATTTTTTACACTATTAAGTAACTATTGATGTTATCACTCGACCACTATATTTGAAATACTTTAACCCAGGTTGACTATTTTAGTTAATTTATATCTTTGAATAAATATCCTAAAGGGAAACCCGCCCTGCATGTTATGTATGAAGATTGAAAATTTCTGGTGATCCATGTATTAAAATACACCTCCGTATTATGCAGGAAGAAATATGGTAATTTATTATCAACAGGGTTTAACTACCTATCAAGTTGAATGGTTTGGTGAATTTGTATAAATAAATAGGTTTTACTGTTTGAATCAGATTATGTATTTGGTGGTTTAATATTTTTCATTGTCTTTCAATAATTGATATTTTGTTACAGCGCCAAATGGTCCATGCTCTCCTGGATTCTACTGCCCAGCTGGAACGACCATTGAGCAACCATGTCCAGCTGGTAAATGGTCAAATATATCTGGACTAAAATCTGATGTGAGTTCAGAATTTTATGGTATATGATTATATGGTAATAATAATTATAAATTAAATTATAATTATTTATAAAATATATCTCATGGCAAATCACACTCTTAGTTTGTTAGATTAAGTCAGGTATAAAGCCAACTTAGCTGTTGAATGTTTTAGTTGCATGAAAACTTTTCATGGATGACCAATAGGTATTTGATTCACTTTACAATGAAAAAGGCATGGGCACATAAACTGCATTTCCCCAAATTTCCAATTTTCTTGCTGGCATTGTAAATCAAGCAATTTTCCATGCCAACTTTTAATTATACACCATGTTATCAAATATAATTACTTAAAAATGATGAATTTATCTATTATTTTTCATTCAGACTGAATGTTACGACTGCCCTCCAGGAAAATACTGTGAACCAGGTCAAACTGAACCAACTGGTAATTGCTCAGGTGGATATTACTGCATTGGCGGTGCTCAGACTGATAAGGTAACGGAAATCAAGATTTGGTTTTGTCACTCAATTTTCATTTTGGCTTCCACAATTTATTTTATGTTTGTAAGGTGTTTTTTATTTTATGCTCAAAACAAGGCTCTGATCGAGCAGTAATTGTACATGTTTCAGAAGAGACCAAACTGTTGGTAGTTTATCAAAGCAGTGGCCATAAATATTCTTCAATGAGATAATAAACTCTTTGGAAAAAAATATTGATTGTATTTGTGATGTCCAGGTTATCTGCAGCGATTTTTACTTTTTATCAAGTGAAAAAAAAAATTTATATTCGTTTTGATATTTTATAGATCGACCCTGCAGATGCCACAGGAGGTCCTTGTCCAACTGGTCAATATTGTCCAAGTGGAACAGCAAGTCCCTTGGCCTGCCCTGCTGGTACTTATAATAACTTGGCTGGACAAGAGAGTTGTACACCATGTGTGGCTGGGTAAGATCTTTTTGATTTATTCTGGGCATCTGTCACAGCTATTATGCTACTTTAAGTGATTTAGTTATGTTAAACATTGTGTTACTCTAATATGTGCTTCTATAACAAATATCTACTATATTGTCTACTCTATTTTACTATGTACAAGCTTTATGATATCTGCATTTAATGATTCAACATGATGATTTGTTTAAAAATGCGTGATTCTTACACTATATTCACTATACACCAGTTCGCGGGATAGCCAAACGTCTAATGTAGTAGATTGAAATATATTGTCATCGAAAGTGAAAGATCACCTTACATGGAAAGATTGTTATGATTCTAATTTCTTCAAGTTGAAGTATCTTCAATATCAGTATTTTACTCAAATAATTTATAGTAAAGATATATATATACCTCTTAAAAAGATTACCGGTAGGTAGTGATATCAGAGTGTCCATGAGGTCCTTTTAGAATTTGAATTTTGTTATGAAGTCAGTTCTCAACATATCTCAACAAAGGTTGTTGTTTTTTAATAATCTGTAATCGTTCAAGTATTTTTAACTTCATTCAATACATCTGTGAGGGCCAAAACAATATATGGTATCTATAAATTCCTTTTGAAATTTTAAGAAGATTTTAGGAAGTTATAAACACCCTATAAAATATTGTGATACAGATACTATTGTCCACAAAACTCAAGTGATGTTTCTGGTAAGGATTGTCCACTGGGTCACTATTGCCCAACTGGTACAACTGATCCAAATGAATTTCCTTGTCCTGCTGGAACTTACAACCCATTTACCAAGAAGCAAAGTTTAAGAGACTGCAAGCCTTGTGACCCAGGTTTGTTATTCTTTTATTCTTATTTTATTTTTAGATTAAGGTTGTGTAAACAACAGTTAGAGTAATTCTTTATTCTTTAGTTTAAATTAAATGTTTGTTACAGAAATTAAATGTTTGTTACAGTGGGTGGACAATTTGTATATAAATAAACTTCCATTGCAATTAGAAAATTGTAAATGATCAGTCTGCCATTTTTTAAAAACGTTTGAGATGACAAAAAAAGCAACTGAAAAATCACCACTATTTGCTTAATTCTGGGCTGGTGCATCTATATCTGACATGGGCAAACTATGGCCCATGGGCCAAATCTGGCCCTTTAGGTTTGCTGCCACAACGAAACTAAAACCAAATTTTGATCTTTTAGCTAAAAAATAACTCTAGGACTTTGTTGAGATTGGGATTAAATTTAGTTTTGGCACAAAGCTTATTGTTACACTTTTTCTTTTGTACCATTGTGAATATTGTTCATAAAATGTAGCACACTTACATGTCCCGCCAGTCTAGGTGGGTGACATTTTTGGCCCCCAGTCAAAAAACCTTGTCAATCCCTGATTTAAATATTCCAATCACAAATATATTTTAATAATATTAACTGTTCTAAAAACTTAACTAGAAATATATCCATTATTGTTCTCATTTTAGGTTATTACTGTGAGTCCTCAGGGTCTCCATCTACCACAGCACAATGTTCTGAAGGATGGTTCTGCACTTCATGTGCTTCCACTACTAAGCCTGTTGACCCAACCACAACTGCAGGTAATGCCTTTCCGTGATTAAACTATTTTTGCTCCCCTTTCACTGATGAAGAGGATTTGATTATTCAGATTTGGAACCTGCAAAGTACTTTGATTTGAAACAATCAAATCTTCAATAATGTCAATTACTATAACAAAATTAAAAATGTATTTCATATAGAAAAAAATAATAATATCTTAACAGACATTCCTTCTCGAAGTATTTGCACAACAAGAATAACAAAATTAATAACAATTTTTTAATTTGCCAGAACGATTATTTATGGGTCTATTTATTGTCCAATAACAAGTACCATTTCACTATTACAGGGTTAAATGATACTAGCTGCTTGTGTCCTGTAAATGATTCTTTGCCATCTACCGGAGGAAAATGTCCTGCTGGCTATTTCTGCCCATTGGGTTCGAATGCACCACAACCATGCACAGCAGGTGAGTTATAAAGTTTAATAAATATTTCTACAGTGAGAAAGTTATTCAAGTTTATTTTTTTCAAGTTTAATAGGAAAAAACGATATTTACATCACTGGGGAAGGGAAGCCACAGCGAACCAAAACTGGTTATCGAGCGGCACCCAAGGATTTTTTACAAATTATGAATTGCCTAAAGTCATACGCAAATTGATATTTACTGTTGAATAATTCACCACCATAATTCTATATGGTTTCAGTAGTTCTTTGCATTCGAGTGGTTGGTAACATTGCTGAGAGATGAGTCTTTTTACTTCTGTGTCATCTTAACTTTGCTTCAAGCAAATTCCCCTAAAAAAGAATTTTGATACTTGTTTGGCTCTTAGGTTCTTAGATTACCATTTTAGTAAATGATCATCTCGATCATTTTCTTTCGATCATCATCATCATTTCGATCATCTTCTATAAACCTAGGAAGGATTTTTTAATTTATTTTTTCTAATAATATATTTTGATCAGTGGCATGATAGATGAAAATTGAATGTTGGTATTTAAAAAAATCTCATATTATTTGAAAAAATTTCTTATATTTTTGATTCTCCTAGGTGAATTTTGTGCTACTGAAGAACTTGGAAGTACAACAAGTGGACAATGTTCAGCTGGTTACTATTGCAGCGGTGCAAGTCAATTGTCTGAACCAGTAGATGGTGTGACTGGTGGTAGTTGCCCGTAAGTTATTGAGCTGAAAATAACTATGGGCCGAAATATTAGAGAAGAAGAATTAGCTATTTATTATTTCTGCCATTTTAATGATATATAGAAAAAGATTGCTTGACTCATCACCAATGTAACTTGATTCATGTAACCGCTAATTGGTTACAGCTTCTTCCTCTATCAAGCATGCATCTGAAACAAAAAACTGTTTAACTACTTGTATGCCCGATAAGGACTATTAACTGGGCGAGGAGCCGCATTTGCTATATGAATAATCCGTAGTATCAGTTTTCTTATCTTCTGAAATATGAAAATCTATCTTAGATGTATTAGATTAATTTTTCTGAGCTTCTGTCACAGCTAATGATTTTCCTCCAAGTAAACCATTATGTTACCATTATGTTCAAACAATTCATGCTCGACAAAACTTGAAGAACTTCAAAAACGTTTCATTTTGTGTTACAATTCAACAGCTTTTGTTTAAATAACACATTTGATATGATAAAATGAATAATTTGAAATGTTCAATAACTGTTAAACTTGAATTAGATTTTCATGTATCTTCATGAAATTAGGAACTTGAAAATCAATTAATCAGTGTTTCCTTAATTCCAAATTATTTCAAAACTATCTGTATTGAACAGCACATATTTTATAAAATATTCAGTATTCCAATACATTCCAAAATATATTTATATAATTATTTCCAAAGAGTAAATCATTATGTTAAAATAGTGTTAGTAAGAAAGCAATAGTTTGTTACCGAAATTGTGAATAACTTGTTATTATTTTTTTCTTAGGCCTGGTCACTATTGTATAGTAGGAACAGCTGTACCAGAGCCATGCCCTGCAGGAACATACAGTGGGATTTCTAATAATAAAGAGTTATCAGACTGCAACACTTGTACTCAAGGTTTGTGATTGGGAAATTAATAATTTTATTTAAAATATTAAAATTGATCCACATTGTACGATTCAATGTTAGACTACCACATAGGTGCCGCTGCTTGATAACCATTACTGGTTTATCGTGTCTCCCTTCACACTGAAATACATTATTTGTATTTTACCTCATTGTTTGTATGTACACTTTAGTATTTTTGGTATGTGAAAAAACTACCCACTGACTGACTTTTTTACAATTGTACAAAACAAGTTAGAACCCAAATTAGGACTGGGTGCAGGGTTACTGCCAAAGTAACTCTATTACTGCCAAAGAATTTTACTAAATACATTTTTTTAAATACTAATACTAATAAATAATAACTATTTGTTAACTCTATTACTGCCAAAGAATTTTACTAAATACATTTTTTTAAATACTAATACTAATAAATAATAACTATTTGATGAGTATCTTAAAAATGTCATGTTGAACTTAGTTTGAGACGTGTGGACCAAGTGGGACAATAAGTGAAAATGTATGGGCGAGAGGACAAGTGTATATTTTTGATACACAGTCAGTCCATGCTGCCGAAAACAGATAGTTGGCTGGTTAATCCCATAACCGACATTGACTGGTAACTGAGTGTGAGGCCGCGATTTGCCATATGATTAAGCCTCAAATTTGATTCATCCTTAAATTTGATGTGTGTTATCTTGCATTGTAACAAACCACAGCTGGCTCATATTGCCCAGTTAATGATTTTCGTTCTTGGTTCAAGACAGAGATATTAATTATTTAATCAAGAATAACAAATGTTCTCTTTTATAACCTTCTAAAAATGACATATATGATGGCCAATGTAAATCAGCTGAAATTTAGGAGAATTTCCTGTACTGTATTTTTACCGAATTGCCTCATTTCAGGTTCATACTGTGAGGCTGCTGCAACTTCGGAAACTGGTGATTGTGCCGCAGGATTTTATTGCCCACCTGGTCAGAACACAAGTACACCCACTGACTATGAATGTCCTGCTGGTTCATATTGCCCTGGGAAAAACTCGGAACCCTACGCATGTCAGAATGGAACATACCAAAGTTCGGCTGGACAGGTTGGCCTTTGTATTGTTTTGGCAAAATTCACATCATCAATATAAATAACCAATATTCAAATGTCTTATTTTAATTACAGAGAGTCATATTGTAAAAAATTCATCAAGTGTTGTATAAACAAAAACTTTATTTTGAAGTTTGATATGTTAGAACAAAAAATCCCTTATATTTAAATTGCTTTATCATAAATACACAGTATCACATTTTAAAGAAGTAATTCAAGTATTCCTTAAACAACAATTGAAACCTAGCATCTCGCACAATGTTTCAACAAAAAAAATGCAAAATTCTATATTTAATTTGAAGCAAAATCTGCAACCCAAATTTTCTGTTGCTCCAGCGAAACTGTTCAAAAGCCTACTTTAAAATAGAAAGCTTTTGGGTTCAGATTTGATTTAGAGTTCAGTGAGTTGAAAAACGTATTGAAAAGAATGAAACAGAAAATATTAACCTGAGTTTGAGTAACATGCTTTAATGTTTTGAACAGACTAAAAAACACTAAAACATAATTCAAACTACAAATGGTCAATTAGACTAAAATATACACTTTTACATTCACATGGACAACATGGACAATGAACATTGGTTTGGTTTCGAACCACTGATTTAGATCATTTTATATCAAATAAAATCAATAAGATATGGGAAAATATTCTAACCAGAAATTTAAATCCTAATGTTAAGCATGTACTGTACTTGTTGGAATAGATCAGGGGTGGGCACACCGCGGCTCGCCAGACTTTTTGTGCGGCTCTTCTCGCTAACATAAATTATTATCCAAATTTTAACTAAGAGAAAAATTCATTTAATTTATTAAAAGTCGTAAAGAAGTTTTCGTCAATGATTAAGACAAATTATGTTTTAGTATGAAAATCGCTGTAGGGTTGAATTTAAGTCAGGCAAGTCAGCAAATCTTTCGTCACAATGGACAATGTTTATTGATGCTTGACGGTATTGCTGCTTAATTGCGGTTAGTTAGTCTAAGTTACTGTGCGATATGTCCTCAATTAAGAAACGAAAGTACGAAGATGAAAAACAGAATTGTCAAGTCAGAATGGGAAGAAGAGTACGCATTTACCAGTCAGAAGAATAAACCTTTGTGCATAATCTGCCATAAGCTACTAAGTCAGAATAAAGTCAGCAATGTTAAACGGCACCATGAATCGAATCATGAAAACTTCTTACGAGACTACCCTTGTAAATCAGCTATAAGGAAACACAAATTAAATGAGCTCAAATTGTGCATATATTTGAGCATAGCTGCGTTGTTTGACTATTTATTGTTATTAGACTCTTGTGTGAATTTCTTTTCTGTTCATGGTATTTTGATAATAATGATAAATTCACAAATTCTGCGGCTCTTTTAAAGTTCTGACTTGCAGCATGCGGCTCTTATACTAAAAAATTGTGCCCACCCCTGGAATAGATGGCAACACACAGGCAGCAACAGCATATTATATACAGTTGAAGTTCCATATGTGTTTTCTGTACCTTTTGTTATGTACAAGGGGATAAAAAAACAGGAAAATTTTTGTAATTAGTTCTTTGAAATTGAAGAAAATTTCTATACATTTCTGTTTGTGAATGTTTGTACCCAAAGGTTTCAGTAATCTAGTTCACTTTGTACAAAAGTTATGTTCTGTATAGATATTATCCAAATGAACAGTGTTCTGTTTTCTTGGGTCACTTTGTATTTTAAATATTAACAAGTTATCTCAATTTTCAGACATCATGTGATCCATGCCCGGAAGGCTACTACTGTGAAGCCATTGGGAGTTCTATTGTAGGAGTCAGCGTCCCTGTAGAATGTCCACAAGGCTACTTTTGCCCAATAGGAACTTCTTTTTCAACCCAATATGGATGTCCTTTGGGCACTTACGGAAATAGGACTAAGTTGACTAAAATGTCACAATGTACAGATTGCACTGGCGGATGGTATTGTGATGAAACTGGCCTTCCAGGTCCTGCTGGGCCATGCATTATGGGGTTTGTTGATTACTTTATCTTCTTAGAGCAGAGATTAATGAAAATTGTGGGGAAACTGAATGTCTCAGTAAAGTTTGCATTAATTTATAAATAAAAATGAGATAGGTTTGTTGAACTTATATAGAATGGACGAAATATTCTTAATATGACCTTAACCTGACACAAATCATTTTTACCAAGTCAATGGTTTCTGATGAATCAGTTTCATATTGAAGTTATTGAAAGATTTTATTTATTTCAAAAAATAAGAATCAAAATTATATATTTCTTATAATTAAACAAATGAATCAACATTTTTCAGATTCTACTGCACACTTGGTGCACAAATACCAAACCCTACGGATGGTGTAACAGGGAATAAATGCCCGAAAGGATCATATTGTCCCGCACAAACCACTGCCCCAAAAGATTGCCCAGATTCTACCTTCAACCCCGAATTTGGTAAGTTTCATCAAATTGCTGAACTTCTATCACTTCGGCAAGATTTCTTATTTTAAATCACAAGTCGGTATTTAACATACTTGTTTGGTCACAATCACACATCTTTTCAATTTTCATCAGGGAATTTTTCCATCAGTTTATTCTTAAAATTATTACTATTGCTTTCTCTGTACTACTGGATCACTCCAATCTTTACCGAACGATATTAGGCAGTTTCTCAATATTACTATTCTGCAGAGATCTTTAATTTATAGCCAAAATGGATATAGTCACAATGCGCTATTAACAAGTCATGTACAGCTTTTTTACAAAATTTTAATGTGGTATAGAAATGTTTACTTTACAATCAAAGTCTAGCATCCAATTTTATAAAATGCATTTTTGCATAATAAAATTTAAGGTTATCATGTGAAAACCATTTCAAGTTCATCGACCTTTGTGAAAAACCCTTTCATCCTTTTCATGTAAAATTTGTTCAAGTAATTCATTTCAACATTGTATTCAGGTATCACAGCATTCTCAAAATGCACAGATTGTACTGGAGGAAAGTATTGTGAGACTGATGGACTGAAAGAACCTACCGGAAATTGCACTGCTGGTTACTATTGCCCTACAAAATCACAGTCTTCTACAGGTGATGTTTATTACTATCAATGATTAGTTGTGCTCACCAGTTGGCACATCATTCCAAGCGTTAGGAATGTGTGAATATTACACCTCTGATTACCCTGCGTGGGTTTGCAGGTATGAATCCTGTGCAAGAGGATTGCTAGATTTATCGTCATCATAAAGTGGTCTACATAACCGCTGGTCAGTTACGATTTCCTCGACCATGAAGTACTTGCATCTGAACTGTAGATTACCACTGTGATGGTGTCACAAAGTGTTCATTAATTCTTTTGTCTATCTCAGATAAAATCCATGTATGTTTCTTGTAATAAAGTAATAGCCTTTAAGATAAACTTTCATTTTAAACTGTTTTACATTTGAGAGCAATTGGTCCAGTAAGGGAGTAGAAAAACGAAGTTTTATTGTATCAAAAATATCAAAAAAGAAACAAGCGAATGAAACAATCTTTTAATTTTAAAAATATCTCAAACTTTTTATATCATACTAGCAAACAAATGTCCTGCTGGATATCACTGCCCAGAAGGTTCCGCAGATCCTCTACCTTGTGAACCTGGTACTTATACTGATTCTGAATTACAATCTGTATGCACTGCTTGTACAGAAGGAAATTTTTGCAATGGAACAAGTATTGTGGTATGTAATTTATTTTTGTTCTGCTTCTGACTTGAAAAATGATGCAACACAGACGTCTACCAGTAATTAATCACAAGCCAGAGCAATGTGTCACTTTGTATTGTTCCAGGAAAGTTTTTGTATCGATGGCCTAGTTGTTGATTATTGTATATAACTTTATCGACTTCTCAGCTTAAATATTGTGAGTTTTATTTCAATGCCTACTGCCTGACCTAGGGTGCAAAGAGTTGATTCGGTAATGCCGAACCATTCCAATCTTAATCAATCTTGGCCCTCATGCAACAGTGGCTGCCATACAGAGCCCACTTCTGAATGAAGTTGTGAATAGGGCCCATAAGAAGATTTACACAAGGATTAGTTTCAAGCTGTCCAGCATAAGCTTGTTTGGACTTGAAACAATAAATAAAGTTTACCAAATAAGCTTTTTATATATGCTTTTTTTTAGAAAAATACAAACTAATAACATCTTTTAACAATTTTCTCTTTAGACCTGTCCACAAGGGTCATACTGTATACCAGGATCAAATAGCCCGACACCATGTCCTCGTGGCACCTATGGAGACAGATCAGGACTAACAGCAGAAAGTCAATGCAGGCTTTGTGATCCCGGAAAATACTGCCCAGATCTTGGCGCTCTTAATTTTGCAGGTTTGTCACCTTTAACTTGCATTTACTCTATATTTAGGACAATATGCTAATTCTTTACTTTACAACTGGTAAAAACATGAATTAAAAGTATATTGGCAAGTAATTTGAGTTGAGTTTAACATGCATTCCTGTTGGTAAACATTATTTAAAATCAATAGTCAAAGTTTGCAATTGTCAACCAGTGCATGTTTCTTCAGAGTTTGCATTGAGCACTTGTGCCCACACAATAATGATTACCTCAGCATGATCAAGACATATGAACAGCCAGTAAATTTGCTATCTGAAATTGTGGTGAAATATAAATTTTGTCATAGAATAATTAACATGGCATATAATTACTTAAGTTACAACATTATGACTTTTTTCATCTTGCTATATAGCATGAAACTAGCTAGTAACACAGAAATGTCAAAGAATATGATTCACTGAATTTTGAATGCATCATTTTCAATTGGTTTATTTTGTAGATAATTGTGCTGCAGGATACTTCTGTAGGAATGGATCCGACTCGATAACACCTTCTGGAGGAAATATTGGTGATGCTGGAATATGCCCTGCTGGTCATTACTGCCCTCTAGGTAAAATATTATTTTATTGTATTTAACCCTTTCCAAGCTGTGGGCACGTATACGTATCAACGACAAAAGTCACTAGATTGCGGCGGGTACGTTGATGTACTCCACTGTTTTATTCAGCAATCGGTCGCAAACTGTTGGTCTAGGTTTTCCGGGTTTTAGTTTATTGATAAGAAGTCTTCTTCGAGATTAACATAAGCGACGGTAAATCTCGCTTTCGTTTACGACAGGAATTTTATTTGCGGGGGAACGAGGGAGTGTTTTTGAAATTTATGCAAATTTCTGTGTTTTTTGGGTGGTAATAGGAGACATATTATCCCTTCCATCTACCAAAGTATTTTGAGTTAGATCACGAAATTGCTACAGCAATATTAAGCTATTGTTTGCCAACCACGAAGCGGTAACAGTCAAGGATTTAGCGAATATTTCTATTTTTTATCACGGTTTGAAGTTTCAACTCCCAAGAAAAAAAAATGCCTTTTTTCTATCCGGTTTGTGAATCAGACCACCACTTTTAGAAAAACTTTCTTTTTTAATTGCCAATTGCAAGCTCTATAAATAAGCTTTCCAACGAGCCGTCAGTGGGCAGCAGAGGATCATTAGTTTTTCGTTAGTCGATCGATTAGTTGTGGGGGTACAAATGCATAAAATCGACGTAGCAAATACGATTATTTAATAAAAAATAAAAATCGCATGGAAAGGATTAAGACATCTTTACCATATGACACCAACATAGGTTAAGTATTACTCTCTAGCACAGGGGTGGGCAAGGTTTTTAGATCTGGGGCCAAAATTTTTGCGCATCTAGACTGGCGAGCCATGTATGTGTGACGTAAAAGTTACACTTTAGGAACAATATTTACATTGTTACAAAAGCAAAAGTGGAAAAAGACAAGCCTCGTGCCAAAACTAAATTCAATTGCAATCTCAACAAATTGCTTTAGCTATTTCAGCTAAAACATCAAAATTTGGTTTTAGTTTGATTGTGGCAGCATCAGGCGGGCCAGATTGAATTACCAAATAGACTGGATTTGGCCCCCTGGCAGTAGTTTGCCCATGTCAGCTCTAGCAGCAGATCTCTTTTGTTCGTGTTAGTGCTGTATAATTAACTTTATTATCTCCATTCATTCAATAGATATTAGCATTATATTCATACTAGCGATTCATTCTCAATCTATTAAACTTTATTCAGGAACCGGAGAACCAAATGCTTGCTCCCCTGGTACTTTCAACAACATGACTCAAAAATCTCAGCCATTAGACTGTGTTTTATGTTCTGCTGGAATGTATTGTGAAACCAGTGGTTTGGATTTCCCCACCGCAGAATGTGATGTTGGATTCTACTGTATTGAAGGATCAAGTTCAGCTAGACCACCTGTGGTATGTCTTATATCTTTTATTTAACACTCATATTTTACATGATTTCAAATTATTTAAATTAACAGGACAGGACAAGCATTGATTTTTCAACAAATAAAAAGGTTCCAGGCATAATCTATATATGAATTTAAATAACTGGAATTTTTAGGAATGAATGCCCACTCATCATTATTTTAATGTACCCTAGTCTGTCCCTTTATTATCCATTACTATATACCCTTAACAATTTACAATATCAGAACTATATCATTTACAGGCAACTGCGACAGGTGGACCATGCCCAGTAGGTTCTTATTGTCCCCAAGGAAGCAGCATAAACAAACTGTGTGAAGGAGGAACCTACGCGCCAACAACTATGATGGGTGAATGCCTTGCATGCCCAGCTGGATCATTCTGTGAACCTGGTGCCCACAATACTACAGAGTGTCCTGTTGGTCATCACTGTGAACTGAATTCAACCTTTGCAACTCCATGCACGAATGGCACTTATAATAATGAGACAGGTGATCTATCACCTCTGTTAATTTTTTTTATTGGAGTTTACATTTACGTGGAACATGTTACTTTATTGTTTTCTACTAGATGTCTGAAAAAAAAAATTTTCATTTTAAACTATTTGATGTTTAAATATTCCCTAATCCAAACTTGTTTCATGTTTAAGTGTTCTTCTGCTGTTATTATATGTTGGGTATTTTTTATTAATATAATATATCAATTATCATCATCATGGTCATGATAAAAACATGTATATGCATATGTATTTTTTGACATATATATAAATTGGTGTACAACTCTGAAGAACACATTAAATGCAATATGTATTTCATACAAACATTCCTCTGGTCCAGTGTTTGCCAACTAACACTTCAAATCTATAATAATATTTAATTCGCAGGAGGTATGGGACCAGAAGCATGTCAATATTGTTGGCCTGGATGGTATTGCCCTGATCAAGGAATGGAATATCCTGCTAGGCAGTGTGCTCCTGGGTGGTAAGTTGTTAAGTATATGAGTATAGGTATTGTATAGGTACACCTCAACTTTCAATAATTTCTAAAATCACCACCACCACTTTGCCGGAAGATGAAGGTTTAAAGGTTTCATCATCTTGTACAATACCAGTTTTGTAAATGCTAGTCTACTCGCCATGACAATGTGGTTTATGTAACCTGTGATTGGTTACAAATTCTTCCACCAGCCTCTTCCAAATATTAGAACCAATTGAAATTTTTTATAAAATACCAATTGGTGCTGGTAATTGATGGCTGACCATAGCTTGCCATATACTAAAACCATCTCAACAATTTTCCTTTTCTATAACTGCAGCTGAATATGAGATCCATAATCTGCTCTACTTGAAATCGTATTTTTTAATATAAAAAAACGAGAATATCGGTCAGAGACCGAAGACTTATCGATTGAAAGTTAGGGGATTCCCCAAAACAGCGCTCTTACTCCATAGTGACACCTTGTGTCCCATCACTAAGTAATTAATACCTCGCTAATTATACGACATAATTCGCCCAAAATCAATAGTCTTCTGGTCCGAGATAAGATGAATGCACATGCAAAATCTGAAGCAGATTCAATCTCGCTTTCGTGAGATATCGCGTGCATCTAACAGACAAACAGACATACGGACACCTATCAACATACTTACCGATTAAAATCGATAAGTAATTAGCTAGGGAGCTATATACATTTCATTAGGCTTGCACGTAATTGACAAAAATCAATTCCGTAATTACGGCCAAATCGATTACGTAATGACCCCGTAATTGCGATATTTTTTTCACACATTTAAACCTATCATAACAACCAATTGAATCCACTTCTATTCCGAATGGGACATTGAAGTTTGGTTTTCATATTCCCGGCAGTACTACACGCCGGCGACAGATGTTAAAGACAAATATCAAGGAGTGAATTCAAATTAATTTTATTCTGATTTTTATCTTTTGTTTTAGTTTTGATTTTCCTTTATCACCCAATTTCATGCGATCAATTTTAGCATTACCAACACTGGTATACGGATATTTATGAAACGATAGTTGACTTTTTAAAATCGTGTTAACGTATTAATACGACTTTCGTATTAAATAAAAATTCCAGATTTATAATTTAATAATCAGACTAGTTATTTCACCGTTTTTTTACAACATCCGACTTTGTAATAGAAAATGGTTCTCGCGCAGAATAAACACGGGAAATCCCGTCGTTTCGTTTTCTCTGCCGTCTCAATCGATTTACCGATGCCGAAAAAACTACCTAAGTAAGTTGCGTTGGTTTATTACGCAATTTCTCTTCCGTCGTCATATTGCTGTTTGATAAGCGCGACATTAATTATCACGGCATTTACAAATAGACCATGTTTGATAAGTTGATCTCTTACATTCGTTAGTCATTTCACCCGAAGAAGTTGAAATCAGGTGTGTTGGCGTCAATCAGTCTCAACACAATTCTGTCCCTTATCTACGGTTAATATGTACTTTGGCCATGCTAGATAAGTTGTTAATAGGTTAGTAAATGGCAACGCGTTATGCCTTCCCCACCTGCGTAACAAGAGAGAGAAAAACGGCTGCTAATACCGGAACTTCTTCTACTTATTAAACTTAATTTTTTACAATCAACGGAATTGACTGCTCTGAAGAGAGCTCGTTTCAATCGCGAAAGCGCTCGACCAATAATTACGACTTTACGTAATTCGTAACTTCGCTTCCGTAACTCGAAATAATTCCGTAATTCCGTAAATCCGTAAATTACGTGCAAGCCTACATTTCATAGTAAAAACAAAGACATGCAAAGCAAATTCCCGAGCGTTTCAATCACATCACATAATTACCATTTCTATTAACCAACCTCTGCAGAGCTGATTTTTAATCATTTCCGTTTATGCCTAACACCTGATTATTTTCTATTTGATACTATAAGGTACTGCACCCTTGGTTCATGGATGTACGAACCGGTTGTAGTGGGAAGTGGGGCAGATATTTTAAGCTGTGTTTGCCCAGTTGCTGATGGTATTGGTGGACGATGTTTATCAGGAACCTACTGTCCAGAAGGAAGTGCGGCACCACAGATATGTGATCCAGGTAGATATATTTGGTTCCTGTATTTTTGAACAATAAACTTTTTTTCCTCACCTTTGAATTCTCTGACTTTTGAGGTGCAGTGAAGGGTATGTTGCAAATATTTATGTTAGAATTTGTGTATCGTGTGGATTTGTGTATGTTTGTGTACTCAATTAAAAGGTAATAATATGTATGGATGAATCATACATTTTGGAAATATTATGAAATATTTTTAGGCATTACAGTTAAGTTTTGTTTCAATATAGTTTATTAAATTTAATTTGTTAAATAAATGAGACATACACACATGCATAACTCCTGTGTCAAAATTATAAGCTCTGAATATCATATCTTCGGTTATAAAGCCATAACTATGTTATATCCATGTCATTTTAGGTTCATATTGTGATTTGGATGAGTTGGACGCAGTAGCAGGACCATGTCGAGCCGGTCATTTTTGTACCAATGGCAGCACAGAGATCGCACCAGTTGGTAAATCGTATGGTGATATATGTCCAATGGGTCATTACTGCCCACAAGGGAGTCCAGCACCAACAGCTTGTGATGCAGGTATGACCTTATGGGTTTTACCATGTTTCTCCAATCTAAATGATTAGAATGACAAATCGGGTCCTTTTTGTCAATATGTCAGCTATGGGATAGCAAGTGTGTTTCTACTGCATTGCTTGAGTTGTCATTTCCATATATCACTAAAAGTTTGACAACTGTCATTTCTGCTCATAATATCTTGTAAATTGGTTATTGTACATTTTTAAACTCTGTTGCAATGCTTTGAATGAAGTGCATAAAACAAAGAGTAAATGAGACATGGAATATCAAAAGTAAAATTACTTCAAAAATCAATGTGAAAGATTACTAGTAGTGGAATGTAATGTGATGCAATGTATCAATTTGTGCTGAAGAAATTGATTTGGAATTTGGAAAATCAAGAACTATTTTCAAGTTATTAATGCTAAGTTTGTTTCACGTGGCCAGGGATAAACTATATTAATCTAATGTATTAATAAAAACTTCTTGAAGTATTTGCCACAGTTCAAACTATCTATTGTTCAAGCAAAATCCATATTTTCTATGATTATTTTTCTTTTTTGCAGGATATTTCTCAGATGTAGAAGGAAATGAAAGGGCTGCTGATTGTCAGAACTGTACTGGTGGCTTTGCTTGTCCATCTCCTGGTACTGAGACACCAGTTGTCAAATGCCAAGTGAGACTAATAATCTAGAAACTAGCAGTTCACATTGTTAACACTATTGTTTTTGCGGTTGGATAGTATTACATATATCTTGAAAAACAAACATAATGCAATCAAGCTCACACATTTGCTTGGATTTCTGTCTTTGCTTTCTAGAAAGTATGCATGACCTTGCATTAAAAAAATTCCCTTGAAAATGAGAAAATATTTTGATAAAATGTAACATGTGCAAGCGTCTGCTTTGCTTCCTAGTGAGTATTCATGACATTGGATTGAGAAAATTCTTATGAAAATGGTGCAATATTTCAAAAGGAAGGTAACGTGTGTGTGTGCTGCATGAAAGTTTCTCAGTAGTATAAAAATTCCAATGCAAAATTTTCATTTCAGGTTGGTTACTATTGCGAACCAGGATCTACAGAATCAGCACCTTCAACAGCAAAATGTCCCAGAGGAACTCAATGCCCTGAACAAAGTCCATTGTACACACCATGTTATTCTGGTACTTACCAACCTGATGAAGGAATGGGAAGCTGTTTGGAATGCGATGCTGGTATGGTTTTTTGTATATATTAATGAATGAAATCATTGAGTATTTCAATTATTTTTTCGTGGTGATCAAGTGATAACTAATGCCACAATGATTATTATAATTGAGCAGCAGGGTTGTAGCCAGGGTGTTCCGCAATTTCTAATTGCCAAAGTAGACAGACCATACTAGATATTGGTCCAGCTGAAGGCAAAAAATGTGAGATTTGTCGAGAGTCTTGATGGTTTAAAAAGCATTTCAAGCTTCAAAAAAATTACTATGCATGATACAAAAAAATTCTTTTTTTTTCCGACCCCAACTGCAATCGTGATGCACCAACATTCATTTACTCATAATCATATTTCACTGAATTCAAATATCTGATCTTCACATAAATCAATTACAAGTATAGATGGATATTTTTTAATTAATTAATTTGTATGATGAGCCAATAGCCAAATTATCCTTTATTACTTTTCATGGTTATGTACATGTACACAATTCTTTAAAAAAATGTTAATTTTGTTTCAAACAGGGAGCTACTGTGACTATACTGAAGCACTAGCTAGTGGCCAATTAGGAGTCGTGACCCCTGTTCAATGTCCACCTGGTTTCTACTGCCCTTCAGGAACAAACTATTCATCAGAGTATCCATGCCCTGCTGGTACATACAGCAGCTCACCTGGGCTTACTTCTCAAAGCTGCACTCCATGTGATAAAGGTAAGAAACAAAGCAATTTATGAATTCTAGTTAAATTCATGTATTTAATCTTGTGTGTGGGTCATTGTGAACAAAACTGTAATTTTCTCTTGGAACCTCTAAGCATAGCGGAGTGTTGAGTTTGGTAAGTATCTGTGGCCAATGGTTCATGCAACTTTGTGAGACTTACTGAGAGTGAGAGACATATTAGGCAGATAACCATGGAAATGATATTTGTTAACGAGGAGCAACACAAAACTATGTAAAGCAAAACTTGTCACAGTTGAAATAATGATTGTCAAAACAATGTCTCTGATAGAGAGTTTTACACTGTTCATTCAGTAGAAATTTTGGAATAAAAGATTCAAACATTTGAATACATCCAAAACGAACATAAAAAACACTTGTGAATACAGAAAAACAAGTGATTTATATAAATATACATGTGTGTTGCTAAAGTGCATGTAAATAACTAGTATTTTGATTGCGGAAAAACCCAAATAAGATCTTTATTACACCCAAAATTTTCCATTCACAAATATTTTGTGGCCTAAATGTTGAGTATGTTAGAAACTGAGTAGATAGATGTCGGTTTGATACTGCTTTGAAAAGTTGTCGTTATCCTTTGCTATAAGATATTCTAGGAAATTTTCCTATAAATCACTAACAATATCTATTCCACTATTTTAGGTTACTACTGTGATGTGACTAATCTAACTAGTGTTGTTGATCAATGTTATCGTGGATATTACTGCCCTGAAGGTTCCAGTGATCCAAGACAGAATGACTGCAGACAAGGTTAGTATTTTACTTGTATGTATTTTCATCTTTTTATTTTCTTAGGTAATAGAACAAGGCAACATGATCAAGATTTTCGTTTGTCTTTTTAATATTTTTGTATAGAAAACACAAATAAAAATCCAAATAATTTGAATATTTTATAATTTTATTCAATCCATGAACAAACAATTAAATCAAAACATAGCATTTATATTTTTATTTAGATACTTTTATATTTATTTTTGCGAGCCAAAAGCTGAATCACTTGGCAATCGATGAATAGCTTTTAGTTTTGGTTTCCATTACAATACATGCATCTCTTTTGAACTAGTTAATATACTTGATTGATTTTGATAGTTTATTTTTTTAAACCCACAATGAATTAATTTTATTTATCCTTGGAAAGAGCAGTTCATGAAATAACTTTATCTCTGTTATCTAGTTTTGCGTGAGCAGAGATGAAATGTAACCACCAGTTGTCTGACACTTTTTAATTCATCCAATACTCCCTATTTTTGTTTTCATGCTCTTTATTCAATCCAGGTTACTTCTGTGTACAAGGATCTTTTGCTGAAGAACCTTGTCCTGCTGGAACATATGGAGCAAGTCCCAAACTTGGGTCACAATCAGAATGTTCAGATTGTGAACCTGGACTATATTGCCAGGGAACTGGAAATCCAGAACCCTCTGGTGGTTGTACTGCAGGTATTTTACTCTTTTACTTTTATAAGTATGTATCTACAATTTTATATAACTTTTTACAAAAAAGGATATGTCACAAATTCTCAAAGTGAATGTTTCATTTTAAGCTTTTATTAGGTTGCCTATTGAGCTTTAAGATAAGATTGGGCTTTTTATATACCGTATATCCCAGATAGATGTATAGTTGATAAAAATGGCTTAATTATTTTCAGTGGCAATGTCCTGTTCTCTAGTCATCGTTACAGGCTGAATATGGGAATGATAGGATACTGTGATTACCCGGAAATAAAACATTGTCTTATTTCAATTTTTTTTCGAAAAATAACGCTAGGGCTCTTTTTCGGAAGATATCATTTATTTTCATTCATCAAAAACAAAATTACAAAGTAGAGAATTACGAGATTGCCAAATATAAAAAAGAATATGGAAACCGATATCCATTTACTTAAATGACGCGTTTTTCTCTCTCCCACATTTTAGATTAATCAATGAAACGTGTGGGAGAAATTTCCTGCTATCAACTAAAAAAAGTCGTGCTATTGACTAGGTCTTATTCTAAGGATAGGACTTATATCGAAATCATGCTCAAAATTCAGGCTAGGTCACATTTTCAGGTCTTATTTTTGGGGGCACACGGGAATAGATATTCCGATTGCTGTCTGCTGATTCATAAAGTTTGGCTACATTACAATATATATCTCTTACTAATGTTTGAATTATAGAATGATGTTATTAAATTAAATATCAATTACTGTAATTTCAAATATTGGACTACTTTATCTACTGACTGATCTAATAATGATTCATACACAGTACTATTTGTAGGTTCTCTAATCTCGACTTGAACTGTATAGAAATATAATTTTCAAAAACCATGCTTTGTTGTACTTTTATTTTAGATTCAACACTTTTTTGCTATTTATATGACTATGAAAGAGCCATACAATAATTTTTTTAATTATGTATAAAATTGTAATTGTTGAATTATGTTTTAGGCTATTATTGCTCTGGAAAATCATCTGAGCCTTCGCCAGTTGGTAAATCTTATGGAGATATTTGTCAACCTGGATATTATTGTCCAACTAACAGTAGTACTCAGACAGCATGCTCACCAGGTTTGTTTTTCCATTTCGATTTTTATGAACAATTTATATAAAACAAACTCTGTACTAGTTTACTATAGGGATGGGAAGCAGGTTTAAAATCACGGTTGCTCTGACATGGATGGATTTTATTTTTTTATGAAGTATCACAAAATTATAAAAGTGAAAAAATAAATTGATGATTAGGAGGTGTAGTCATTAAAATTTCTTGTAGCTGCGACTCCGGCTTCAGCTCCATCTAATAGGTTAAATTAGTTCCAGCTCCAATAAAATGACCTTGTCTTATTTCTTTATGAGGCATTTTATTCATCGCTATTACAAGATCTTTACTGGTTTAATATTGGTCTAACAAGGTAATATGGTTAACAAGATAATATTTTATTCGTAATTTTAGGAACGTTCAATCCAAACCAACAAATGACTCAAGCATCAGATTGCAAAGTATGCACACCAGGATATTTTTGCAATGATAGTGCATTGAGTGGAAAATCAGGTGAGTGAGAAAATGAATTCTTCCTGGTATATTCTGAGAAAATTACAGAAAACAAATCCTATGTCCTCTCGAACATCTACTCTCTAAATGACACTTTCGTTTCATAGAGTTACTTTTTGATATGTGCTATTTATGACATAAAATTATCACAGTATAAATGCAAATTTGCTTAATTTTAAATATATTTTAAAACTGATTTACAATTTTTTTCTCTATAGTGGTTTGTCGGACCAAAGTTAGACTTTGAACCATTCAATTTAGCCATTTTAATTCTTGCAGTAGTATCTTTTCAGTTAGTCCATTTAAGAATCTGAAGAAAATAATACTTCATTATTGGCCAAAAGTCCAATAATATCTGTAGCAAAATGGCCAGGGCTCTCACAAGATAAATAAAATTTGTCAGCTGCACCCAAAATTCCATTCTATGTTTACAGAACATTACAATTTTTGAAATTAATCACCAGTATCTATGTAGTTAGTGCATAAAGATACACTACCACAAAGGCAGAAAGAAAGAATCAATAATTATATGCATGTTACTCAAACATATAATTCAATATTGTTGTAATTGGAAATATTAGGCTTATGATCTTTCTAGCAAAATGGCTGCAGCCGGCACAATCTGAATAGAAGTTTTAAAACTTGAATAGTAAGTTAAGTTACGAAATATTATACTTTATAAAATTATTCACAGGTCTTTGTTTTCCTGGCTATTACTGTGATGGAGGTGCTGTCAATTCAAAACAACATGAATGTCCACCAGGATCATTCTGTGTAGAAGGTTCAGCCGCTCCAGAACCATGTGAAAATGGAACATATTCTAACTACTCTGGAGCAGCAGTCTGTGATATATGTCCTGCTGGTTATTATTGTGTGAATAGAGACAGAGCAGATCCATGCCTGCCTGGGCATTATTGTCCCGCTGGGACTGGATCTGATCTAAGGAAGTGTCCATCAGGTAATAACAACTAAAACTGATTTATGTAAGAGGCAGTGCATTTTTGTACCCACTAGCTAACTTGGCGTTATGAATTTTCAGCTCACCCCCTTTTGAAATTCTTGGTTACTTCCCTGAATACGAACTCATGGTTACTTCCCTGAATCGAACTCTAATTTTTTATGTATAAGTAGAATTAACTTTTATCATTTTATCTCTTTTTATTCAAGTTATAGGAAAAGGTTTTAAAACTTTTAACCTTTGTTTTCACACAGGAACATTCAACCCAACATATGGTTTGTCATCAGAGAGTCAATGTAGTCAGTGTACAGGCGGATATTATTGTCAAACACCAGGATTTAGTTCAGAAACTGGGAAATGTGATGCTGGATTTAATTGTATTACTGGAGTCGATACTAATCAACCAAATAACGCAACAAATAAGGTATTGTAAATGCAATCTTTCTTTCTAAATTTTGAAAAATTACAAATTTAAATGTCACATTGAGGTCTTTTACATCTTCTTTGTTTCCAACAAGTATTTGAATAAAAAAACACTTATATTGTTAGAGCCTACTATTTATATTAAAGGACCAGATTATTTTATTCAACATGGCCAATTTAATATATTCTAAATTTCTGAGATGATGAATATGGGATTCGAACCCAAGCTTATCTACAGCCTTGCCAGCATACTATTCCACTAGCCTAACCTACTAAACATCAAGCCCTTTATTTTGGATCAACCAAGAAATTGATTTTCAAACAGTAAAAAGTTATTGTCGATGACTAAGTGCGTTCATTATTTATTTAACTCTGTAATCTAGAGGGCCTACAATACTAAAATGCTAAAATTTTCCTAACATACCAAATACTGAATCATTTATTCTTGATTTCACAAGAAATACTCTTCTTTGCGCACCAGTAAATCATTCACTTTTCCAAACTGTGTAGATTTTTGTCATTGCTTCATTACTAATATTTTTACTCTATACAGGGATCTGGAGAGCCATGTCCACCTGGCCATGAATGTCCTGATGGTTCAGCAATTCCATGTCCTGCTGGAACATATGCCAATATAGTTGGAAAATCTTCATGTGATCCATGCTTACAGGGTAAGTTTAAAATTTTCAATTAGTGTTAAAGATGGGTTATATTCATTACATTTACACGCTATCATTTTGAACATGAAAATTGTTAGATTTAAAGTTGAGATTCCTGCTTTTATTCTAGAAGAATAGTTTTTATACTACAAGTTTTTAATCTGTTAACTTTATTTTCCTCTTTTCCTGAATGTGCTTCAAGTGCAGCGCCAACTGACATAATTTTGTTTTGATGATCTCATTATTAGATTTGAATTTTTATTCTGTGGTTGTAATTTTTTTCATTTTTTTTTTTCATTCTTTCATTTCATTTTTTCATTTCATTCATTTTTTTCAATTTTTTTTCAATTCATTCATGTTCACTATTTTAATTGAAACTTCTAATCACATTTTGGGAATTGTACATGAAAAAAGTACCAATTGATTTGGCAACCATAGGGTTTTATTTTCACTAATCAATTTCAACTTTTCATTAGTTTACAATTGCAAATAAAGTAACATTATTTTGAAAACTCTTATACAAAAATACATTTAAAGAGATACAGGAATAATGATCAGGTAAACAGTTGTCTGCCTACTGAGTTATACTATTGAAGATGTTTTATGAACAATATTTTTTCAATTTGCCTAGTATAGCAGCAAAGTAAATATAGAGATACAGTTAAAAAACAGATGACAGCAGTGTTCCCTCTAAGGTGTGCGCGTGTGCGCGCGCACACAGCTTTCAGAGGCTGCGCACACGCATAGATTTACTGCGCACAGACGTATTTCGATGTAATGTAACAATTTTCTCAGTTGGCAGGTTGAGAAAGTTTGTTGTTGGCCCACCCATTACCCGGTTAGAACGCCAAAATTTCTTCATTGGTTTTTGCACAAATATTAGCCATTTCCAAAAAAGTGCGCACATACCAAAAGTTCTGCGCACACATACTACAAGAAATTAGAGGGAACATTGGATGACAGCAAGTATTGTATCATTATTCATTCATTTGATTATTTTATGTGGATATAATCATAGTCAAAATTTAGGATAATTATATCCAAAGGTTTTTGGTGATATTTGATCTGTTCATAATTTTATAGTTTTTAGTTTATAATGACAATTTTATTTATAACTTTAGGTTTCTATTGTGATGGAGCTACTATCAATCCGGTAGAATGTCCACAAGGGCATTATTGCCCGGTAGGAACAGAATTTGACAAACAATATCCTTGTCCATCTGGATCATACAATTCTAAAACAGGTAAAGTGAACTGCAGGCTTCGTTATTTTGTCAGTTTCTTTTGATTAGAAGAGGACTTCCACAAAATATTTACAGAAAAAAATGTTTTATATAGCGGCCCATTTTATTAGGTATTTTGCCTAGTAGCAATTGACTTCTGATAGCCACATCCTTAAATTTTTAACACCATTTACTATACTGTAACTTTTTTATTTCAATTACTGCATTTCTTCGACTATAACATGCACATTGCGGACGTGCCTTGCTGGCGTGGTGATTAATGGCTGCTTTCCGCTAATTGTCGCTCTAGACATTTAGTGCGATTCCTTCTTACCCTATAGTGCGAATAAGAAAAAAATTCAAAATCTTTTAAGAAAAAGCTTTCCTATGGTGTGAATAAAAAATAAATTTGAACCCGATTTGGGAAGTCTGCAATGTCAACACAGTTAAGTCAAAGGCTTTGGCCACAGGCTTTTGCCACATCCTCACACAGTACCAACTACTTCAATGTAATCAACAGAAGCGTTGCAATGAATAACATTTTTTTTTCAGGTCAATCAAATTCCAGCTGTGAGTCTTGTTCAGCTGGAATGTATTGTGAAGGAACCGGAAATATCGAACCGGATGGAAATTGCACTGGTGGTTATTTTTGCAGCAGCGGGGCTGATTCTTCTCAACCAGTAACGAATGGTGATCCCACTATTGTTCCCGGGACTCCATCTTCAGCAAGGTAAATTGTCATAATTCTAATTTATCTTTGTAAGATGTTGTAGAGCAAATGCTGAAGCAAGAATCTTTTTGATAAAATAACTCCGATTCTTAGTCTGATTGCATTGTAGATTAAGATTGAAAACCAAGGAGTCTAATAATTTTCTTGCTCACATTTATTCACAAGAATTGAACCTGTGAACTAGCTTGAAAAATAAGCAATAATCACATTTGCGAATATTTTTTAGCATCTTTTGTGCTGCCAAATGCCAACTTTTAGGGCTTCTAAAACACTCTTATCAAAGGTTTTGCTGCAAATCAACAAATGTAGATAATGATATTCACTCTTACCTGAAATGTTAGTTAAAACATGGCTAAAATATATATACGGTTTTACCTATTGTAGTAATTAAAACGAGTATTTATTGTCATGACTCATATTCAAATATAGATTTGAAGCCTTTTTATTGAAGCTCACTTGAGCTGCAGAACACTTTTAAAACACTGTTACTCAACTTTTCTATTAAGTGCTTCATAATGTATGTAGCAAGTTATATCTACTTTTAACTGATATATAGTAATTAGTTGAACTTGCTTTATTTTGTTTTCTAGCAACATATCATGCAGTGGTTATTATGATTGTGTCTGCCCATTATTAGCTGAAACAACTGCTGGCATTTGTGAACCTGGTGAGTGGATGAATTGTTGTTTCAAACGTTGCAAAATATTTATGGCATGTTTCACAATTTTATATTATACTAGTTCCGAGAGAAAGAGCTCTTATACATACATAGCTATTATATTTGAAAAGATAGGAATATTCTAGGTTGTGTATTTCATCTTGGGTAAGGTGGGAAGCACAGGTTGTTAAGCCAGTATTTCTTGTTTGTTACATCAACAAAACCTAATTTGGAATGTATAAGATTTCTATTTTGCCAGCAGAAATGAAATATAGGATTAAAACTTAAGTGTATTTAAAATTAAATAATATCTTATATCTTTTAAATCTCTCCTTTTCACTCTCTCTCTCTCCAGATAAAGCCTGGTTACTTATTTCTATAAATTCTAAATTCTGATTTCTAACACCAATGTTACTTTTTTGTTACATAAAAATGCCAATATCTATGGAAATGTTTGAATAATCTTATTTGTTTTTCTTCTGTTTCCAAGGTTACTACTGTCCATCTGGAACTGACAAACCCATTCCATGTGATGCAGGATGGTATTGCCCTAACTATGGGTTGGATACACCATTTGCTAAATGTAATGCAGGATACTTTTGCCTGGCTGGAAGGTAATTTTATGTTGATTTTTTAAAAAGGATAAGCAGTTCCGCCATGAAAAATCAGTGATAGTTTAAGCATTTTGATGTGAAATGAATATACATTTTTGAATCCTTAGCATTTTTGATATTCTTCAATTTACACTTCTACATTTGAGTGTCTTCAGTTTGTTCTTTTATTCAACACATCTTGTCATTGTTTGCTTTTATTTATGACTGTTTTTAGTTGCCAAGAGGTTGAATATTATTGTAAATCCTTACTTGTCACATTTACATTTCAAATACTCCATTTGTGTTTCAAACCACATGTCATTTTCAAGGTCTCTAACAAAAAGGAATAATCTAGTTAACGCCTCTGAAGGATTTTTCACATATCCACTGATCGTTTACGGCTTCTTTCACCATCAAGTCCATGCATCTGAACACTATAACTGGCTAACTGATCCCTTACCCGACATGAACTGATAACCGGACAAGAGGCTGTGGTTCACCATATGGTTGAGCCATCATATAACTTTCCTCTGAGATAAATATAAATCTTATCCTATTTGTTCCAAGACTCTTCCATACATTCAATCATTAACTTGATTAAAATGTTCATAATAATATCTACAACAGTGCCGTGCCAGATCAACACATTTGCCCAGCAGGCCATTATTGCATTGAAGGAAGTCCTTTTGCATCACCATGTCCACCGGGAAAATTCAGTCCAACTGAAAAGAACCTTGATGCTACATATTGTGAAGATTGTACTCCAGGATTCTATTGTAATGGTATGGAAGGAATTGTATTTAGTATTTGTAACATTTAACACCGTTGACGTTAGCATCTTTCTGTTTGCGTAGACAATGAATTGAAATGTGAAATTCTGATCAGGATAAATACTATGTGTAAATGGTAAAAATTTACATAATGATTGTTTGCTGTAATAAATGTTAAGGTCATGCAAGAAGTTGTTTGTACAAGGAAAGACATGCTCGATTAGCCTGATCAACCCACGAACCGCAAATGGCTGATTCAATTTTATAGAAAAGAGAATATCTTATAAATTATTACCAACCTAGTTTAAATATGTTAGACATGATCACAATTTTCATTTATTAACACACAAAATATGTCAGAAATACAAATCTAAATTTGTTAACATCGATAAACCAATATGCTGTGCAACCAATTAGGGAAAATGATTATGTTTGATTTTTATTATCCGTCTTTTTACAAAATTCCTCCTATGTTCATGTTTCCACGTTTTATGTTTGCTTCAAAACTATTCTATTTTCACAGGCGGAGAAGCAAATGAAACAGCACCATGCCAAGCTGGATATTATTGTCCAGGGGGTGACAGCTCATCAAATTTAGCTTGTTCTAAACACCATAAATGTCCAGAAGGTTCAAGTAATGAAACTGTTTGTAATGTTGCTAAATATCAACCCTCTACAGGACAGCCTGATTGCTTGGACTGCCCTTCTGGGAGAGAATGCGATCCTTATGATGGTATGGCATTATATTTTTGTTTGTTTTAAATACACCTCATTAGGGACAAATATAGGGCGTTCATAAAATCCTAAAAAGTTTTTAAAATTGGAAAAAGAAAGGGAATTTGGAGCTCCAGAAGTATGTCCACCAAGATGGCGCAAAACCTGAATATAGTATGTGTGACAGGTTAGGGTTCAGGTTGCTCCAGGAGCGCCGGAAATTTATCGATACCATATATTTGTTGTTTTGGCCCTTACAGATGTATTAAATAAAGTATAAATACTAAAACAATTACTGATTAAAAAACATCAAGCCTGGTTAAGATATATTGACAATTGACTTCATAACAAAATTGAAATTGTAAAGAAACTTTATGGATACCCATATATGAATTCATTTGTTGAGAAATGGTAAACGATATCACACCAAGTAAATACTTCAATTAAAAGATCTGCTAAAGATATTTAAGCTGAGATTATAAATATATTTGAAATATTGCATCTATCATTGAATTTTGGGTACTCCCGTAGTGTATGTACCAGGTTAGCTTTAGGCCATAATTTTATTCCGATTGTCCTTATTTTGTTCTATTACATTCTATTATTATTCTATTATTTTATTCTAACACTGTCTGTGTTAGTCAAGTGAATATAACCTCCGGCCATAAGTTTCAGTTCTTTTATACAACTTGATGTAAAGTAACTAGAAATTATTCACCTCCACATTGGTACATACACTTCTGCAGCACTAATTTTTGTACAATTTGATAAGATGACTTGAAACTTGAGAAAAAATGTACATTCATTCTTCAGTTGTGGCATGAGTTTAACTAGTCAAGGACATAATTTCTATCTCAATGTGATTTGTTACAACGAATTTTTTTTAAGGATTACAGTAATCCCAAATTAAGTATAAAGTATTGTTTAGAAAATAGATGAAAAACTTTATTATAAAAAACATAAAGAACATTAAAATATGAAGCATGGTTCGGTTGGTGTATTGTTTATCTTCATTATAAAATTTTTGAGCTCATTGCATTTAAATTTTTTTTTTTGTTTATTTTCAGGCACACTTGATGATGAACCCTGTCCTATGGGATATTATTGTCTCAAGGGAACAATTCCACAGGAATGCCCACTAGGAACTTACAGCAATCTAACCAGTCGCCAATTAGAATCTCAATGCAAACAATGTCCTGGAGGTAAATAATACATTTTTTAAATACAATAATGCAATTCAAGTATGGTTATAAAATGAATCAGGACTAGGATTACTAACAGTAATGCCGAAATCAACTTGCTTGAAAGGGCTTTCTATTTCTATAGAGCTTTCTATCTTGTTTTTCTTGAGTATTTTTAACCCAGGTTAAAATTTATTTCTTTGTCTTGAGTAACTGTAACCTATAGCTATCATTTTATTGTCATTAAGTAATAAATTAGCCCTTGGATAATTATTACCTTAATTTTTGGGTATATTAAAATCTTGCTATTTTATCATTAAAAAGTAATTTGAACACCATATAATTTTTTATCAAAATAATGGGAAAATAGGTATTTTAGGGTGTTGACACTTTTACCTGCCTTCAGAAATATTGATACATGAGAGGCTATGTCTATTCGTAGAAAAGACTGGTAGCTTTGATTTGCTGAATTGAACAGATTTAAACAGTAACATTTTTTTTTCAGGATGGTATTGTGGCGATTCACCTTCTATTCAACCTACTGCGCCGTGCAATGCTGGTTTTTACTGTTATGAAGGAGCGAAAGAACCTGAACCTGTTGATGATAATGTTAACCCTAATATAACAGGTAATCTATTTCTATTACCCAAGATATTTTGAACTTTTGCTTTTGGCATTTATGTATTTTATTGTGAAAGACTGCATCCATGATAAACACAGAAAATTTTTGTTGAAGTGTCTTGCTACTCAGGTTGTGAAAATTGTGATAGGGAAAAAAGAGAATCAAAAATCATTAACTAAAATTTCAATTACAAATTGTAACATTTTGAAAAATGTTTTGGGAGATATTTATTTATTCGATAAGATAACTCATAAACTATTTTTTTTAGTTCATAAACCATTCTGAGGAAGCTTATGAATTGTTTTCAGCGAAAAAAATTAGCTATTTTTTAATATAGTTTAATATCAAATTTGAGGTGCTGAACTATTTGCCCTTTTATTTAACCTATTACTTTCACTTTTATTTAGCCTATTACACTGGAAATGATATTTGTCCAGTTGGTCATTACTGTCCTGCTGGTTCAACTCAACCAAAACCATGTAAAGCAGGATCGTTTGCTCAAACACCAGGCCAAACCAATGAAACTGGTTGTAGTCCCTGCCCTGCTGGAAAATATTGTGCATCGTCTGGTAGGACAGATGATGATGCTCCAGATTGCAATGCTGGGTAAGTTTGGGATGTATTGGAAGAGATTGGAAAATTTTTATTTCTTCATCAGTGCATAGTTCTATATGAGTGTCTATCTATTCATTGACTATATCTCAAAATAAGTTTGTTTGTTTCCACGCAAAATGATCATATTCATGGTGTATCTAAAGTACATTATATGAAAAGATTAGGTTGCATTAGAATTCATCAATATATTTATACTGATTTTATGATTTTATCCATCTCGAAATGTGTAGTTTTCATTCATTTATTTATGATAGATTTGTCATCCAATTGTTTCCAATTTTGTTTGCGACTGCCAGATGATAACTTTTAGAAGCAGTAAGTTTTTTTTCTACATTCAATGCTTCCAAATTTAAAACTTTTGAAATTTTTCTTTCTTCTCCTCATATTTCTACATATCTTTCCAATTTGTTTTATGTTCAGTTTTGTCTGCTATGGAGGAAGTACAACAGCTGAACCAACTGATGGTGTCACAGGAGAACAATGTCCAAAAGGTTATCATTGCCCACAAGGAACTGTTGCTCCGATTGGATGTGAACCCGGAACTCACAGCCCTAATCTTGGAGCTGCAAATTGTACAACATGCACAGCAGGAACTCTATGTTCATCATCTAACACATCTACAGCTGGTCTATGTGACCCTGGTAGGTTTTTGTATCTAAAAGTTTATGGCATATCAGTTATCTTAACAGGTGATTATGGTAATAGTTGATCAGTTAGTTGTTTTATATTCTATAAAATTTGGTTTTCCTGCACCATCAAGTCCATTCGCATGAAACAAATAATTGACTACCGGTAACTAATTCCATCCCTGACATGAACTGGTAACAGGACGGTTCCTCATATAAGAATAAGAAAATCCTATTCTAAAGTACTCTAAAGTACTATATTAGGATGCCTTGAAGATGGTTGTTTTATACTTGCAATGATCGCATACAGATGTTCAGAAATTGCTCATATTTCTGAGGAAAAATACTTTCACATTCCCATCAGTATTAAAAATAAGTAGAGAATGTAAATCCAATCTTTATCGGAGATTCTCTGACTCTGCTTGGGTTCTCATTATCCCTCAATGATTAACATATTTGGTGGTTGCTTTTGGAATTTTTTACTTTTTATACCAATGCTCATAGAGAATTAACTTATCTATTTTCACTAACCTTTACCTGGTATCCACATCAAGGACCATCCATTGATTGTTGTATCTATATTCAGCATTTTGTTGTATACTCATCTTTTGCTTTATCATACTGCTAATTTACTATTTTCTCCGAGAATTTTGCATAATCAGTTAGCTGCATAGAATTACTACTGGCTTACAAAATATTGAAAACATTAAACAGTATAATGTAACCATATCATATTTTTTGTTCAGGATACTTCTGCCCGGCTGGTGCTTTGGTGGCTGAACCATGTCCAGCTGGAACTTACAGAGATATACCTGGAGGACAAAATAGTGGGGATTGTATTCTATGTGATCCTGGCAAATATTGTGAAGGTGTCGGAAATCCTACAGCTACGGGTGAGTTTTCATAGAATAATCTGTCTCACAAGCATTTGTCAAAATTATTTACAAAAGCAATAAAACGAGTATTCTATAGATGTGGCGGTGTTGCTCATCGTGCTAAGCGTTAGGAATACGCTCGCCACCTCACCTCTGATTACTCTGTGTGGGTTCGCAGGTTAAAATCCCGTACAGGGATAGTTAATTGCGAAAGGATTGCTGGACTCCTCGCCTCCGTAGGTAGTTCCTGTAACCGCTGGTCGGTTACGTCTTCCTCCACCATCAAGTCCATCCTTACGAAAAAAATATCTTAACTAACTAATCCTATACCTGACATGTAATGGTTATCGGACGAAAGGCAGTGGTTTGCCATATGGTAAGGCCGTCTCATCGACTTTCCTCCCTTGGGACGAATATGTATATCGTATCCTATACAATTTATAGATGTAATGTGTTTAACACTTATATATTCAAGCTGTTGATTCTGTCAACTTACTATCAGTAATTATTTATTTATTTATATGTGAGCACTTAAGATAATTAGAAAATTATTCAAAATATTGTTTTTCCCCCTTAAGGCGATTGTGATGCAGGGTATCTTTGTGAGAGAGGAAGTTACACAAAAACGCCGAATGAAGGTCTTAATGCAACAACTGGCTACTACAACGGTAAATGTCCAGTAGGTTTATATTGTACTTCGGGAGTGACTGCACCCACTGATTGTCCATCTGGAAGAATTCGAAACACTACTGGTGCTGGTGCCGAATCTGAATGTCTGCCTTGTGATCCTGTGAGTACCTTTTCTTCATTACATTTGCCTTCTAAAGTAATGCTTTTTATCATATGTTGGCACAAAGAATGCTCTATCTTGGTAACCACGTGTAAAATCACAATTATCATTAATTATGCCTTACAATTCCCTTATTTTTCATATGGATAATGATTTTGAACAAGATCAAATAATTTATGAAAATGTGAAGAAAACTTGACTCAAGGCTTATGTGTAGTTAGGAAAACTAATGTATTTATGAATTTGATGATGCAAAACATTTAAAAAATGTGACGTCATTATACTATTTAAAAGTGCTAGTGAAGGTCGTAAGCTTCACCATTCTATTCTCTCTATTCTCTGAACAATATTGCCTACCTAATTTATTACTCCATGGGCAGGGTTGGGGTCATAGCGTTTAAATCCTAGATTTTCATTATAAGACACCAATATAGTTAGATCTAATACTCTAATGACTAGACTATCACACTCTCATAATTGAGTAGTTCCGTAGTGTGTGTACCAGATTTGGGTTAGGCCAGAAATTTATTTTAATTTTCCTTATTTTAGTTCGATTATGAGTTCGGGGACGGTATGTGTTAACCAAGTGCATATACCCCCAGCTTTTCGTACGTTTACACAACTTGATGTAATTTAGGCTAACAAAATTAGTTACCTCCATATTGGAACATACACTTCTGGAGCGCCCATAATTGCACTCCCATAATTTACATAGTAAAAGACTTGCTGATTGTTTTCTATATTTTGTCTTTATAGGGATACTACTGTGTGAATCCTGGAATATCAATACCTACTGGGCCATGCAATGCAGGTTACTATTGTCCAGGCAACACAACTAACAGTGATCCCAACCAATTTCCTTGCCCATCTGGTCATTTCTGTGAAGTAGGATCAAGCCAGCCAACACCATGTCCAACAGGTTTGCTTTGGTGCTTTGTATACTTTTAAATATGAACAATAATGAACACACAAAGTTTTTATTGTTGTAATCCTATTTATATATATTCTTATAACGGTTATAGAATAGTAAAAGTACCTTTTAATAGGACGAAATTTAATTTGTGAAATTTATTGGAAAATGTGAAATTTTCTGACTAGGGAACAATCATTTTGGATACTTCCTCAGTGTCTCATGAATATTCAATGGATAGTCATGGTTTTCAATTTGTGTTCCTTGCATTTGATTTAGTGCGTTTGGCCATGCTAACAGCAAGTTTGTATGAACTGGCTTACAGCAAGTTTGCATGAACTGACTGTTGTCGTTCAGCATTTACTATCATGAAATTTGGGATCATGGATCATGCATTTGAGTGTTTGCCAATAACTAGACAAATAATTTACTTTTACATTCAAATATTCTTCATTCTCCTAATATTTCAAGCGTATGATTTATATGACTATATATTATTTGTTTTATGTCTTGCAACTTGTTCAATATTCTACTTTATTCTGATCTTATTCATATATGCTACTTTCTCAACATTGCAGGCCAAAATCAGCCTGCAGAAGGAAGTTCTTTTTGCGATTTATGTCCAGCTGGTTATTATTGTCAAGAATCAAACACTGGGAAACAAATTGAATGTCCTGCATATCATTTCTGCCCTGAAGGTTTGTGACAATCTTTTCTGTCTTTCTAGTAGAGTAGTTTATCAGAATCTTGAGACAGTGAAAGTGACATATACTCGGACTCTTTACTTTTTAATATTCTTTTCTTGGGCTATATACGGTAATATAATGATGTTTGGGATTAAATTTTTTCATTGCTTTCATCTCCTTTATCAAAAGAGAGTGTATGTAAAAATAAACTGCATAAACCTTACATGGGCGAAGTACGGCCCACAGGCAAAATCCATTGGGTAATTCAATCTGACCCGCCTAATGCTGCTACAACCAAACCGAAATCAAATTTTGATGTTTTAGCTAAAATAGCACTAGGAGTCTTTTGAGATTGTAGTTAAATTTAGTTTTGGCGCGAAGCATATTGTTTTCCACCTTTGCTTTGAAACACTGTAAACATTGTTATTAAAATGTTACTTTTTACGGCACACTTACATGGCTCACCAGTCTAGGTGGGCAAAATTTTTGGCTCCTGGTTTAAAAACCTTGCCCTGAATAGGGCCTTAGACAAGGTCAACCCCTCATGTGTAGGACAAGAGTTATTGTTCAAAATAACTGCAATTGTTTTGTATGGCATGGTCCTAACTCACTTTATTACACTTTGTGTAATATAGCAAGTATAACAAATCTTGAAAATATTTAAACGATAGCCATGGCATAATAGACAGATTGAACTTATCAATATGACTTGAGTGATATCCTTTATTGAAAAGATAATAAGATTTGTGAATACATATTATTAGTTACAACTTAATCATATGAAAATTGTTACTTGAATCCATCATTTTAATCAACAGGAACACCTAACCCTATTCTATGTCCAAATGGAACTTACACACTTTCAACTGATTCAAAATTGGAAGAGTCTGCAGCATGTTACCCATGTGATACTGGGAAGTTTTGCACTGGAGGTCAAATTCAGGTTGGATATAAAATTATGTATTTAAACTAAGTAGTATTATGTATTTCATTGATATGTATTTGTAAGGTATATGTATCAAAATGTACGAATTGGGATAAATGTGTTGGTGAAGTGTGGGACAAGTCGGGGGCAATTGAGACACTCCATTTATTAAGAGACCCTATATACAAATAATATGTTTTAAAGGACCTGGAATTTTTCTAGTTCATTTTGTTTACAATGCAAATTGCTATGCAGGTACACTAATTTCTAAGAATCATTTAAGACAGTGACTAGGATGAAGCATCCATTTATGCATAGGGATCAATTATGTTCAGAAAAAGTGGATTCGATTTAATCATATAAGAGTCATTTTTTAATAAATACTTTGTTCTTAGCTGTTTGAGGTTTTGAAAGCTTGTGTGTTATGTTACAGTGGTACATACATCATAGTACATGTCGTTTGCTGTTAATTTACAGGGAGACTGTAACGAAGGTTATTTCTGTTTATCTCGGGCATTTGCACCAGTTTCGGATGGAGAAGTCGTGAATAAAACATTTAATGTCGATCAGGCTCCTTGTCCGGAGTTCACAACTTGTGCTGGACAATGTCCAGCTGGCTTTTATTGTGGAGTTGGAACTAAAGATCCTTTACCATGCCCTGAAAATACACTCAGAGACACACCAGGTAGGTGACATGATTCAGTTTTAAAATATTCTTTCAAGAATTATGTGATTGCTTGATGGCATTTTGCAGTGAGTTCAAAACTGGGTATTGTGACATACTTGAACAAGCCCATGTATTGCATTTAATCACTAATGCACTATGGATAAATAAAAATGTTAAATTTTCATAAGATCCTAGAATGTTTTTTTTTGAGTGATTAATCATGTAACTTAATGCACTTATAAAGATTTTTGTCAAGCTTCATTTTATCCCTGTTCCTTTATCCTTCCCATAAGTATGTAATTTAGATATGTAATGATTACGTCTATTTTAGGGGGACATTTTTTTGTTTACTCAATACATTCTTATTTGACTATTCATGTAGCCAAAGTTATGTACTGATTCTTATGAATAGTAAACATGTATAAGATAAAATTCATCTTACTAGTCTTCCCATAGAAATTCTCACCAAAACTATTTTTCTTACAGGTGCAAGCACAATAAATGAATGTGAATTCTGTCCTCCTGGAAAATGGTGCCATGAAGGTGACCCCATCGCTGACCCGTGTCCTGTTGGTCATTTCTGTGCTGCTCTCAATACTACATGTCCAGGAGGTGCACCAAGTGGTCCACAGCCATGTCCATCTTACACATATAGAGATATTGAAGGTATGTTCATCTTATCGGAAACTGCCAAGCAAGCGACTACCATGTTTATGAGAATCATAGACTTTCTATTCGTTATTGAATATCCAATTTATTACTCTTTGGGTGAGGTCATTGGCGTAGAATTTATGTCCAATGCTTTATTACGAATCATGCACATATTGTAGCATTGAAGGAATAAAGACTTTAATATTAAAGTTATTTATTGTTTTATGGTATATTGAAAATCTCTTTATTAGTTTAAGCCATACATACTGTTTGATAATAGTAAAATGGGTAATTGTAAAAATGGAAATTCCACTATGTTTATAGGAAGTTCAGAAATTTCTTGTTATTCTATCTTTATTATACAGCGTTATTCTTATTTGACTCTGTAACAAAAATTTGAATATTATCAAGTATATAGGTTTGATGATTTTCGTCAATAAACTAGACTAGATTAAAGACTGCTTAAGTAATTTCTTCTTCATTTTTGATATTCATTCAAATACCACTTTAATCTAATAAATATTATTGTAATAAATGTGGGAATGAAGAAACAATTATTCATTTATATTTCTCCAATAACTAACTGATATACATTTTATCTCAGGTGGAAGCAATGAAGCAGATTGCTTTCCTTGTCCTCCAGGTTTCTTATGTAACGATACTGGACTTGCCAACTATTCAAGTACTGCATGCCAAGCTGGATTCTACTGCACAGGAGGTATGAGTTTTATATAACAAGTCTATTTGTACTTGTGTTACGAATTTGGTTCTAAACTCTTGCTCAGTGAAGTTCTTTTTTCTAATGCTCTTTTTAGCTAGTTTACTATGAATTGTTTGAGCTTCAGTCTTCATCTATGCACATCAATCTTATATTGATCAGTATATGTTTTAACTTTGGTGTTATGGTAATTTACTGCAACAGATCAAATTAATGATATGCTATGTCTACCGTGGCTTGATTCACTGTCAGATTATTTTGTTCCCAAATTATGTTAATTTTGGCGATACGCTTTTACTAATGCAAAATGTATCAATAATGCTTACAAGCTGTCTTGTTTTTTTTGTGTACTATTATTCAATATATTCCTCTACCAATACAATTTCTAATCTAGGTGGACAAGCTCCAGAAATGTGTCCTGGTGGAAAGCAGATGCCAGATATTGGAGCAACATCCTTATCTGATTGTGATGATTGTACGGGAGGTTATTATTGCCCTGATCCTGCTGTTACAGGTATTGTAGAATACTATCAATCAATTGCTAAATTAGAACCACCTTGTATTTTTAAAATTGTACCTGAACAGTCGCATTGTATTTTATATGGATGAGCTTTAACAGATAGAATAGTTCCTATGTTTCTTTGAATGCTAGTTTTCAATGTCATGTTCGTTTGTCAATGTTCGATTTTTGATCCAAATTTTCAATATTCACCTATTCATCATTATTTGTTACACTGCAATTTTTAATTCTATCTGTGAAAGCTAAGTATACCTTTGCCTGAATATGATGTCTGATTTAGCCAGGAATCAAATTTCTTAAGATTTGTTAAAAGGTGATTATGGTGAAGTTTTAGCAATAGAAAATGTTGATTTGTATAAAATAACACACAACTGTTTCATTGTACATAAATTTTATTTTTATATAAATTTTTTTATTTTATTCCAGGTCAACCAAATGTTTATGGACGTCCATGTGCTGCTGGAGAAGTTTGCCCACCAGGTTCAGTCAACCCATCACCATGCCCTGGTGGATACTACTGTGTTGAAACTACTGCCGTGGCTACAATCTGTCCAAAAGGTGTGTACTTAAATGATTATGCTGCTTATATGTGAAAAGCATCCGGGATACTGGTTGATAAAATTGATCTTTTAATAACATTTCAATTGGTCTTCTTCATTGGTAACAATGTAGATTAACAATTATCGTACACAAGCAATTTTATTCTTCTGTTTGCTTTTAGGATACTATTTTTCAGATTTTTTTTTTTTTTAAATATAAAGTTCTAAAGTTGAAGATTTTGCTTGATAAATAAAGTTAAATTTTTGCTCAACTCTGATATCTAAATAGGTTTTATATGAAGCACTGATTTTTATAAATTTACATAAATTTTAATATCACTCAAGTTTTTCTGTTTGCTTCCAGGATACTATTGTCCAGAAAATTCATCAACAATCACAATTTGTGAATATCCCAACTATTGCCCTCAAGGATCGCCACAAGAATGGCCATGTGATATAGGATGGCAACCTCTGAATGTAACTGGCCTTAGAGACAGTTTAGGCAAAGCTTGCAGTATTTGTCCAACAGGAACATATAGAAACTCATCTGAAGATAGCAAATGTATGCCATGCCCTGCTGGTTATTTCTGCCCGGAAGGTTAGATCATTATTACTTTTATTTTTTTTACTCATTAAATAGTTTCATAAGTTTATGCATCCAAGCCAAACATTGTATAAATAGCTGCTCAAGTTCAAATTTTTAGAATCGTATGCTAGAGATTTATTTGTCCTCAGTTAAGATGAATTTTTTTAAAATCCATGTTGAATTGAAAATGTATGATTTAATTTTTCAACAAAACATACATACTCAGTACAATCTTTGACATTCTGTGTTATTAACAGTAAATGTGGAATTTTTGACCTGAATAAACGTAACAGTAAGCTAGTATTGTCCATCATCTGCTTTTCAATTTTCTAGTGGTAAATTTCATTTTCTATTCAACACAGGCACAGGAAACTACCAGCCTAATGTATGTCCAATTGGACATTATTGCCCAGAAGGCGGTGTGACTTCTACAGGAAGTGTAACTGGTTCACCCATACCTTGCCCAACAGGTAAAGAAGAGAAAATTATTTATAAAAAATATTAAATTTTCTGATATAAAGTTGGTTATTTATAGTATAAACTAAATTTAAAATGAAAATAGTTACTACGATGAATTAGGTCGGTGTTTCTGACTTTTTTAATGTTGAATATTTTCAAATTTTCTTTGGATTGTTTGGCTTGTGTAAATTTTTCAAAAGACAAAATGAATCTTGGCAATCATCCATGTTTTCAAATATTTATATATTTAATGAATGATTAAATAGTTGGAAATTGGTCCAGAATTTAAATTGTGTTATGGCTTGCACTTTTTTGCAACAAACATATATAGGTAGATTTTGTTTCTGTTAAGAATGTTATCTCTTCATATCTTTTTGAGTTTTTACAAACACAAATTTTTGAAATATCTCATTTAATATCATCTATCTTTATGCGTAGGTACCTATGGTCAACAACAAGGTGCTGCATTCTCTGTATGTCAGCTGTGTCCTTCTGGCACTTTCAATCATTTGGTAGGACAGAGAGCCTGTTTCCCCTGTGGAAGTTCTGCCACATCCAGAGAAGGAGCTGCTGCTTGTACATGTCTAGGTAAGTTTACATTTTCACTTGTTTCTTCCATTTATTTATATTAAGGTATGTCCTGTTTTCTCGAAGTATTTCAATTAAATCCACATTATGTTTTGGAAATGAATTGAGTTTCAAAGAGAATAAATGGTATTTGAAATGCCTATACATATTGATATACACCAGAGTTTTTTTGTTATTTTGATGGATCTTTCAAATTATTATCTTGCATATTATACTTGTTTATTTTACGTATCTTAGCAGTAGTGCCTATGCTAATCTTTTTAAAGATTCATTGGTTCCGAAAGTTCTGTTTGTTGAACCAAAATATTTGATCACTCAACTTTCTGAGTTTTATTTGTTCTCACCATTCCTGTGTAACAATGATAGATTATTTTTTATATCCTCAGTGTTAGTGTCTGATGATGACACGAATGGAATATAATCAATTCTTCTTTCAGGTGAAAATCGTGCATTCCAACAAAGTGATGGATCTTGTGTTTGCTTGGATGGATACATCTATTATAACGAAGCTGATTCTGTTGATGCTGATGGTAATATTTTAAGGGGATTTTTCTTGATATATTTCTGCTGTGAAAATTAGTATATATATTTATCCATAAAGTCTAAAGGTATTTATCGATGCCATATATTGTTTTGGTCCTCACATATGTATTAAATTAAGTGCAAATACTTAAACAGTTACTGATTAAATACAACAAACCTGGTTAAGATATATTGAGAACTGACTTCATATTTCAATTTGAAATTGTAAAGGGACTTTATGAACACCCTGTATATACATCAAACTCAAGTTTTGTTCTCTTAAAGGAAAGAAATATAAAATATACATATAATTATCATTCATGTTAGTATATAAATGTGCACTGAAAGCAAATTTATCACATTACATTTTGAATTTTTAGACAAGCCGTTTTAAATGCATTTTGCTTGAGCCTTCTGTTATAAATTTTATGCTTTTTTATATATTTTCAACATGTATGTATTTATCTCGCTTTTAAGGGTGATTTTTGTATGACTAAGCAGATTCTTGTGCACAAGATAAAGGATTTTCAATTCTTTTATTGCAGGTAACTCTGACTTGTCTTGTCAACCCAAAGTCGACACCAGATGTGCAACAGGAGAAATACGATTGGCCACTGACAGGTTGGTTTAAATGATGCAACTGAACTATGAATCTCAATGTATTTTATTTGATATAATTTTTCAATGTATCTTAAGTCTATATGCCCATTTATAGTACAATATTATTGGATGTGAATGTGAATTTTTATTTAGTTTTAGACTGTAAAACAATATTAGTTGTATTCAAGTTACCACACAAAATGAAAATTACCCAGATCAAATGGATACTCAAATATGCATTTAAAATTCATGACAATATAAAAAACAGATTTTAAAGTTAAAATAAACTGAAATAAAATAACCTTTGTATTGTCATCTAATGATTTTCCTAGTTTCATTTTGTGCTAACTGTGTGCAGATCTTGCGTCACAACGGACTATGATTGTACACCAGCTTGTGGAAGTACAGGAGGAACACTGAATTCTGATCTTGGAAAATGTATCTGTGATACAACTGCTGTTCCTGAGGAATTTGAATGCTCCGTTGGATGCATAACTGTAAGCCTATATATACTACTGCTCGCTCTTTCTGGTTATTATTTTATAATGATAAGTCTGTGCAAATGTGCTCTCAATCGTCGTTTTCTCGCAATGTGCATTCACTGAAATGTTTGCTATACCAAGACAACATATGTGCAAATTTCTTCACTTATTAGACTATTTTTGTGTTATTCTATTGCTTCTGAATATTTCTGATTTGTGAATATGTATTCGTTTAGAAAATAATAGATATAGTCTGTATCACAACTTGAATGTAAATAAATATGAAAATGCAGAATTTGTGTGCCTAGACAAAATTTGTTATTAGGTTTGAAATGTAGTAGTCATGGTATAAAGATCTTTTACAACAGTCTGAAGATTGTATACCACAATCTCATATATAATTCTATAATTTTGCATGAAATTCTTGCTTAGACATATGCATTTTTTCATTATGACTGTAAATTTTAAAATTTATTCTGCACAGGTCACATCAGTTGTTGATTCTACAACAGCAGATCTCAGAATGACCATCACAACAGTGGCCGATGGTAGTTCAGTCACACAAGTAGTTCCCAATGTTTTCGGACCCATCGGAAGATTTTCTGGGACTGCAACAACCAAGAATGTCCAGACAAGTATGTTTTGTATTAAAATGCATGCTTTCAGTATGATTATGTGGATTTGTTTTCCATACCTTACTTGGACCTGTTGGAGTGCTCCATCTTTGAAATAATTAGTCTACTTCGTTTTAAACTCCTTGGGATAAATATCAAAATCCTATCCTTACCACCAAATATTTACTAGAGAACTTAAAAGAACTAGTAATAAGAAAGATGACATTGAAACTGTCACCATGTATCCTTAAGCTACTCAGAGTAATTGGCAGTGCTATAATGAATAGTCTGTCTGTCCGCCTTACCGTAACAATTAGAACATCGAAATATTTTTCCACCACACCAATATATATGTATATACGGTACTTTAAAATATTTCTATCACAGCAAGTGCCGGTGTCTATGGAATCCTCCAGACAAGCCAAGAACTAATGCAAAGTGCTATAGACGGTACATTAGTCACAGAAACTAATGACTTGTATGGTTCAAGTAGTAGAAGAAGAAGGGAAGTTTATAATGAAGAAGAAGAACTAAGCATTATGTCATCTTACATTGGAAGAAGGTAGAGTGAGACAAAGTCTTTTTTTATATTTCTATTGAATATATGTATTTGTTACATTTAGTTTGTAAATGCAGTTTTTGCATTCTATATATGGTATTTTCACATCTTCGTGCATATAAAAATTTGTAAAATGAATGCTTTGTACAAGCTTCCACTGACATTTGTGTAGCTGCTATTTTTAAAAAGACTGAAATTGTCCAGATTCGGCATTACCTACACAATTTATTAAACTCAGCGGAATATTGCAAGCATAGAGTTTGAATATAACATGTCTGATGCCAACATAATTAAATCCAATGATGTAATCCAGAGGTCATCAAACTTTTGGTGTTATTGAGCCTGTGAAGACTGTTATTTACAAAGCCCTGCAAGTTTGACACTTGACAAACATTTTGATAAAATAGTGTCGAAATGTGGCAACTGGGCTGTAATTGAAATAGGGCATTACATATTAGAACTCACGAATTATTATATTTGAATTACAAACTGCCTTGTTGCTGAATTACCGCCACATTTCGTCAAATCGTTGTCAAATTTCATTAATGCCATAATTGCTTCTTTGGACAAAAATAGTCAAGTTTATATTTTCATAAGTAAACAAATATCCGTCCTATCTTGTATCATGTCAGAAAACCTCTCAACCAGAACTTCCCATCTTGAATGCTAAAAATCTTTTACCTAAAAAACAAAATAAGCCTGAAATCATTCCAGTATATACTGAAGCGCTGTAGAAGTGTGTGTACCAATATGGAGGTAACTACCATAATTTTGTTCATCTACTTCACATCAAGTTGTGTAAAAATACTGAAACCAATTGGCAGGGGGTATATTCACTTGGCTAACACAGACAGTCCCCGGACTCGTAATAGAACTAAAATAAGGAAAGGCGGAATAAAATTATGGCAAACTACCCTAAATTGGTACACACACTATGGCAGTACCTATATTAATGGTATTAATACAAATTTCTCCATGTTAAACACTAACATATCTCTCTATTTTTCTCTTTCAGACTTCTACAAACAACTTCTAATTCAACTGACGCTGCAACGACTGTGGCTACAACATCAACACCTGCCCTTCCTATTATTCCAAATGCTCTAGTTTGCATGCAGGTACTGATTATTGTGTTTATATGCTTTGATTCTAACTTATGATAAAATATCTTAATTGTCTCTCTATACAAAGCTTAACTTCGCATAAATTGAATAATGTGTCATTCAATATTCTTTTCATGACTATTCTTTAACTAACCCACATAACGATTTAATATGGCCCGCCAAACTTGAATAAAATATTTTTTTTCTATTGCGCCATTACAGTTTGAGCACATGTATATTCTTATATACCAGTATTTTAGTTATATGCGCCCTTTCGAGCACTCCCCTGTTAATATTTCTTCTCTTCCAATTTTGGCTCCGGTCAATTAACATCGGGAACCACTCCTTCAAAATATCAATCATTTGTTGTCACAGACCAATGAAATGTTGATGTTCGGAATTCAAATCAACGCAGCCAACAGAACATTGTCAAACTATCCTGTTTATGTCCTCAACCATTTGTACAACAGTAACCCTATATTTGATTATGGAGCTTTCAGGTATGTGTTTGAAATATTTGAGCTTTAGATATCCATTTAACATTATGTTCTACATATTTATCCTGGGGGGAAAGACAATAAGACATTTTAATCATATGTCAAACTACGGTTATCAGTTCATTTTGGGTATGGATTAGATTAGATTAGAAGCATGGACTTGGTGGAAGTCTTAACCGACCAGCGGTTAGGTGAACCACCCTTCAGTTTATATTTTACTATTAAAGTTTGTGCGAGATAGCTTAATTATAGTAGGACTATCTAATTAATTTTAGTCAAAAAATTATCTATGAACATGCTGGACTTAACTATGTTGGTGCCACACTTTAATTATAGATATTGGTTCCTAGCGCCTGCTCACCATCTCACTCAAGGTTTAACAACTTAATAATAAATACAAGTACTCCATGATCAGCATAATAGGCAATAAAATGATTGATAAAAAACACATAAATAAAACTGATCATGGAATCAGGAGTGCAAGCAAAATCTCAGATCTAAAACGTACAGAATAGAAGCTAAAAGGGTTTAGCTAAATAATCTTATATTGACAGACAACTGAGAAAATACCTGAGAGATTTCATCAAATCTTGGCATCAAGAATTTTGCTCACATTTTATTTTCACTGAATCTGGCATCTAAAAGGGTTTGCCAGGAAGAAGTGATGTTTACTTGTTCACTCACCTAAAATTATTAAATTAATTCACACACATGATTTCAGTTATTCAAAACCATATTATCTCATTACAGATCAGTAAATACTTGTCTAGGTCTTCGGGAAATTTTTCCTTGAATAAAATTATAATTCTCTTTCAAATAAAATCCTTATATTGACAGACAACTGAGAGAATACCTGATTTCATCAAATCTTGACATCAAGAATTTCGCTCACATTTTCACTGAATCTGGCATCTATGTTTTTGCTGACTCACAAAATCCAGAACAACAGATTATTGTCAATGTACTTGAACAAGGTAGGCTATGCTCTTACTGATATCGTCATAGCTCCAGTGGGTCTGCACATCACTCTTTCTAATCAGTGAAGCATACGATTTCTCCGAAAATAATAGTTTTCTATATATGTCAATATGAAGGTGCTTATGATCTTATTCAAAGATTACTTAGATGAATCTAAAATTTCAAGAATCATTACACTCCAAGATTAAAAGTGTTATTGACATCTGAGACCCAGAAATTTATTAGAAGTTGACCAACCTAACCAATTCTCAAGTAGTTCAATGATCTTATGGCTCAATTGCAGTTTTTGGTTGTTGGGTAGGCCACTATCATATAAATCTATGCAAAGCGAAGCACTCATAACTTTTTAATAATGTGATATGATGTGTGTTATTGAATCTTACAATATTAAAATGTTTTTCTCTTATCTCTATATAATATACATTTCTATTCACACAGGCCTTCTATGTGATGAAACGAAATCAGCGATTTATCCAGCAACTGCAACAACATTCTCAACTCTGGGTGTGGCTAAATCTTCTCCACCAAATCTGGCTCCTGATTGGGCTGTGATTATAGGTAATTTAATTCAAATTTGACATCAACCAAATGCAATTATACATTGAATATAAGAGACAATGAATTTGAATTGAATGTATATCTATATCATATATCATTTATTTTATTAAGTGACACCCATAATTTAATGGCAGAAATGGTAACTCGTACAGTTAACAGGCAAAGTAAAGAATTAAAATGTGAATTAATCAATCTTACAGAAGGCTCTATAACTGATCCTAAGCTAGTTAAATTATCGCTTTAACCTAAGATCATTACTCTATACCTGCAGAATTGTTAGGCCGCAGTTGTAAGTCATTTTATGCAGATTATATAGTCAAAAAGCTCACTTACATATCAAACTATTATAGTACTAACAACATTGTGTTATCTCTTTTTTCTTTTCACTTTTGTTTGTTAATTTACAATCTTTATAATTTATTTCAGCATTCATGGCCCTCTGTCTCTTCTTGGTTCTTGCCTTGTTTATCGCTGTACTGGTTTGGAGACCAAGAGATGCAGGCATATACCCAATGAGATTATGGAATCCCAAGTACAGAAGTTTAGGTGAACCATACATACCTCCCTACAAGATGCCTTATGCTTTGGAAGACGATAGAAGGTAATTTAAATGTACACATATATTAATTTGCTCTACTACAATTGATTATTACTGCTTGAACATACGGTACGCAAAATCTGCTCAAGAAAACTACCGGTATATAATTTATCAATGTTTTAGGTTTATATTTAAAGATTTAATTCTAAAGTTGAAAATGGATTATTTAGTGAAGGAAGCATAGGATTATTTTCTAAAATCTCGGAAAGAGGAAAACTGCCAAGACAGTTTAATCATAAGGCATGGCTTCTCACCTGAGCCTGTCCATATCTGATATGGGAAATAGTCAATCTGTTATTTGTTTCAGACTTATTTCATTTTGTGATGTGAGAGCCTGCCACCACCAAAAGTAATTAAATTTGTTGCAATGACAAAAATCAAGGCTCTGAATAACTTTTTTTTTAATACTACGAAGCAAAATTAATGTGTAAAATGAATAACATTTTAGTAAAGAAAGCCTAGATCAATTTTTTTTCCTTCTGTCAACAAGAATGTGCGATATAAGTATCATCATATATGGAAATATATTATATATATTTTGTGATCAGACCCTGTTGCCACTAGCCACATAGCAATTGTCAATGATATGATACTCTTTATTAATACTATTTATTATTATTTTTATCAGAAAGGGCCTTGGGTACGTCAGAGACAGGGGAGAAGCAGAGGGTGCTGAAGCCACTGTTATTAAAGGTTAGGGATATATTTTATATTTTTATTTCATTAGCATTATTGAGGAATTTGAGCCTGTAATGGAGGGGAACCCATTTGTAAAACGTCTCATCAATGAGTCAACCGACACTTATATTTTGGTAGAATAAAACCTGTAATCATTTTTTTGGAAGCGATTCTCAAGCTTTCATCTTGAACAAGGCTCTGTCACAAGAGATGAGCTGCTATTTTTAAAAGAACTGGAGATCATTGGAGTATTGCAGTTGAATATGAAAGATTTGGCTTTGACCCACAGGACCAATTGAAAGGCATATTGTAGTCAATGTTAGCATGACTAAATTCATTCTTCAACATATTTTGTAGACGAAAGCCTCCTAGAAGACTTCAATGTAAAAACACTCTATGATAAATTAGAAGATCAGAATTTGTATCTGGCTTCCCAGCTCACTAAGCATCAAGATGAATTGAGAGGATTTTATGAGAGAATCAACAATCAAACTGAGGGATTAAAAGTAAGATTTTTAAATAATTTTTGATATTTATCAGCAGAGATTGCGCCAGACTAAGCCCCAATCCTTTCTCAATGCCCCTAGGCTAGTGGATCCGTATGCAAATAATGCAAGGTTGCTGTAGCAAGAATAAAAATACCATACTATGCAATTCAGTTCTGCTGCACACCAAAACAAATGTATTTCTTTGTTAGTGTGCAGCAGTACTCTTGAATTGCATATACTTCTAATAATCTTGCAATAAATTTTTGTCAATAGTCTAATTTGAAAGATTTGGAAGATACAATATTTTGATTTTGTAATCGGCTTAGGCGATTCAGAAATAATGGTAATCATGAGGTTTAGTGAGGCAAACCAAAATTCAAACCTCCCTTTTTTCTTTTGTGTATATTAGGCTGTATATTATTTGATTACTAAGCTATCATATGACGAACATAAAAAATTTCTTATTATTATTATTTCAAAACAACATAGCATAGTTTCGATCCTTATTTATATTAATTCTTCCAAAAAATCACTTTTTCTTGTCCAGACAATGCTTCATAATCTTGATGTGTCTCGGTTAGAAGCAGCAGAAAGAGATCGTAGTATCTTTGCCACTGGCACAGATGATGCTGGGCCGACTGTTGTGAACGCTTCTGTCCAAATGAGTAAACCTGGCAGAGACATCAGACTTGCAGGTTTGTAAACCTGATAAAATACGTTACCTTTATTTGGTATCTGGCAGCCGAATTGTTAACCTTGTCTTTCTGAGGCTAAATTTAGTCTCTCTGTCATATTTTTATGGCTTGCTGCAATGACTATTAGTTTTGAAGTAATTTAATTCTCATATTAATAGAGTGGGTACCCCCGTAGTAGGTGTACCAGGACACATAACCTCATATATTTTATTTTATTGAGTCATAAGATAATTTCACGTCATGTCATGAGTGAGGTTTAGTCCATGAGTCGTTAGCATTAGCAAGCTAATATTACCCGTTTCTTACATTCTCATTTCCTTAGTTTAGTAATTTCACCATTTCCCATGGTATAGGTTCTTTATATAATATAACATATTTATACATCACTTCTGGAGCGCCAAGAAGTGTTTTTGTATAAACCAAGTGCTTGTTATATCAGTGAATTAAGGCACACTTGCTGACTTTATCGTTTTAATTGATTGGATTGAACTGTCTACAAACATATTTCAGTTAGAAAAGAGACGTTTTATTTAGTTTTTAAAAGTATTTTATGAACCATATTGGAACTAGAGCACAGACTTTATTTTCAGTTGGGCTCAATGTTGATGTTTAATCTTAAAATGTGTTAAAGTCGTTTACTTTAGGGTGAACATTTTGTCCTGTTCTTGAACAAATTATGTCAAACTTATTCAGGCTGTTTTCAAATGTTTTATATATTTATTAGGAAGTTCCAGTAGAGAGAAGGAACTTATGTTGGCTGTTCATGATCTCATTGAGAAACTCAATAAAGGAAAGGTAGGATAACAATGTGGTCGCTCATACTTGCTTTAATCATGTGAACCATTATTACTTTTTTTTAATATATCTTAAGTCTGTTTTCGGAACACAGTTCTATACAAACGAATACCTGATATAGTGAGGCTACTATACTTGGAAAAATTAGAATATTGTACCTTTGAAACAGCCTTGTATGCTCACACAGTTAGCCTACCACTTAGACCACTCTCTAAATTTATATAAATATTTTTAATTTGAAATGAGCATTTACTGTGTGTATGTAAAGCTTTCTTATCTTTTCTAATCCTTATTAAGGGTATTAAATTCTTTTTATCTTTATTTTCTGCTGCATATACTATGAAATATACCTTGAAACTCAAAAATACACAAAAAAGGTGTGCAATAGAAAATTTCTGTAATCAAGAACAATGAGTGACGTTATGAAAGCAATCGTAGTAATACAGCATCATTTTTTTACATAATTTCACTCAATTTATACTGCAGGTACCAATATCTGATGACATGCTACAAGATGCAAGAAAGAGATGGCAAGGTAAAGGTGGATCTGGTGTGGATGCATATGCACAAATTGCAAAAGCTACACACGTAAGATAAAATTTCTTTCGTTTTAACTAGAATACAATACATGGAATAATGTATGAGTAGTCATACTAAACTTGTACATTTGTCATAAAAACTTGCTGAAAAAAAGATTTCCAACTTTTACTCAGCATCGAGAAATGTCAGATGATTGGAAAATAACATTCCAAGAAGATTTACAGTAATCCTTAAATGCAGCATGTTTTAGTTTCCAAAATATACAGCAAATATTACGGATTTGGCACTGTCCTTGTATTATTTAAAAAACTCACTACTAGGATTATTGAAGTGCAGAATTAAATCAATGTTTTGTGCTTTTTACTGCTTTGATTTGACTTGAATGTGGCACATCGTGCTGAGCATTAGAAATACGCCTGCCACTGCATCACCGATCACACTGTTCTGCATCAACTTTTCATTCCCCGGGATAAATATGAAAATCCTATCGTAGCCATCATATAATCTAATTACTGTTCATCAAAGATTTTAATATTTTAACATCAATATTGCAGTTGACATCCGGCACAGAAGCATTCAAGGCACAAGGTCAAGCAGATTTATTGAAAAGTCAGCATATTGAAAGACTTGACTTGGACAAGAGCTTACTGGAAGATGAGAAACAAGCTCTGGATGATTTAGCTAAACAACATGATCAAAAACATGAAAAGACTTTAGATAAACTTGCACAAAAATTGGCTTTCAAATTAGAAGGAGAGTTATCTGAAAAAGAGGTCAGTTGAAAGTCACATGTGATTGAAAAAATATTGTATTTGTTTTGTTTCCTGCATCTGCCACTTATGCATAAATTTTTTCAGTTCCCTGAACGTGAGGGTTTCATTCTGTTTGTAGAGGAGAATTATTTTATTCTCTATCTGAAGACCTATGATACCAATATAGTTAGAAATGTGCAATGATCACAATTGAAAGTTCATATATTTCCCGGGCTCCTTGAGGAATGAAATCATTATAAAATCACATTATAAACCTGAATCATTTGTGTAACCTATGCTATTTAACTAAGCAATCTTGTAATTGTATGAAATAGCTGCAACATATTCCAAAGAAACACATAAATTATAGTGTCATATCAAAAAATTTAGTCTGATTGAGTTCTCACTCTTGCAGGTGAACGCTATAATGGAAGCTCATGAGAAAGATTTAGAATCCGCGTTGAATGCAATGGCAAATGAAAGAGAGAGACAAATGAGAGAACTCAGAGAACAACTTGCTGCTAAGAGGAAAGAAAGAGAAAAGCAATTAAATAATGTTCACAAAGAACAATGCAATAATGCTGGAGTGCCAGGTGAACTTAAAGTTTATTGCTTAATATACTTAATATATGACTTCGTTAAATTTTGAATAATCTTTTATTTTACCAAATCCTATCTCCTATCTTAGATGTTGTTATACCATCAATCAAGGCTAAGCTTTCTTTTTTCCAAGTTGTGATTTGGAAATGGAGCGCTGCTATGGCCTTTTAATATTGTTTTAGTTTTTCAACTACAACTAGTTTTAAAAGATGGCATTGTAACTTTTTCTTTTTATTATTCATGCAAAAACCACAGTTCTGTACCAATTCTACCATTGAACCAGGCTCATGAGAGTAGTCTTGTTTTAATATATCCTCCTCAAGCAGCTAAGACACACAAAAGTCTTTTTGTCTTCCCCAAAACATGATTTAATTTCTTTTTATATTTTCTAGAGTTTGAAGGCGAAGAGAAAGATGCCAATGATCTGGAACTTACCGAAAAAGAATTGGAAGAAGCCCTGGCCTCAGAGAGAGCAGCAAATGCACGAGAGAATGAAAAGATTGACAGAGAACTGAATGGAGATGAGAGAAATCAACTTTCTAGCACTGTGGATGATGCTCTTGTAAGTGAACATGATGAATAATAAAGTATTATTGATCGATTTTCTCTCCTTTTGCCTATAGCAGTAGTAGTTTGGAAAGGTAAGAAGTGACATTCTTTAGATTTTACAGACATCAACCTCTTTACTTCATTCACGTCCTGATAAAACATTATCTACGTAAATATAAGTTTTATTTTTCCAAGTGTTTTGACATTTCTTCAAGTATACTATTTTAATGTTTACGGTACATATTGCATGCATTTCGAAAAGATTTTTTTAGCAAAAAATTATGGCGGTTGTAAGTTTTTTTTTATCCTAATTTTGGTCATGCTACTGTACTTTTTCCATATTCTGTATTTTATGAACATAGTTATACTTCTTAGCATTTTCAAATTTTTCAGACTGTTAAGGTGACATTGCAAGATCTTACCGGTAATTTTCTTAATTTATATTTTCTTATTCTATCATTAATCTTTTTAGGACTCACTTGTAGAAAGTGGATTAATCACAGATGAAGTTCGTGAAATGATCAAAAAACAGAAACTTGACAGAGAACAAGCTTTGAAAGAAAAAATGGACAAGAAAAGAAACACACAGGTTATTTTTTGCCACATCTCACATCAAATATTTCATATAGTGCCAAGTTTAATTCATGTAATTTTATGTTCCTAAAAAGATATAGTCCTCTGTTGTGAGGTTCATTAAATAAATAAGTCCCCATTACCTTATTTCTCTCAGAAAGTTTTGGTTGATCTTTTACCTCTCCCCCGAGATAAATATGTAAATCCTCTCCTATCCTATCCTAGTGCTCAAAGTTATATATTTATTATCACTTTAAAGTTAAAATAATGCTTTTTATTATCTTTATTTAAGTATGTGTTGTCAAATTGTTGATTCAACTGAACAATATAACTCTGGATAGGCTACCTATTACTAAATATATTTATGTGAATAATAACATGGTATTTTTAGATGAGTGCAATGAAACGTAAAATGGCTGAAAGAAAGAAAAGAAGAATGCAGGAACTCAAAGATAAACAAGAAAAAGAAAAATTGGAGTTTGTAAGTTTTTATGGAAGTTTGTTAATTTTTCAGCTTCCACTTTATGACTTTGTAATCTCCCTAAGTCTGAAAAATTCAAAAGCTGTTATCATTAACAATATCATTATATTTGTTAATTTAAGTGCACTATGGACTACAACCAATGGTAATTTATATTAAAGAATATTTAACCTAATACCTGTGAAGAAGTAATGCAACACTATACTTGCAGTGCTACATTATAGAGTTTTGTGCAATTGAAAACTAAGCGATTTGAGCGTTTTATGAAAAACAAAGCAGTTCATTGGCCAAAGCATGTGTATGCAATCAAAAAGTCTATTTTACACCCACATAGACATAGATACCTACTAATTCATGATCTAATTTCACCATTAAAATTTCCTCACATTTTAACTATTTACAGCCTTTGTCAAATGTTTCTGATGATATTGTGTTTGAAAATACTAACAATACTACTACTAACATACAAAAGAATGAGGTATCTCTAAGCTGCACATCTGTGCTTTTAAAATTTGCAAAATGTGTGCTTTGAGAAGATAAAAATCATGCATGGACTTGCTTTCAGATGCAAATTTTTTCATTGTATATAGAAACAAATATTGCATGAATGAGTTCATATAGATTTTTCATTCTGATTTGCTTTGCTGTGCTTCATATGATTAGAGAGTGCTAGTGAATACCATTTCTTTATTTAGTTGTTAAATTACCTTAAAACATATCCAGAATGGCTTCAAATCTATGGTATCTGTGGTGATTTGTGTCTTGAAATCTAGTAACGCATTTGACGACCCTGACATTTGACCCTGCTGATGTATACTGTTTGTCGTTTAATAGCATGGGGCTTGCTTTGAGACTCTTAGTTGACATTTGAGCTAATAAAAGCGTAGTGTATAAGCCTACTTATTTCTGTGTTAGATTCATCACAGTACCAGAGCCAAAGTTTGGCTTGTATTTAAACTTCCTAACATTAGGAGTCAAATTTCTGAATACGTCCAAATCAGAATTTTATTCTTTCAATAGTGATGATAGCAATTAGCATTCTGTACAGAAACTCAAGTTTAATTAGCGTTCTTAACAGTATAATAAAAATGTCTTGCATACTTCTGAGTTGGAGTCAAAGTCCGAATTTTTTGTTTTTTGCAATTTGCATTCATGAAACTGGTCGACTTATTCTGATATATGAGAAGCTGGGATTTGACTTTTTTTTGTTATTTACCTGGTTCTTCCACTTATCTGTTTATATTACAAAATTTTGACTTTTAGTTTGATTTACACTTTTCCCTTTTTTGCTTTGATCTAGATGTGCTTTGCATACAAATAGAAGCTGCTTTTATTGTGCTGTTAGTATCTGAGGTACCAGTTTAAAAGAAGACGGTGGTATTTGATTTTTTTTGCTGCTAAATCGCTTAACATGATGATTTTTAAGTTTATTGTTTCATTTGAAATGTTTGAATTGAAAATCAGAATATCATTGAGCATGATTTAGAATCATGAATAAGCTTTACTTTAATCTTTGAGTATTATTAAGGTAAAGATAATCGAATATCTTGTTTAAATACTTTTACCAACAGCATATCATGCTCTGTTACTTTTAAACTGTTAGATTTTTTGATTCGCTATGTCTGAAAAACAGTTTAAATCATGTGAGCAGCAAGCAATTGGGCTTTTTCTTCTTTTTTAGCCATCTTTTCTTGCTTTAAATTAGTATGTGACAATATTTGTTTTTACAATGTTATAGTTTGGTTTAATTTATATTTTTGATTAATATTTCATCCTGAAAATCCCATTTAAATACCGATAATAATATTATCTGTGTTTTCCCATTAATTTTTTGACATGTGATGATTTTGACTATATCAAAATTATTACAATAATTAATTGATCCATCTAACGTGGCCTAAATATAGAATCGAGAAGATGTGTAAGCAGGTTGCCCTTTTTAACATTATCAATCTTTGCAGAATTCTTTCATTTGTCAACATCTGCACTTTACAAGCGTACTTCACCTTTTCTTTCCATGAAAACCTTCACAATTTCTAACAGTATCATGATTTTTATTAGAGTTCTGTTCTTTCTCATCCATATTTCTTATAACTTATTAAACATAACTTGATTCATCAAGTGCTTTTTGCTTCAACTGATTTAATCATTTTAAAGGTAGCTAACTGTAAGTGATGTAGGAAACTGAAGGTTTTATATTGTAAATAAAAAGCAACCATTATTTGCTTATGCAGCTGACAACATTTTCAAAAGATGATAAAAGCTTTATAACAGTTTTTGAATTTGTTCCTATTTCTCAGGGTGTCACTCCAGAGCTTGAAGCTCGCCATGCAGCAGAAGTTTCAGCATTGGTTGCTGATCTGGATGCGGAAGCAGCTCAAATGGAAGAACAAGTTTCTAAATCAATAGAAAATGAGCATAAACAGGCATTACAAGAATTACATAAAGAAATCCTTGGAGAGGTTGGTACAACAAGGAATTGTATTAGTGATCTTAAGTGATTTGATAGTTTGCTGCAAACTAACCTAAATATATTTCTGTAACGTTTCCTTTGACCAACGTCAGATTTTCTCAGACCGGCACAAAAGAATAGAAGAAGGATAAGTAGTTATTCCCGTATTATTTTGTATATTGGATACACACCTGATGTGTCTGGTTAGACAAAAGTGAGAAACCGTAATGTCTGAACTGCCTACCTGAATGATTTAGTAACCGGCATGACAATTTTTTCTCTGATGAATGAAGAAGTTGGCTGTTTGAGACTAACTGACTCCTTGTAGCCTTGCCACTATAATCATTGCAATAAATAGGATATGATTTACATATTTATCCTGAGGTAGAGAAAAGACGATATGACAGCTTAGTCATATGGCGAACCATGGCATGGTTTAGTAACCAGTTCATGTTGGGTAGAGGATTAGTTGACCAGTTATTTGTTTTCGGAAGCATGGACTTAATATAACAATAATCAAACTGTTAGAATAGATTCTTTCATTTCACTTTTTTTCCTGATGACGTTGTTTATTTTCTATTCAGCTATCAAGCAAGCACTCACTCGATGCGGTTGCACAACAAGAACTTCTGGATAAATACAGAAGAGAAGCAGAAAACTTCCAACATGTTATGGATTTGAGGAAAAATCAACAACAGCAACAATTGAAGGTATGATTCATTTATTATTAAGCAACGTTTATATAGCAGTCACTCGCAGCTTCTATCTTACTGAGGTTTGAAAAAAATTACAGTTAATATAATTGATATATGGAGCAATTTATGTTAAAAAATTTCCATCTATTCTTTCCTGGCACAAGAGTTTGAATTCTGTAAAAGATTTTAGTCTGCATTGAGGATTGCTAGACTCTTCTTTGTAATAGGGTGATTGACATGACCACTGGCTGATGACAATTTCCTCTGCCATTGAGTCAATGCATCTGAAATTGGTTTACTATTCCAACACCTAACAGGGACTGGTTGGTTATTGGATTGGTTCATCAGCATACCCTTTAACTCTTGGTTTATGTAGTAAGATTTAATATAGAGAGCACTTTTAAAAAAAATTTTGGTAATTATATTAGCTGTTATTAAGAAAAGACCTTTTATACATTTTCTCATGTATGGTGTTGCCAGATATTTGGATAACATAGTCAAATCGCATGGAATAAAGATACATCTGTATTTTTCAGGCAAGACTTGCTGCAAAGAGAGCTCGCAAAGCAGCAGAAGCTTTGAGAAAGGCAGAAGAAAGAGGTGAAAAACATCTCGAAAATGAAGAGAAATTAAGACTGGAAAAATTGAAGCAATATCAGGTGAGGCAACCGAGAAATTGCCCCAGTTTTAGATTAGTTAATTTTGTAACTGCTTTACTAAACAAATTTCTTTGTAAACACCCAAGATTTCAATAGTATGGATATGTGGAATTTATTTCAAAGCATCATTACACTATGATGACCTCTTTGATTTTCAAAGCCCATGCATCTGAAATGATTATTTCTGCACTTGACTTGGATAAGTAACTAATTGAGAAAATATGATTCAATTTATGAATAATTTTTCAGTTTTTTTCTCTCTTCAAATTAACTATGAAATAGGCTTACCCATATGATGTTCAGATTGAGATATGATAAAATCATAGCGAAAAATTGAGTCAGCTCATTATAATATATTATCAAGTATTGACATCAGCTATATATATTTATATATATATTCATTTGTAAAATCCATCATCGATTTGTTAATAATAGGAGGAAGAACAAAAGAGACTTGATGAAGAGGATGGCCTTGTTATTCCAGAAATAAAACCTGAGGAAAATTATGAAGAACAGGTCAGAATGTATTACTTTATTTTCTATAATCCTTTTCTCTTTTTTTGCACAATAAAGATGACACTCTTTTTTGTAGGCGGTTCGGTACTCTCGTAGTGTGTGTACCAGCCTAGGGTTAGGTCATAATTTTATTCCGATTCACCATATTTTAGTGTTATTTCGAGTTCGGGGACTGTTTGTGTTAGCCAATTGAATATACCCCCTGCCCCTGCCCATATGTTTCATTCCCTTTACACAACATTAGCATTTTATTTATCTACTTTATTTAAAGTACAATGTTTCTTGTGTGGTGTAATAGAATATCATGAACTGGGTCATATATAACAGAAACATAAAACATTTCTACTATAAATTTAACACAAAGATATACATATTCTAATATATTATTTAGCTGTAGTAACACATAAACAACTGTTGATGAACACAAACTAAGATTAGTATAATAACTTCCGAATTCTACATAATAAGTTTGGTTTTCTGCTACAGTTTCATGTAAATGCAGGGTGGTCGCTACTCAAAAAAAATTTGTCAAACAGCTATTAATTTTTACAAAGAATACCTTTTACAAAGCTTCTTCAAAGGCATATGTTATATCACACTCATAGATTCTCAAAATATCATCCATGAAATTCAGAGCAGTTAACCTTAAATCAAAGCTTGTGTAACGTTTTGAAGATCAACTTTTGGGATATCGTTCGAATTCCATCTATTCCTATTCGCATTTTATTCGTGATCTCATCTGACCTTTAAATTTTTTGCTTTTCAAGCGGCCACTTTGCATTAGAAGCTATCAACGTTTTTCTCTGTTATAAAATTGATTTTATCTACTAAGGCCCTTGTCAAAGAGCAACAGAACCAACTTGTGGAGATGGAAGCTGAGCAAGCCAGTGAAGGTGAAAGGTTATCCAGTGATTTGGACAAACAATCTAAGCAAGAGGAAGCTGAATTAGAAAGAAAACTCAAAGAAGAAATGGACAAGATGTTGAGAGAAAAGAAAAATAAACAAGAAACAGAAGCCAGGGCGAGAACTGATCTTACAGATGAAAAGATGCAACAGGTACATTTATTTTATCCTAATTCGTTAATCAGTAATCCACCTAAGCGTTAGGAATATGCTTGCCATCGCATCTTTGATTACCCTTTGTAAGATCGCAGGTTCGAATCCCATGCGGGGATGATCATGTACGAGAGGATTGCTGGACTCTTCGCTGTTGTAGGCTGGTTCACGTAACCGGTCGGTTATGGCTTCCTCCACCATCTATGCTTCCGAAAAAACAAATAACTGGCTAACTAATTCCATACAGGACCTGGACTGGTAACCGGACGAGAGGCTGTGGTTCGCCATATGATTAAGCCATCTTATCGGCTTTCCTCTCCCCCGGGATAACTATTTAAATCATATCCTATCCACCATACATGAATAAAGAATGTAAAAAGAAGCAAAATTGATAATTCAGGGTGAATGGAATTGTAAGAAACCAATACTGGTAATGGAGTAGCGACACCTGTGATTAAGCGTAACAGTATTTGATAATAGCATAAAAAAGTCAAACAATAATTAAAGGTGATATAAGAAGAAATACAAGTCAAGGCGACCTGAATTTCCAGGAGACGCCTGGTATAGAGTGAAATAAATCGGGCTATGAGGCTAGCAATTTTAAAAGTTGTGAAAATTCATATCACTGTTAAGCACATCCCTTTTCACATATTTACTCAATTCAACATGCCTGTATTGTTAAAGTGGGCACAGTAACAATCTAAATTACATAACTCTGATACATGGTAATTTTGTTAACAATGCTTTTCAATCAGACTGTGATGTGGATTTTTGTGATTCAGTATTTTTGTATTACCTGAAAGTGTGGGATTTGGGAAATAATCCCAGCATTGTGCAGCACGTTACTTTACACATATCCACTCAGTTCATTAGGTATGTATTGTTGAAGTTAGTACAATGACAAACTGAAACTCATGCTTGATGCTTCTGCTATATTTCAAAGTATCTGGCCACAATAGCTGCAATGAGATTGAATGTCTCTGGTGAAAACTGCCAGCTTATATATTGTTTCTTTGTAAAGTCATTTTTAAAAATTGAAGATTCTAAATTCAGCTAATAAGCAATATAAGTTGAAAAGTTAATGCTGAAGTATATTTGAATTAGTAATTGAAGTTTTAATGTTTGTATTAGTATGCATAGATGTTTGTATTAGTCATTTATTGATTTGATTTAAAATATTCGTTACTCTAGCTTCTTGCTGCCCATCAACAAGAGCTTGAAGATCTTGAAAGGAAAACTTCAGTTGAGCAAAACCGCCAGAGAGTTGCATTGAGAGATAAACTTGCTGCTAGAAGACAACGTAAGATGAATGGTCTTCGTTCTCGTCAAGAAATTGAGAAAGAACAAGAAGAAATTGCACAAAAGAAAGAATTGGCCCAAGTCAAGGCTAAGACTGTAAGTAGAGTAGAATGTTATATTTTACATGAAAATTTTTACACTTTCATTCTGAACAACAGCTCTGATTCTGAAAAACTGCAACAATACTTAGTATAGCACACTAAGTAGCAGCAAGTATTTCATTGTTGTAAAATTACTGCTTTGGATTTATGTGTGACAGTTGTTGCAAGAATGCTTGAATCATAAAGTAATAATAAAATTATTAGGATTTATAAGATATGTCTGGTTAACAAAAATTAGCAAAATATCAGAAAAATAGGCCAATCATGGAAATTCAATATACAGTATGTTTATAAATCATACATTAGTAATTCAAAATATTATAATAGGCCCTCTCTCTTTGGCAACTCATAAAATTTTAAACAGCTGTTTTTCTAGAATTATAATTAATTCTTCAATCAGGAGATGCGTATTAGCCATACAAACTTTTTTTCAAGTAAATTTTTGATTTCAGATGAAAGAAGCGGAACGTAAAGCAATGATTGAAGGAATTCAGCAGAATGGAGCTGGATCAAGTGAAAGAGTGATTCAGAGAGTATTGGAGAAAAGGCACAAAGAGGTTCGAAAGAGGTTTATTTGAAAGCCAAGATATTCTTCGAAAGTTTAATAAAAATCATATATTAATTTATAAAATTATTAATAAAAATAAATAGTATCTAAACCAATGAAGCATATTTAAGCTTAACCAAAAAGAAAGAAAGGAATAGCAAAGTGTAGATAAAAGCATTGTGAGACTCGCGTTATTGACCATTCAATCACATATAAAACTGAAACTTGTATTTATCAAAAAAGCAAACCATGCAGTATCTGTCATGTTCATCAATTTAGTTTTGTGTTTTGTATTGCTTAAAGTGACCAATGAAAGTTTCATTTTTTTTACAAATTTTTCAGGAGCTGAGAAATCTTGAAGATGAATTCGCACTTCGCAAGAAGATGTTGATTGCTCAAGCATTGAATGCATTAAAAGATGAATATAATGCAAAGAGAGAAGCAATGGTAAGTATCTTTCATATTTATTCTGGTGATGTTGCTATTATTTTGCAATAGCTCGATTCTACATTTCAAATATATGTTAGATATTATTTTGATACCCTGAAATTGCTAATGTTTCTTTTATTGCTTAATGATCTTGTCATTCTTGAAATGACGTATGGCGCTCCCGAAGTATGTGCACAAAGATGGCGCACAACCTGAACCCTAGACTGGTACACATACTATGTTCAGGTTGTGCGCCATCTTGGTGCGCATACTTCTGGAGGTCTCAAAATTATTTAATTATTCATTTAATTATTATTTAAAATTATTTAATTACTTAATTAAATGTCACCTAAATTTCCAGTCTTGTTTGTTTAAAGCTCATGCTCATAATAACCCAGTACTTCTAAACCAAACTAATGTATTGAGTGTTTACAACATTTTAAAAATACCTCACGGTGCATCCTGAAATAATATTGTGTTGAAGGTTTGAAGTCAGTGTTTTATCTCATGTTTTGAGGATTTTATGTAGGGACGTGTCATTCATTATTTGATCAATCATCATAAATAGGTTTTCACTAATGTATACTACTGTGCTCAACAACCAAATATAATAAAAATGGCATGAAAATATTACATCCTTAGTATAAGTATCCTCAGGAAAATGAAATGATCAGCTGTTCTATCAGTAAATCAGAAGCTGTTGTCCATTTAATGATTTGTCTATGAACTCTTACATAGGTTTATTCTTTTTGTTCTTTTCGAAAAAATGTATGATGTCATAGGGCAAAAGAAAATAACTGCTATGGCAAATAATTTGTCCTACATAAATTTATTCCTCCTATCAAGATGAAAGAAATGGAGCCAACTATACTTTTTAGGAAATGTTCTCAATTTTGTACTATCTATGGCAATTTGTGTTTTATCTTTAGTTAAAACGACATGAAGAGGAACTTGATCTTCTCAAAAAACAAGGATATTCTCCTGAAGAATTGGAACGAAAAACGAATGAGTTGAAAGAAAAACAAGCAAAAGAACTTAAGTAATTATATTTTCCTTTGCTCAAGTATGAAGGTTATATGCCAGTACTCACAATAATATACTTTAGAATATTATTTATGAATCTTCAAGGAATTTTTAATTGAAATTGATGAAAGCGTATTGGTTACATAACAAATCTTAACCGTGCAATATATATTGGTAAATGATAATTGATTGACATGTAAATCTCTATGTTTGAGTCTAATAGACTTCTATATCGACCTTCCAATTATACATTGTAGTGGGCATTATAATTTAACTCTTTTCCTATCTGTTGCTTCTTCCCCATAATCCATGTTTAGTCCTCTAGTGGCAGCAGTAGCTTTCCTATCACCACTACCTCAACAAAGAAAAATTGGATAAAATATTTATTCAATTGTAAATGAGTATCATTGGTTCTAATGTATGGCTTCTAATGTTTTTTCACTCTACAATATATTCATGTTTGTACTTGTTTGAAAGCACAATTTTTAATATTGATTTTTAAGACTGAAACATCTAAAAAATTTGTAGAGCTTATGTATTATCATATATTCATTCATATAGTGACATCGACGAATCTCATGCCAAGAAACTGAAGGAAGCAAAATCTGGAGCTCTGTCTGACTGGGAACTGGAATATGCTCAAGCTAAACTCAAATTGAAAGAACAACATTATCAGGTTCGTCATCAGGATTATTTTTAAATATGGCATCAGGGGCACTGAGGTAATGTAACCATTTAGTTTAACTTTCTCATTTTTCTACCCGGCTGATATGGCAGACACAAGATGATATCTGTGCCAAGTTTACTGATCTATAGAATTAAACACCATGCCATCACTCTCTGCAACATGATTAGGTTTACTACAAAAATTTCGTTGATGCAATTCTATGTACACATCCTTTTTTAAAACTTTGCAAACTCAAAGAATAGAATTTTAAAATCCAAATCGTCTGTTTAATATCGAAATCTTTTTTTTTTTAAATAGTAACTTATTACTTACTACTTTACCGAAATATTTCTACTAAATAAACTAAATTGTAACTTAGGAATTTGCTGAAGCCCTGAGGGATTTTGCTCCAAGTGCTTCACAGCAGCAAACAGCTGAACAGATAGAGGAGACAGCACGAAGATTGGAAGAAACAAAAGCAAGACTTGAGCAGGTAAAAATATTCGCTGTAATTACATAACTATTATATTTATTGTTGTCTAACATGACTGTAAATTACTTACCCATTCAACTTCATTTTGCTGGAACCACTGTTCATGTCAATCAATCCCTCAACATCGTCTTTTGGGGTATTTTTTTTGTCCTCAATCTAATATGGACCGATCAGGCCATGTTTGGAAGTTATTCCCAATGCCTTGTACTTCAGTGTATTGGTCTCTGCAAGACTTCCTTAGGTGCTGTGCCCCGGTAAATATAATTGTTGCTATTGACAGCAGAAAAGCAGCAGAAAGTGTGCTCTAGCAGAAAATGAAGTGCTTGACTGGCAATTTTGCGAAAAGAATGCAAATCTGTCTCTAATGCCGAAGAATTTGGAACATATTCTAGAGAGAACACAACTTGTACAAACTTTCTGAATTTCGGAAACTTTGAAAACTTTTTTCAATCATAAACAAACAGAAGTTCTCAAACACAAACAAAATCAGATATATTTTTGTAGAAGTAATTAAGGAATTCATAGGTTTCGTTTTTTTGCGGTGTCAGACTGTACTTCGATTGTGACAGGTATTTCTTTGATCAATATTTTTCCCATTATGTCATTTTCATTTCTATCATCATTTTCATGAAAGGATAACACTTATTGTCTTTACTTACACAGGAACAAAAAGAAGCGCAAGAAAAACTTGCCAAAGAACGAGATGAATGGGAAAAAGAACAAAAAAACGGCTGAAGAAGGAAATGGCAGAATTCGAGAAAGAACTAGAGAAGGAAACGAAGAAAGAAAAAGAACAAGCTGAAAAGGCAGTCTCCAATTTGAACAAAAGAAAAGAAAAACTTTTGAAGGTACTTGTCATTGTTTTTTCAATTTGATTTCTTTTTCATCAATACAATATGAATAATCCAATCTACTCATTTACACACAACTATCTCAAACTAGAACAACAAAATTTTTTAAATTTATAATTATGGCATGTTGTTGTTTCAAGACCCTGGAATCAATGCCATAAATTTTTTCAATACATTTCACTTAGTATTATTTTTTGCGAAAGAACACAATCTAGAGCAGTGGTTCTCAACCACTGGTTCGGTGCCGGTCCGCCACATATATTCTAATATTAAAATATAGAACCTGCTACTTCAACTTTGTAACATGCCCCGAAACGACCTTGCAGCAATGTTGATATGGATCATGCAGAAACAATCAAAAAACGAAAGCGGGGACTTTATTAGGCAGTATGATAAGAAGTATTTGAAGCCAAATTTCACTACTGCTCCCAGCAGCAAAAAAGTACCATGTGCCTAGTCTGCGCCAAAATTTTTTCAAATCGACGTAATAAAACCCGTAAAGATAACGAAATCGTTTGGAAGTCAACGCCCTACATCGCATAAACTTCATTAAAACGGCGTTTAACACAGATAATATCAAAAAGTCCGCAGCAAATTTCTCATTAAATTGTCTTGTTTTGCACCGCCTATTCTTGTCGCAATTGCATTTTTTTGATTACCGGTATGTTTTGTGTTCATGACATATTTGGTTAAATTTTGAGGGTTGCCGGTCTGCAAAATTTGTTTGGAAATTTTACCGGTCCGCGAACTGATCTAGAGTAACCATAATAATATGTAAATCATGATGCAAATACCTTTGATTTTTCTTTTTTTTACATGTCTTTTTAAACAATCATTACAGACACTTGCATATGTGTAATTGGATCAGTCTACTTCCAATCGCTTCTTTATTTTGCACTATGCAAGTGCATTTCATGCCAAATATACAAAGCTTGTTGACTGTTGTACAATGTAGCTTTTGAGAACACTAATATTACAAAAATTCTACTCTACAACATCATTCTGATTTATCTTTAGGACAAACGTAACAAGATGAAGGAAGATATTGAAAGAGCTTCAGCTGCTGGTGCAAGTGAAGAAGAAATTGGAAAAATAATGCAACAGGTATTGTGTATTATTAGCCGTGGTCTAGTATTCATATTGTACAAGGTTTATGAAGATAGGTGCTACGTTTGCCAATGTTTGTTTTTGAGAAGAGTGATATTACCCTGTTGAAGTTGTTAGATTAAAATAAGATTTTCATATTTATCTCGAGGTAGAGGAAAGCCGATAATACTGTTTACCTCTATGGCAAACCACAGCCTCCCATCCAGTTACCATTCCATGTTGGGTATGAGATTAGTTAACCAGTTATTTGTTGTTGTATTGAAAATTTGAACTAAAAACAACATCGTAAAAAAATTACCTGTAGAAATAATGTGTTGCCACAATACTGTTTGTACGACACAATGTGTATTCTATTTTCATTTTTATCAGTAATGCTACAATATGTGTAAACATTTTCTAGCACGAGAAAGAAGTTGAGCAATTGTCCAACAAAATGGATGCAGAAAGATGAGAATGCAAGGTAAACTTGCGGAAAGACTAAAGAAAAGAAGGAATGAAAAGTTACAGGTTTGTTTTTGAGTAATCAATATATCAAGCTTGATATACTGTGAAATAAGAATCTTTCGCATGCAATTAAACAAGCATTTTATTTATAAACTACAATCCAAGCATTGAAGTGACATAATGCAATATGTTACAATTTTATCACCATCTATGTTATATATTATGTTGAGATATGTATATAGTGTGATATCGCTAGGTGACGCTATTGACTGTACTTGAACTTGTATATACGAGACTGTAATTATTCGTGTTCAATCAGTGCACTTGTTACGTGTCACTTACTTCTCAGTCTGCTACTGCTATGGTGTCTTTGAAGTGCTTGACTCTTACAAAAAAAAGTGATGTAATGGAAACTTAATAAAAAACTAAAGGCAGAATACACTACAGACTGCCATCATCATGTTTTTCCCATGATCCTTTTTGCTCACACATTTCAAGCAGCCATTCATATCCAGTAATATGTAAGGTGCTACTATTGATCAGAAAATTCAAAATCTTTACGGGTCAACATTACTTACCCAATTTAGTACACCCTAGGTTCCTTTAGGGACAAGATGTTTGGACCAGAAATGTGTAATCTGCGATACCAGCAGAGTTAATTCTAAAGCTCAAACAGTTAGGTCACTAAAGTACCTAGTGAGTTAAACTAAAACCAACTACCAGCCTGTATTAAATCAAGCAGGTAATAATTCCCCATTCAAAGGAAAGTAGGAAATTCCAAAAATACATATGAAATATTTATTCACTCTATTACCACTGTTTTCAGACCAAGAAAGCAGAGATCAAAACTAAAGGCGCTGAGGCAAGAAAAGAAATTGAAAATGAACAAGAAGGAAATTCAAAAAATAAGAGAAAAACAGGTAAGAGATGCTTCCCAGCAAACTCAAACAAATAACAGTGTTAAAAATAGAATTTAATGTTTTTGCTCTTATTGATTTTCAGTGTCATATTCATGATTTTAATAAAAGCCCACCTCCTAAACACAATCTAAATGCAGATGATGATGTAGGTATATCAGGGGTAGAACCTGTTCCATGTTAACAGTCATAGTCAGTGATAGATTTTCATCCATTGCCCACTCAGTTTTAGGTGCATGTTAACACCAGTTAACAAAATAATTAAAAATCTATAATATCTCAATATAAGAAACATATTTAACATACTTAATGAAGTTAATTATAGTGTCTTCTCTCCAATCACACCATGCATATGAGGTGCAGTAGTACAATAGCAAGATAAAAACCAGATGAGCTGTGTGATTCAAATCATCTTATACAATTAGATTCAGATATTTATTTTTTAAATTGCATGAAACATTGTACAATTAAACAAGCGCATTGAAAAAAATATATCAAATAAAAACAGGCATCAAATTGACGAGAAGTCACGAATGACTATCAAGTCAGTGTCCTTGTCACCACAATTGCTTAGTATGGCAACATCCCCCAAGATATATTTATTTGGCGCTCCAGAAGTGTATGTACCAATATGGAAGTAACTAATTTTGTTTGCCTACTCTACATCAAGTTGTGTAAAGGGACTGAAACCTATGGGCACAGGGTATATTCACTTGGCTCACACAGACAGTCCCCGAACTCGTAATATAGCGCACCAAAGCACCAAGATGGCGGACACCGGAAAGTTGTTTGTGTACCAGGTTATGGTTAGGACATAATTTATTCTAATTTTCCTTATTTTAGTTCTATTACGAGTTTGGGACTAGCAAAGTGACTCCCGTAGTATTTGTACCTTAAATAATGTAGTACCCCCAATTGTTCAGTATGGCAGCATCCTCAGGGACATGGATATTTTTCTTTTAATTTTTCATTAATATTTATACAGGCTCGTGCGCTGGATGAAGCAACATTTGCACTTGATCATGTTTCAAGTTCAAGCTCTTCTTCTTCTTCATCTTCTTCATCATCTTCCTCCTCCAGTTCATCAAGCTCAAAGTCATCTCGCAGACAATCTTTGAAACAAGAAGAAATTCTAACTCAAAGAGGTGAATTTTTTTTCTATTTTTCCATTTTTACTAGTGTTTCATGTTGAAATGAAAAGTTTTATTGATGTTTTATTGATTGTATTGATGGGTCAAAAGTATAAATAAAAACTAGAAAAGTGATGCAAAATTCTCAATTGAATAAACATAATGTAAGAACTGGAGGAATTTCTAACATATATATATGTGCATTGTGCAGGAATATGCACTTTAAACAATACCAAGTTGAAATCGCTAAACAGTATCAGATCATTTCATTCTAGCATTTACATTGGTGAGAAACATTTGTAACTTTATTTATGAACGTGGGATCTCATCAAGGTTTGAAAGTCTTATTTGTACGAGTATTTATTCAACCACTTTTTTTTTAGAATTTGATCCATCTCTTCAAACCTTTGATCCTTCTGTACTTGCTGCTGCTGGAATGTTGCAGGGACAATATGCAATGTCTGCACCACTGAGGTTGGTTCTGAAACATCTTGATAAATAAATAAGATTAGTATAATGTTTTGTTTTTGCATTGATTTAATTTTATCTTGCAATAGTCCTTTTATCTTCACTCATTATGCACTTATCATGGGCTGAACTTGATTGGTAATTGTAGTCGGCTTTTTTTCGGTAACAGTAAATCAAGTAAAAAATCTCTAAGTCGTGCCTATGCGTATGGAGAAATAAGGATTAAGTATTTCCATACGCAACATGGACTTGTAACCAGCAATTGTTAGGCCGAGGGTGGGCAAGGTTTTAGGATCAAGGGTCAAAAATTTTGCCCACCCAAACTGACAGGCTATAGACGTAATAACTTATATTTTATGCATATTAAGTGTAACAAAAGCATGGAAGTGTAAAACAATAAGCCTTGAGCCAAAACTAAATTTAATCGCAATTTCAACAAATCCCTTTAGCTATTTTTAGCCAACACATCAAAATTTGTTTTGAATTGGTTGTGGCAGCATCAGGCGGGCCAAATTTGCCTGTTTGCCCATGACAGTGTTAGGCTCTTTCCTTTCCCCCAGGATAAATATAAAAATCCTATCTTTACATTTTCACTTTTCAGTGAAGAAGAATTGAACAAGTTGTTGATGGCTTCCCCACTGTATCAGACATTACAAGAAATTCGTGACAATTTATCTTCTGAGAAATTGAAAAATGATGCAAACCTCATATCTGGAGAATTTGTTGGACCAGGTATTTTAAATGTTAGAAAATTTCAAATCGATTTAATCATTAATCATGATTTTACTGTTTTCCGAATAAATCGTTTTTACAGAGTTAATCCGATTTAATTATCAGCATGATTTGCATTATTATTATTATTTTGTTTGCTGAGGAAATAGAACAATCAAAATTGAAATTTGAAAACCCAGAGTTGAAGTGTTGAAATGCATTTCAAAGTTTCGTATTATTGTTCCTTTTGAATAATTTCAATGATTATAGTACAAATTATGATGCATGTTTTTTATGCCGATATCTTCACCAACTGAACAATAATATAATGAAAGAAGTTTGTCCTATTTGTTCTGTTTTTTTCTCTAATCTTTGTGACTAGTAACACTTCATAACTTATGTGACTAGTAACACTTCACTATTTTTTTTTTTTTTTAATTATTCAACTGAACTTGTTGCAGATGTCAACAGTTCTGATACAACATTGATACCTACGCCTTTATCCTCACTGAACGCCAGAGATCTCATTGTATACAAGTTTGGTACATTCATACTGAAACTGCTTCGCACTCATTGTAACTATCCACCAACTAATTTACTTGTTGCTGAGAAAGTACCTGCACAACCTGAACTGAAGAATAATGCTTTTAGAGGATCGTTCTGGTGAGACATGGTTTTCAATTATAGTGTGTATCAAGTATAAATATTCATTCAATGCTTAAATATTCATTCGTTATTTGTTGAGTGCTCACTCATTCCTACAACTTCTCCATATGGGTATCTGAATATACAACTTTGATACAGGGTTCTATGGTTAAGTAGGAAGGCTGTGGTTTGTCGTATGGTTAAGCTGTCTTCTCATTGGCTCTTCTTCTTTCTCTTGAGCAATGATCAGAAGTTTCGTCTCCCTCTTTTGACTTACTTTCTCAATTCGATTTACGTTTCTAAAATTTCCTCAAACGTATTCAAATCTAGCTAAATTATTTGACGTTTTTTGACGACATTTGCTGCTGAACTCAGCATTCAGGGTGTCACTGACACGATGACTTGATAGTCTTTCGTGGCTCCTCCTTATTGCAGTTGAAACATTGTGTGTCTGTTGTTTTCTTCCTCTTGCCTTGATTTAATAATATTTTTGTTTACAATGTTTCTTGTACGATGAAAATAAATTATCTGAATCTGAATCTCAATTAATTTTAATCATATTAAATATTATTTCTTTCAAAGCTTTGATGAAGGCAATGGTATTCTTTATGTCAAACTTGCTCGTCTTCGCGAAGAGATTCCGTCGGTAGATTTGTGATGTTACTCGTACACTCGATGTCTCACATTGCATCAGAGAATCTCAATGATGACGCAGATCCAAGATTCATGTCAGAATTTTATAAAGGACTTGCAACGTTGTGTGATGATTTATTCTTCTCAAGGTACAAAGGTGGAAAGCCGAATGATGTCAATCAAGGTACGGAAGGTTGGTTTATTGTTCCGTCCGTTCTGTAGATAATTTTGGATAAATGTAATGTCATCACTAATCCTTCTATATTATAGAGATGGGGCTTTGGATTCAAACTCTGATCGATCTGTTTCACCCAGTCCTTGTCTTTTGGGGTTTGTAAGGAATTACTTTGCGCTAAGTGTGAGAATCTTTCCCAATTCCAATAAAATCCTGCAGCTGGCTACCTGCATTGAGGGGACTTTTTGATGACTCTGATTAACCATCATGGTTGTATCGTTACCACCATCATGTAAAAAAAACTTTGAATCCTGCTTTTGTTATATTTTTTGTTTTGGCTAAAGCAATAAATCCTTTCTCTACCTTGAGTTTTACACTGATTTTTCATGCAAAAATGATACAAAATTTGTTGTATCATGTCCAGCAATTCCCACATAATTATCAGGAGTACAAATCAGAGAACCCACACAGGGTGTTGGTGGTGGTGCGGTGGCAAGCATATTCATACCGCTTGGCATGATGCGCCAACTTTTTCCATTTCAATATTCGAAAGTCTTGTAAATATTGGTATTTGTTTCTTGATCTAAACAAATTTCATCATTTTTTCAGGATCCAAAGCACATGTTCCCGAAATTGAAATCAGTCAAGATCTGTTAGACATCAGGTTACCTGAACAAGCAAAGAGAAGAGGGCTATATCCTGTAACAGATGAAAAACAGGCTTTCACTCAGAGAGCTATTGAGAAAAGACTTGCTAAATATGATAAAACTGGCATCGGTGGGAAAGTTAGAAGTGAACTTGGAGACATAGAACAAAAAATGTTGGAGGTTAGTTTGTGCAATAGTTCACATTTGTTGCATTATTGTCATCTAGCTAGTTGGACAGCTTCAATTCGAAGTAACAAAATATGTAAAAGCTGTTTGGAAGAAAACACAAAAACGTAGATGTTTGATTTTGAAACTTTAATCCAAATGGGGAAACCATGAAAAAGCTGTTGAGAAAATGATGAAGATAAATATATTCGATTTTTAAACTTTTGAACGGTAACTTTTTATTGAAATACTCTGGAATAGTGCTTCAAACTATCTATTTCTCATTTATTTCCTTAGAATATTTTCAAATAATAATTTTTTTTCAAATTTTAACATTAGCTTTATTGTCTGGAAACCTGCGTGTTCTCTCATTCAACAATTGTGCTCATCTTGTATAAACAATTTATCGTGATTAGTTGACGTGTGAAATTATTATTCTTCACTATCATAATTTTTTATTATAGATTTGAAATGCTTGCAAAAGTATTGGTTTTATTCACACAATTTCTTTCAAATCATTTTAGGTATTTTCGAATAATAATTATGTATGAGATGATTGCTAACCTCCTTACCATAGCGTGGTCAGATGAAGTTCCAAGAAACTAAAATAAATACCTGGTTAACTATATGACAAAGTCGTCTAATCATCTGCCCCCAGAATAAATATGAAAATTCTATTCATTTGGATTCACTGTTGTCAAACCATATGTCACCAATTTTATTTTTGCCTTGTTTCATAATTTTCCAAAATTAGGCTAATATGTGAATGATTATAAAAATTACTTCTTTAAACCAGGCCCGTGATGAAGGAACTTTGGATGATATTGATCAACGATTATCAAAACTGATGCCAGATATTGGACCAACTAACTTATCAAGGTATTCTAGCTTTTGAGAGTCAAACATTTTCTTTTAGCATTATTGTGAATGTTTAACGCAGACCTAAAATATGCTTCTCTATTTCAGTAAATAAAATTACATCCCAAAGTCTTATTTTTTATAGTACTACTGGTAAATGCATCCGAAACAAATAACTGGCAAACTAATTCCATACCCGACATGAACTTGTCGAAGGAGATACTGGGGTTCGCTATATACTTAAGCCATTTTGTGAGGTCATGATTTTCAACATTTAAGCTGTCTCATCTCATCTCTTTTCTCTCCCAGTGATAAATATGAAAATCATTTTGATCATGTGAATCATATTTATTCGGCCAAAAAATAAAAAAAGAATTTTCTTGTTTCATCAGACTTTCCTCCTTCTGTCTTTAGATCACCAATTTTATATTTTTCAATAAACATTCTTTTTTAATCAGCCGATACAAGAAGACAATGAATTCGATAAACTCACAATGGAATTCTCATCTTTGACTCGTGAAGTCAGTGATATTAGAGAACAGCTACCCATGCCAATGGAAAAGACCAAGAAACATTGAGAAATAAATTGAATAATGTTGAAATTAAATTGTCAGCTGTACAGCAAAAGTAAGTTTAATTTGTCAAAAAAATAACCTTGCTATCAGTTGGGGTTACGCGAAACTAACTGACTTTTCTTGCTCTATATCTTTGCACATATGGATAAGCGCATAATGCAAAGATACTGCGGCAAGAAAATATATAACTATCCCATTTGATTCAGGAATCTTACTGCACACTAACACAAGTTAAACGTTTTAGAAATACATTTTTTCACTATGCAGCAGCAAAACTTTTGAATAAAATAGTCTTTTTGTATTCATATTTTGAATTGAATAAGATCACCTAGGTTGTACTTTGATTCTGCAACTTGTTCCTCACCCTGAGCATTCAAAATAGGGCTGCTAGTTACCATCCAATTCCATGGTGGGTCATAAGGCACAATGGCAATGTGGACTCCATGTCCTCTCACTGTGATCTGTGTAACTGCTGGTGCATTGTGACTCCACTACCCAAGCCGTGTATATCTGGAATTAATGACTGGCTTATTATCAACATATGAACATGGACATGGTCCACTCCCCCATTTTTTGTAATGTTTGAAAACATAAACAACCCAAGCAACACTTGCTTGAATCATCAATATGCATATCAATTAATATTTGAAAATTTTGTTCCTAACATTAAGTTGGGGATTGGTTACATTCAAGACAACCTAAGTTTATTTGTGATGGAATCTATTCAATATTTTCATACCTATCATTCACATTGTTCATACCTAACACAAAACTATATTTCTAGGTTGAAAGAATCAAGTTAAGTTCATCTTTGATCCTTCGAAGCAACAATCTATCAGCAAGCTATTTTCAGCAATCTGTATAAAGACTTGTGCAAGCAATAACAACGACAAAAAGTTTTGTTAAATCTATCAATGAAAGAGTTATAAATAATTTACTATTTTTTTCAATTCACGTACTGTTCCGATTATTACACTTTTCCAACATAAATTATTTTGAAAAAATGTTTGTATAATCCCTTATTACACATAGCGAGTACTGTTTTTGCTAGAATATTGTTTATTTTTGCTATAAAATGTTAATTTATATTTATAAAAACATACAGACAGTGACTTTCTTCATTCTATTCCACTGTATTATATATTTTAACAGGGGTATGGGGAGTTGTCTATAGGGATTGGTTTATTTGTAAATCCTGATTATTGGACAAACGTTGCAATAGATTTTTATGTACTTACAACAATCTTCTATTTTTAATTGAAATGCTGGGAAGAAAGATCATGCATGAGATAACTGCTATACTATTCTTCTTTGGTGATGGTTTCATGTCCTCACGCAAATTAACTGAATATCTATCTGTTCTATTACTGGTAACTAGGATTAGAGAGAATTTTGCCTTCTTCTCGAATTTCATCTTAACTGGAATAAATGTGGAAATCCTATTCTATTGTGGTTGTCTATTGATTAAACTTCACTGTTGATTGTAAAAGTCGCTTTTGATTACCAAAGATATTGGGGCAATTTTATAAGTTCATAATTTTCTTGTGCAAATCTTTTCTATCAAAGAGTTTTGCTCAATATTTTGTGTGCCATCGAGTATTCTTAACTCAGATTTGTTATTTCAAGTCTCTATGAGTTTTTAAATAATATAAAGTCTTATTCATCAAATATTATTGTGAACCCTTCATTCACTTGGTACATCTAGCTCCTCTCTGACACTCCCCTGTCACACCCCAATTCACTGTATTCAACTACAGGGCACATCAACTGCACTTACTTTACTTGTAGAACTATTATTGTATATTATTACTGTGCTTATTAATGATAGAAATTGAGCTTAATATTCGTGTGCTAGATTGATTTAACAATTTCTTTATATTTCTTCTTTATAAATACGTTGTAGAGTAAAATCGTCGTCCAATTTTTGTTAAACAAAAAAAATATTTTTGTATAAATTTTTTTTTCACAATTGTGTGAATTATCATGCTACCATTATTTTACTGATTCACAAGCATGCTTTGCTGACATCTGACAAATAATCCTGATTTTCTCGTGCGTCATCCTGGAAAATTTTAAAAAGAGTAGTTTAAATTTATAAGCAAAAACAGTCCAGACCAAACAAATTCCTTTACACAAAAATTAGTTTTAAAATTTGTCTGAAATTTTTGATAGTTACTCGAAATCAACACCAAAATTTATTGATTTAAAAAAATGTGCAACCAGTGATACCAAACAATTTTATTACTTGTAAACGATTAAATTCTTTATGCTTATCTTGGGCATAGCCAGTGACGGGAATCAAAATTTCAAGAACGGGTTCCTTTTCCATAGAACTCTTTAACAACAGGTTCCCTCATTTCAGTAAATCATGCCGATCCAAAACATCGTGCAAACGGCGCTACAGAAGCGTTTGTACCAATATGGAGTTAACTAATTTTGTTCGCCTACTTTACATCAAGTTATGTAAGGGGACTGAAACCTATGAGCAGAGGGTATATTCACTTGGCTAACACAGACAGTCCTCGAACTCCTACTAAAATAAGGAGAATCAGAATATTATTATTGCTCAAACCTAACCTGGTACACATACTACGGGAGTACCATGCAAACAACCCTGGATCCCGCAAACGTGATTAATATTTCAGAAATATTCGTAACAAAATTTGAACTGGAAATGCTGTAAAAATCATATAATTTACTGTTTCCAAAAAGTTCTCAACTCTTTCTGTAGCCAAAGTCAAAGCTTGAAAGCATGTGATAAATATTTGCTAATAGTATTCATAGCGTTGCATAGTTTGTAAATATATCAGTGCTTCAAATTTTTTAGATGCAATTTAGTGTTTCTTTTGCGAAATATCATCTTCATTACCCTTTGCAGTATTAGATTGCTTTAGATTCCACCAAAGTTCTTGAGACCAATCTTCGAAGTTTTGAAGGTGGATTATAATTGGCCAACTATTAAAACTTGTAAAAAGTTTCATGAGTGGCTCAAATATTTGATTAGTATTTTTTTCATAATGTGGTATCTATTTAGTTGCAGTGGTCGTTGATTATTAATTTTTTCACTTTATTTGTAAATAAACACATCGAACACTAACATACATGTGTATTTATGTGACAGGTTCACAGACATTTCAGCCCGGACGTTGCGGCCCACGCGGACTCTTTAACTTCAAATTCATCTCCACTGCAATCAATTATAATGACGAAATAGTAATAAGGATGGAATATGATTAACTTATTTATGCAGGACGAGAGGAAAGCCGTTACCACGGCTTAATCATAGGGCACATCACGGCAGCTCCTCCGTGCCATCAGTCTAGGTCGCGTATGGGATTATTTAGATAATTATTTTGCTTTTAGATACATTGACTTAATGGTGAAGGAAGCCGTAACCGACCAGCGGTTACGTGAAGCACCCTACGACGACGACGAATCCAGCAATACTCTCGCACATAATTATCACTCACGGGACACGAATCTGCAAACTGCGAACCCATGCTTCGGCAAAGCGTATTCTTAACGCTAACCACGCGCCGAGTCGAATACTTAGCTTTCATTAACTGAATGTGTAACTGTGGCGTTCGAGCGTCGTTGAAAAAACGAATCTCCGCATTCTAGCCTGGAAAGAAACTTCCTCGGGCCAAAACATCTGTATACACTTATACAGTGTGTGGTAAAGCGAATAGTTCTTCCCAGTAACATTGGCAAATTTATCGCGGGGATGTATGTGCTTAATATAGGTGCCGCTGCTCGATAACCAGTATTGGTTTCTCGCGTCTCCTTCACCCTTAAATATGGCCTATTTATAATTTAATTTATTGTAATTTGTATGTTTGTACCTATTTTAATTATGGTGAGTAATGAACTACTGATTACTGATTATTTTATTCTCAAGTTGACAACGAGATATTCCTA